CCCCTTTAAATAAGGGCGATCAACTTTCTTCGAAAAATGATTAACAGGGGAGGACGAACCAACGCTAGGTGGGGGTGTTCCGAATCCGTCACCAGGCTTATTGTGAGGAAGTCGTTTGAAAGGGCCTGCTGATGAGCTCGAGGCCTTTGACGATCCTCCAGAAATGGCTTGTACCCATGTTTTTTTTAGGTGTTTAAAGTGTAGCGGACCTTGAAAGGTGCTATTGTGATCTTTAGGAGAGGAAGCCATGTAATATATTAGAGAGCCAGTCCCATAAAAGAAAATTGCATTTTTCAACGTCCGACGGCGGTATATGGGGAAGGTTCCTCTTTGTAGTGTAATCACGTGACATCTCGGCCAATACTATCATTTTTACCAATTTTGAAAGTACGATAGCGGAGTTCGAACCGGTTATGAAATATGATGTTCAAACTCCGCACCACATGGACTTTATGTGCTTCATTTATTTCCGATGCATAATTAGGAAAAAGTGATAAACATTTAATTCTTTGTAAATTAACGGGCACCTTTCAAATTTGAAGCTTTATTTTCATTTAAAATGCTGAAACAAATCATTGAAGAAGGTAGATTATGAAAACATTAACTGGAATTAAAATATATTATATTTGTGTATATCTATATATCTATATATCTATATAATGAAAGAAATAAAGTTTCTTTCTTAACTTGTTTTCTTCTCGTAGTTGAAGTAAACGTACCAATAAACATTATGAATCTATTGCCATCAAAAGAATGGTCAAATATGAGAATGCTTGAAGAGCTCAGTTCAAATTATCATTTTGCCGGAGTTGATACAACAAAGGACAAAATCAAGAAAGTTTTATCAATTTTCTGGAATGAAAAGATGAATTGTTCTGACACATGCAATACTTCAAAAGAAAGAGCAAAGGCAATGGTAAGCACTGTTAAACTCGTTATCGACTCAAATCCTGCTTTATCAATATTAATTCGAATATCAAAAAGGTAACTTTTTTGATACATTTGTGTTTAACTTTTATACGATAATATTAAAAATATCCTTCTTTTTTTTTGTAGCAATCAAAAGAAATACTGAAAAAGAGCCCAGTGCAAATAGCGTATCAAGAGTTCCTCCAACCTGAAGATAATCAAAATGATGACATCAATAAAAATGAAAACTATTCAAATAATAGTAATTCTAATGTTGCAGGATTACCAAAATCAAAGAAAAGAAAACGCATCAGAACTACAGATCTGCGTGCTGCTGGTTGGGAGAACAAAGTTAGGATATTAAATGAATACTTGTAAGTAAAAAAAATAAATAAACAAATAAAAAAAAAATACATATTCATGTTAATCATTATCATGCTAGTGGTACGAAAAGTGTTTTAAATCTAACGAAATCATCAATCATACCCAAACGTCTGAAGTCTTCGGTTGATGACATTTGTAAGCACTATCGCCTAGTATTGCCCACACTGTTGAAGAATAAAGAATATAGAGCTTTAAAATATATTAGTAAATGTCATACAAAAGAAGATCTATACCAATCTGTTAAGGAAATTGATCCTTTTTGTGATGAGTCTGAACTTCCCTTCATAAAATTAGCTATACAAAAGCTGTAGGTATTACGAATGTATTAGTAAAGGTTTAAAAATACTAATGAAGCTTTAATTTTTTTGGATATCAGATGCTACCTATGGCACCATAATATATTAAAAGGTGACCATAACGAAGATTGGTACCGAGTAAATGTTTACGGTGACCTGTTTGATCTTATTTTCTGTGGACAAACAGGCTATGAAACTAAAAGGTATAAAGTAATAACATTAAATAAAGAATAAGCAAATACTTATCATTATTTTTATTAGGGCGGAGTGTCATTCTCATATCGTAAAATCACTAAGGGCAATGGTGTTATAGAACAAGCTCTGGATATAATCATGAGTAATATTATAATAGATGAATTACATAATACAGGATAAAATATAAGCCTGAATATGAAATAAAACTCTGTATATAACATCTTGTAAATAATATAAAACTTATTGACATCCAATTGTCTAGATGTATCAATTATAAGACATCGTATCATTTCTAAATATTTATTTTTATAACCTTGATAAAGGATTCAGGTCGTCTTTGATCCAATAAAATAAAACATAAAAGATATCAGGAACATATACTCAGATTAAACAATAAATTTTTTATTTAAAACTTGATCAGATCATTATAACACCCAATAGATAATCCATAGATCAGTCTCTTGAATCAACAAGACGTATATCCGAATACTAATACTGTTTCATGACTCATGTTCTTTGGCGGTTATTTTTATTTCTTTGATTCAGGATTCATTAATATAAATACAAGCAGTTGTTTAGACACAAAATAATCTTGAACTTCTTTCTTTAGCTTTTCTTTTAACTTTATTTATTGAATAAAAAACAGTCTCAAACTATACTTCCTTTTGTTCCCTTTCTCTCTTTTTATTTTGTCTTTTATCTTTTATTTACCTTCCATCACAAATGGGCTTGCTAGATTCGGACACAAAGAATGTCAGACTAGATTTTATATTTTCGCATAACGGTGGCTTGAACGATGCATTTTACTGTGAGGATAAACCAAACTCAAACACTTCTCAAGATAGAGAAAAGACCAAGAACTTAAGAGAACAAGCATTGACTTTTTGGATGTCTCTCTTACCTTACGAAGAATGCATTAAATATATCACAGCCGTAACCTGCCAATTTAATAAGCTCAAACTGCAAATTATCGGTACAAAGCTTATTGCAGGTGTAATACTTCACTCAGTCTTGAAAGTAGTCAGAATTCCAAATACTGATCAAGAAGGAACTTCAGTTGCTGAATATTTAGCTGCCGTTATATCATTAGTGGTATGAACTTTTATACTGAATCTATTTCTTGAATATAATTTCTCATGTATTATTTGTATTTTAATTATAGAGAATAGTAATTCAAAACTTTGAAATAATTAGGCTAATTACTGACATAGCTAAAGAAGACGATTTAGTCTTCCTTTCTTCTACCCTGACTCCTGATACATGTTATCGAGAAGATTCGCCATACTCACAAAGCTCACAAAGCTCAAGCTCAAGCTCAAGCTTATTATCTCAAGATTGGGAGACCGGGGAGAGGAAAATCCGAATAATGCAAAAAATTGATGCTGCCATTACTGATTTTAATGAAAACAATGAATATTTGACTTATTCCTGGGAAGATATTGTCTATCTTCAGGATAATAATACTTCTGTATAATTGTTCTATTTTTTATTTTTATGTCTATTACCATTGCTTAAATAAATGCTTACATATATTATCAGTAGCTAGTTTTTTTTTCTTTTATTTTTGAATCTACTTTCATCCACAAAAATGCATTTTCTTTTGTAAACAATGTTATTTTCCATAACGTATTCAACAAAATGCTTTCGTTGATCTTTGGTATTCTCAACATTTTGGGCTGCGATCTTGGGTATAGTCCAAGGGAGTGAGTGTAAACGCCATTTTTTTTGTTATATGGCGATAGACAGTGAACTCATTAATTGATAGGCCATTGGAATTTATACAAAGGCGTTCTATAACATTTTTTACAATACAAGTAAGGTGCTCTTACTTCTGTGATCCTAACGTTGTTTGACTATAAATATGCTAGCTTATATCTTGTTGCTCCTCTATTTACTTTCTGTTGTTTATTGAATCTGTAAACCATGTCATTTTCATTATCAGTTTCTTTAGCAAACTTAGAAAGTTTATCATTTTCGTTTTGTATTAAAGGAATGAATTGAACAACCTATGATAGTTTGTATTTAGTTGGTATGCAAACCATTTTAGATAATGGGATTACGTCTAAATCAAATTCTTCCATAGCACTATTGTAGCTAAAAGTTTGTCGTCTCCTTCTTCATCAGACATTATACAAGCATCAGAAATATTCTCTAAATGGTACAATGTTTTGAAAGTCACCGTACCCCCCTTACATCATGTTTTGGTTGGTATCTAGGCTTTTGATCATCAATTCTATTGCTAATAAATTCATCAGAAGGGAGGTAGTGATAGAAGGTAGTTATTCTTATTGCAACTAAATCAAAGTATGTACATTTTTTATAATAAATCAAAAAGAAAATCGAACAAAGTAGTTGTATGAAAAGTGTATAAAATTAAATTGGTTTGCGATTCAAATAATCTTCCCATTTTAACAAAACATTTGCCAAATCATTGTAAACCACTTAAAAAAACTTTATTGTAAGCATCTTTAATTCTGGAAGTTAAAGTTTCTTCATTTAAAAGAGCCTCTCTCTTAAGTTTGCTCTTATCCACTGACCAAAATTCTTCGATGGAATTCAATTCAGGAGAGTAAGGCGAAAGATAAGCACAACCATAGTCACGGCCTTCAGTATATTTTTTACTATTCAATATGTTTCTGAATAGATGCATTATCTACTACAATACAATGACCTTTAAACTCCTCACGCTGATCCATAATATCTAAATTATGTACTATAAAATTGAACTAATTACTCGTTGTTGTGTTTGCTTCTTGCAAAGTACCATTTGTAATTTTTCTTTTCTTTTGTTAATCAAGTATCCCTAGACCATCTCACCCTCATATTAATTACGCTATAAGGAGATATAACACCTAAAATAGTTGTGGTTTTCGTTCTTGTTGTAGGCACTTGAATAACAACACGTTCACCTTTTCTTGACTAAGCAAAGCTACGATTCAAATTGATACGAAATACAGATTCATCGATGAAAATACAGTTACTGGTATAATCATATCAATTTTTTGGTATTTACGTATCCGATTATAGCCCTTTTCAAATTACCAGGACTGTTTCTTTCAATAGAATGAAAATGAGTTTTCATGAAGCTTAAGACACATTTCTTTGGTATAGTGCAGTTTTGCTTATTTGTAAGCCCATAAATTGACTGGTAAGAGCATCTATCATATCGTCTAAAACCATAGAATGATTTCGATCAACGAAGTTCTTAAGAAACACCTCATGATCCTCAGTCAACAATGGATGTCTTTCCCTACCTGGCTGCCTTTTGAAAGTGTCTTTAGAATCTTGTGCATCCTTTTTTACCCAAGCAGAAGCTGTGCTAGAAGGTGCATTCAATTTTTTTTTTTTTTTTTTTTTTTTTTTTTTTTTTTTTTGACTAAGAAACTTGTACCACCTGTCAAAGAAATTAAATGGTCAAAATTTACTTCATTATTATGTCATCTTTTCTTTTAAAACAAAATATTAATAAATTTAAACGTCAATAATTTTGCGTACTTGTTATTCATTCCATCAACATGACAAGCATCAATGGGTTTAATGCCACTATTAACAACAATAAGAAAAGAGTTTTTTGTGATTGTTCCTCATATACTAAAGATAGCCAGAAATACATTACGATCTTCCACAAACATAAGCATCAAAATATAAACATTCTTAAAGGTATTCAAATTAAAGCATGTAATTTAAAAGATTTTTTTTTTTTGTGTTGACACTTTAATCTGAATGTTATTCAATTGTATTTAGTCCAAATCCTCAAGTTTATGGCTATTGCTGACAACAAAGCTGGTATGTTTTTTATACACTTTTCGTAGTTACTAATATTTATGCATTATTTTTATTTATTTATTTTTATTTTATTTTTTTTTTATACATATTCTAAAAATTTCAAAGATAACAAAGAAGGTATAATAAATAATAATTTATTCAAAATTATACAAATATATATTAACATAAACATTTTAATTCAGATCCTTTCATTCGTATTATGGATGATACAGCTTTTCCCAAGGATGAAGGGACTTTTATTCTTTTCATGATGATAACCATGTTGTATGGCAAGCAACAGATTACTGAAGAAGGAGTGGAGGCGTTAATGGGGTTCTTGAATCAAGCTTTGGAGCTCTTTGGAATATTGTACCGTTTTCCTAAGACTGCAAAAACATTCTTTACTTGGTCCAAGTTGAATAACTTTTGTTGTGCTGGTTTTCGACAATTTGCAGCTTGTGAGAAGTGCGATTCTCTCCATCCTTTTCACACTGAACAGCAAAAACAAGAGGTGTACAGAAAAAAGAAGTGCAATACAACCGAAACACCTTTTGTTAATTCACCTATCTGTCGTGCTAATTTGTTACTTGATAATTGTTTAAGACCAGCAAAATCCTTCTACTATAACTCAATTATCAGTACTCTTAGCAGCTTCTTTCTTCGTGACAGATTTGTTGAACAGATTACCAAATGGAAGTCAAGAAAAACCGTACCTGGGCATTTGTTCAATATATATGATGGCCGCATCTGGAATCAGTTCAAGTTAGATAATTCGGATGATGCAGCTTTTGTAAATTCCTCAGATTACAATTTAATGCTGACATTAAACGTAGACTGGTTCCAGTTGTACTCCTACTCTCAATATTCATGCGGGGCTATCTATATAACGATACAAAATCTTCCACGAGAGGTGAGAAACTTGAAGGATAATGTCGTTCTGGTTGGTTTGATTCCTGGTCCAAGCGAACCCTCCACATACAAGATGAACCATTATTTAGATCCTCTTGTCGACGACCTTCTATTGTTACAAAATGGTGTAGAAATGCAGACCAGAAGTAATGGCAAGCAAGTTGTTAAGGCTGCTCTGACACCTGTTGCTTCTGATTTGCCAGCACAGAGGAAATGCCTAGGTCTTGCTGCTCATTCTGCTGCATTTGCTTGCCACAAATGCAATTACGCCTTCAAGGAGCTTCCTTCCAACCCATTTAAGCAAGATTTTACTAACTTTGATGACGATGAATGGGCGCTTCGATCGAATTCTACTCATAGGGCAAATGCGTATAAGTGGAAGTCCGCATCCACTTCGACTGAGGCGAAAAAGTTGGTGAAAGCTAATGGTACTCGTTGGAGCTCGCTCCTTCGTTTATCTTATTTTGATCCAATCCGATTTGCACCTATTGATGTTATGCACAACTGTTACCTTGGTGTTGCTAAGCGTATGATGCTGTCTGCTTGGAGAGGTGAAGGTGGCCCTGTTAGTAGTAATGAAGAACCCCGAATTACGAAGCAGGAGCTTAACGAAATGGCAAGCAGTATGGAAGGATTAACGTTGCCATATGGTTATGACATTGGTGCGTTAAAAAGGGAGATAACCGCTGGTGATGGGTTTAGCAACATGAAGGCAGACGAATGGAGGGTGTTCATCTTGGCTCTGTCACCTTTCCTTTTGTCAATGAGGTTAAATGCACGCTTACTGGTACACTGGATGCTTTTTGTGGAAGCCAATAAGTATCTAGGAAGCGCTTGTATTTCTTTAGAAGAAGTTGACACTATGCATACTTTATTAAAACAATTTTTACAAGAATTCAAGTATGTATATCAAGACCAGGGGCTTCTTACAATTAACAGCCATAACTTGCTTCACATCAAGAATGGTATATTAGACTATGGACCAGCAATGTCACACTGGCTCTTTAACTTTGAACGTTATAATTCTGATCTAAAAGCATTTAATGTTAATAAAAATAAAATAAAATCTGAAATGTTTTATTAATTCATATATTACATGTAATCTATTTTTGTTCGAATATCTGTAGAATTCGCCTGGTTGTTGAGTTTTGATTTAGTTCACCTTCATGCATATACTTCATAACTTGTCACTTCAATAAAGAATAACGTTTATGTTTGATTACTTATTATCACTTAATTTATTTTCATTATTTAATTGATCAGATATAATGATCTAGATCTGATGTAAATTTGCAATTAATGGTGAAAGATAGTGTATAAATTACAAAGACATTTAAGACCTTTGAGGCCTTTTGAATCTTCGTTAACTATATAGTAGGATATTGTACTAAAAATAAAAAGACCCCTTCAGATTGTGGTGATAAAGTTTGTGTAGCTTTGCTTATCTAATTTTATCTGCTTTGTCTATTTTATCCTTCGCTATTACCTTGGTACAAGTTGATAGACATAACAACAAAATAACACTTCAGCAAATTTAATTAACATATCTCTTAAGTACAGCATGTTAATTTTTATATTTTTTTTTTCAAGGTTGCAAACTGTAAAGTCAAAGGGTGCAAAACAAATTTCAATAGCTGTCAAATATTTGGGGGAAAAAAAAGCGATTAAATATCATGATCGAATTTTGTTAAATATACAACCTTATACATTGTCTTGTATTTTATCCTTTATTATGCGTATTATTTAGGCTCTGCTCTATATCAATAACTTCTTTAATTTCCTTTGAAGCAATGAATGTATTTTTTCAGTCTTAGAAATTACAGAATAATTTGGAAATTTACTGAATACTGAATGTACACAAAAGTGAATTGTAGTTTTCAACGTTGCATATATTCTATACTCCGTAGGTCTTGTTCGTTATAGCGATAATCGAAACAAATATAAAGTAATTTGACCATATGCCCCTTTTTCCTAATAAGCTTGGCAATCATTTTCCTGGTACATCATTCGAATTACAATAACCTTTTCAAACATATATATGTATATGTATAATAAAGAATATAAATATTATAATTCTAATTTGAAAGTGAAGAATGAAAAAAAAAAAAGGGAAATCCCCTCTATTCATTTTATTTGTGTTTATTAAATTAACTATGATTAATTACTTTTATTATAATATTTAGCTTTAGCCAGTTGCAAAAGTTCTTGGTACTCTCCACTACGCTCACACATTTGCTTGAAAATAGAACCCTCTCTTGTCATTAGTGTATAGGGTGTATCAAATTCCATAACTCTTCCTTGATCTAAAACTAAAATACGGTCATAGTCTATCACAGTACGGATACGGTGTGCAATGCACAATAAAGTTGAATCTACAAACTCTTTACGAATCGTTTCTTGAATTGCATAATCAGTGTCAAAATCAACGGATGAAGTTGCCTCATCTAAAATGATCAATGATGTCTTTTTCACAAGTGCTCTAGCTAATGCAATTAACTGGCGTTGACCTTGTGACCAGTTGTTTCCATTTTCAGTTACTGGAGAATCCAAAGTGATTGTTGTCGTTGCTTCTAGGTGAGATGAAGTATCCTTGGAGTCAGCATGATCAATTAAATGAGACCGTTTCAAGGCAGCCCAAAGTGTAGCATCATCATATTGTCCAAAGGGATCCAAGTTACTACGTAACGTGCCTGAAAACAAAACTGGATCCTGAGGTATGATCGTTAGACGTGATCTCAAATCATGTAACCCAATACTATGAATATCTACACCGTCAATCCATATATGACCAGAGGTAGGTTCCATAAAACGAAACAAGGACATGGCCAAGGTTGACTTCCCTGACCCTGTTCGTCCTACGATACCAATCTTTTCACGAGCTTTAGTTTCAAATGAGACATGACGCAAGACAGCAGGCGTATCAGATGCATATTGCATGACAAGGTCATCTACCTTGACTATACCTCGCTCTGGCCATGAAATATGAGGTGCTGTTTCCTCTATATGTGTCTCCGGTTCTTCTTCAATGTCTAAATACTCATGAATACGCTCAATTGCATTCATATTCATCTCATTCATAGCATACATACGAACGATCCAAAGAACATGATGTGTAAACGTCAGGGCATAACTCAATGATAAACCGGCCAAGCCTGGATCAATCCAATTTCTAGAACTTATCAAGACAGCACCTGTACAGAAACCAACAAAGGCACCCAGGATGTCTACACGACAATGAAGCCAACGGTTTGTCGCCCACATCCAGAGGAAGGGTCGATTGTTGGCATCAATACGTTTGTGGTTTTCTTCAATAAACCGCTTTTGACAACCAAAGGCTCGGATAGTAGCGATGCCTATATTTGTTTCATTGAATTGAACGTAGATAGGACTACGTGAGACTGAATTAAGACGCTTCATATCACGCGATGTCTTTAGATAATAAGCACCAATGGATTTAAACATTAGAGCAATAAAAATACCTGGAATAATAAAGGCAGGCGTAATAATAGAAATTAAAAAGACAACATAAACTGTTGCCACAATCGAATATAATAGGAAGGAAAGGGATGGGGCAACAGCTTGATCTATTGTCTCAAGATCAGAAGAAAATCGATTTACAATACGGCCGATAGGTGTTGTGTCAAAGAAGCGAATCTTAGCTCGAAGTATGCGATCAAGAAGCTGAGAGTGAATTCGATGAGAGGCTTTTATGGATCCAAGGAAAAGCACAAGAGATCTGACGGTGGTTAAGGCTAAAGAAAGCATACCAATCAAAAAGTAAATACCAAGATAATAACCAACATGAATGGAAGTAGCAGGATTTTCATCGGTAATTTCTTGAGCAGTAACTAAAGTTTTCATGGGAGAAAGTTGTAGCAAGAAGGGTTGCTTATTAAAATAATGCAGTATATCCCATAACAAACCACTACGAAGACTCGTACTACCAGCAGCAATAGTGGTAGTAGTAGAAATAGTAGTATAGCTCATTAAAGTTGTTAAAAAGCCGTCTTTACTGACTTGTAAACTGTCCATAACGTAATTATTCATTTTATCATAAGCAGCAGACCACACTCGAATCCAATAATCCTGTCCCAATACAGACGCCTGAGCAAGGCAAAAGAGAAGCAGAACAGAAATCCAAAAGAAAAACCCACCAGAGGCATAATAGTACGTACCATAAACGCTCCATTTAACACTGCCCTCAGCTCGAATTTCATCTTGAACAAGCTTTCCTCCACCTTCTACCTTATTCTTTGTAGATGTTACTTTTGTAGGAACATTTGGAATGGGTCCCTCTAAAACCAATTCTTCATTTGCATCAGTGTTTTCCATCCAACTTTCTTCAGAGAGCTCTTCACTAAGCACACCTGACTTGATAACATCTAATGGCATACCTGCGGCTGCTACTGATCCTGATTCATCTAAAGCAACCACATAACCTGCACCACGAATACAAAGACCAACATGATGTGTAACAAGAATGACAGTACGATTTCTCATATATTCACCTAATAAACAATACTGATAGAGATGCTTTGCTGTATGAGCATCTACAGCACTTAGACAATCATCTAAAATAACTATTTCTGCTTGTGAATATACAGCTCTTGCGATGGCAACTCTAAGGTATACAAAAAAAAAAAAAGAGAGAGAGAGAGAGGGGGGGATTCAAATCATGAATATATTTCCTTTTATATACAAATAATACATATTTTTACCTCTGTTTTTGTCCACCACTTAAAGTAATTCCCTTTTCTCCAACTTCTGTAGCATCACCAAATTCCAAAATGTCAAGATCTCTTGTTAAAGCAGTCATATATAAAACTTTTTCGTATCTTTCTTCATCATATGGAAGACCAAACAAAATATTATCCCTGATACTACAATTTTGAAGCCAGGCAGTCTGAGCAACATACGCAATACCAGATACAGCGCCACCACCACCATTATTACCGTTATTAGATTGTTTACGAGGTAAAATAGCTTGTCCAGACAAGCAATATGTTTCGCCCAATAAACTAGCTAACATGGTCGTTTTACCAGAACCTGTAGGACCACAGATAATTGATAATTGATTCAAAGGAAAAGAAATATTCAAGTTCTTGAGATGAGGTACAACAGTACCATCTAAGGATGTGTTATTTGTGGGTGAGTTCCAGCTAAAGCTTGCATTATTGATAAAGCCAACAAAAGTGGCTGCTGTTAGATTGTTGTTATAACTAACAAGATAAGAAGAAGAAGAAGAAGAAAATGGTGTTGCTGGTTTGACTTCCTCTTCTTCTAAAAACTTTTCTATACGATGAATAGATACATTAGCTTGTAAAATGAACGAAATTACCACAGGCAATTCATCAAGAGCCGTTTTAAAGTTATTAAAGAGTGCCAAAGCAGTAAATGCAGTTGAAGCTGTTAATACATATTCTCTGGTATAAGCATAAAAGACAGCCACCATGATCAAAACCGGGATTAAAAACCAAACATTACCAATCCACATAAAGCTCATTAGACGTGCACGAATTACTTTTAGTTCAGCAGAACGAGCACGTAAGATACGTTCACGGAATTCAGTTTCCCATGCAAAGAATTTAACAATACGGATAGCAGAAAGCAACTCATTCATAAGACTAATGCGTTTGTCTGTACAAGACATTGCATCATGTTGAAGTCGTTGGAAACGTCTACTCAAAGCAAATGTCAAGGGCTGAGATAAGCCTATGATCAAGACACCCCAGAAAGATGCAAAACCTAAGAGACGATAAAGACTCCAAATACAAATGCCGACTTGAATTGGAAAACAATAAATATAAAAGATATAGGCAATTAAGTCGCCTAACTTTTGTGCATCTACAGATAATAAATTGTTTACGTTTGCTTTCCTATTACTGCTGTCGTTTAATGTGGTTGAAATTTCAGAGCCTCCTGCAGTAGTCGATCCACTTTGATCTCTACGTCTAAGGGATTTACTGTATACCTCACCAATTACAATTGACTGAATTCGAATACCTAAGGATCGACCAATATAAAGTGCCTGCTGATAACAAAGTGATTGAGCAGAGGATGTAATAAACAAACCCAATACATAAAGATAAGCGGATGAAATTGTTTCCTTATGATCGTTGCTACCCCCATTTTCAATAAATTTGATGATCTTATTGAGAAAATAAGCAGGACCAAACATAAGAATACTCCAACCAATACAATAAATAAATTGGGTGATTAGGGGCCATTTAAAGGTTGCTAATAACTTTAGAGTCATTGTTTTATATTTCTTTTGAAGACGATAAGAGGCTAAGGTATTTTTTGTACGGTTTTCAGCTATAAGTTCCATTAAGTCATTTTCATTTAATGTCTTTTTTTGTCCTTGTTTTAACATAGGATCTACCCAAGAAAACATAAATTTTGAATAGAGTGATGCCCATTTTTCACCTGACAAAATGCGACCCTAGATATAATTATACATCATTAAAAAAAACAGAGGATATATCATATGTATTGCAGTAAACTTACCGTCTCAGCGATAATAGGCTTTGAAGGAGCATATCGAGATTCATTAATGACAGCTAATAAGAGCATAAAAACAAAACAAGTGGAAATCATCCAATTTTGATATCTGATACTAATATCAAATATATCGTATACTTGATAATAAGCATATAGATTTATAAGTTGAATGGCAAAGTCTATCCCATAAATATAGTTTAGGTAACTACAAATTGTATCTGACACATGTTTATCATTCGAGAAAGACAAACAAATATTGATAAATGAAAGTAATGTATTAAATGTCTTGTTTTCAAGAAATGAAAAACGTTAGTATGTATAAGTATTTCTCTCTCTGTCTCTTTTGTTTTTACCCAGAATATAATACGAGTATAATACATTAGCATCATATCATAATAGTTTCCTTCTACTATTTGGCTTATATCATTTTTGGGTGATGATAAAGAAAAACATGTAATGTAAACGACTAAAGCTACCTCAATGATCGAGAAACTTAACCTAATCCAATTGTATGCTGACCATGGATTGCTGCTATTTGCTATGTCGATGGAAACAGCAGTAGTTGATGAACAAGCATCATCATCATCATTATCTATTTTATTGCTGATAATAGAGCCATATTGAATATTCCTGGATTGCTGCTGTTGTTGATATAATAAAGCATCTTTAGAATTTCTTTTTTTGTTCTTGTAATAAAGAATAGATTGATAAATTAAAATAGAGGAGAAGTATAAAACTAGAATAATAACAAGTAAGGCATTGATATATCTATATGTATACATAAATCGTCAATATTAAAAGCTCTTATTTATTAGTTTTTTTTTTCTTATAGGAGAATTTACTTCTCTCTAAAATAAGGTGTAAAATAATTATCTTTCCAAATATTATCCTTTATATGCAAAATGAACATGAGTAAACGAAAATGTTACATGACATTCGACTGTAATTGTGTTAAAACACTTACTAGGAATCTATAGTCCTGCCCCCCTTCTATCATTCGTTCACTTATTTTCCTTTCTTTTTTGGCAAAGAAAAAAAGAAAAAAATATATAAATATATAAAAGTAACAATAAATAGTATGAAAAGAAAGAAGAATTTAGAGAACTCAAATTTATTGGATTCTTCATAGCAATTCAAGAAAATTTTATATATATCCGAAAATAGTAATTTTATCCACATAAGGTAAGTCCAAATCTTTTATGTTAACTGTCTTTTTTTTTTTTTTTTTTGTACGCTGTTATTATCCTACAAGTCACCTTTATATTTCTTTTATTGTTCTCTTGATTCAAGTAGAAAAAAACATTATGAATTTTATTAATATAAACTTGCTTAATAGATATGATGGAAAGCGGTAAAGATTTACCCGATACCAGTTTATAAATTAGGTTACAAGTGGTGGTGTCAAAATGAGCAACAATTAGCTCAGAAGTAAAGGGTAATTGATCATCCTCTATTATTCAGAAGAAGTGATTTATTCATTTATTTATTTTTTTCGCTTTGTGACTACACATATTTAAACTCGAGATTTATTTCTAATTGTAAACTTCTAGTAGAATTAATTAATTTTCAACAACATGAAGAATTATAAATTCTATGCTGATCATGAATCCAAAATAATGACTGATTGCTTCTATAAAGGTCTTTTACTGTACAAGTCGTTCATTTAGAGGGGCTAAATGAATGATTTACGTCTTGTAGAACATAATTTATATTTCTTTATCAAGGTCAGGTAGGGCTCTTTTGACTTTCCACTTTTGCAATAGATTTGAAAAGGACCGATATCTTTCTTGAAAAGAAGAAGAAAAAATAAAGGAATGTGTATACACTACGGCTCAATGTTTGATATTCTTTTTTCCTTAATGTAAAATCCTATATGCTCTATAGTGCTTCCTTCAAGAACATGTTGTCTTTTAATTATTATAGAGATTCTTTTTATTTACTAGGCCATTTTTTTTTTTTTTGGTAGAGTTTAATATTTTCTAGTACAGTACATATATATACGCGTTAATATTGCGTAATAATATAAATATTCATATCTACAAGAATACGTATATACTATGTATGGGCTTATGTTGTTACTTTCTTTTCAACAGTTGGTGTAAATACAAAATCATTAAGAGTAAGTGCTATAGCTTTAATCACTCTTCTACAAGCTGCAAACCAAACAACGACACTAACGGAGCCTAATTATACAAAAAGGAGATATTATTATTAATTTGGATATTAGCCAATTTTAAAGCTTTCTCTTTTGGCTTAGCTTACCTTTAGGAGCAAAGGGCCATGAAAGAAAGCGTTGAGCAGGTCCAAACCATCCAGGAGGAAGATAAAAGACTGCATTTTTTCTAAACCAGAAAACCATAATCATTTGAGATCCATGAACAACAAACCAAAGTCCTGATTTCACCTTAAGCTCAAAAGCAGTTCTAGAATAAGAAATATCCGAATCTACAATTATTTAATAAATAAATAAATAAATAAATAAGCTCCTCCTTTCTACTAATTGACAGTTTGAATATATTTACTTAATTTTTCTAAATCAGCAACAGATTTATCTAACTTTCTGCGTAATTTAGCCCATTTGGCAAATTCATCCTGAAAAGAATTCCACAAACATGAGTATAATCATTCAATTCATTTTTCATCCGTATTTTTTTTTTCTATATTGGCTTACTTGTGAACTTGTTTGTCCTAATTCTGTCTTTAGTAGAAGAAGGTCTTTTTTCATCTTTTTTTGTTTAATGACTCGTGCATCTTTAACTACTTTAACATAAAGATCATATGCCTGACAAGCAAAAGATAGTGGTTATTTTAAAATCTTCAACACTCCATACTCGCTTTATATGCAAATGTCAACATCAAAAACAAATAAATAAAACTTACTACTGAAGTGATATATGAATAACCGAGAAATAGGATCGATTCAGTTATTAATACTAATAAAAAAACCGAAAGGGCTAAATACATTATGTAAGGAAAGAAAAAAATAATGCTCTTTAATAGAAAAGGTAAAAAAAAAAAAGGCGTTCAGTTCCCAATAAAAAAATAGGCATAGCAATGATAATAGATGGGCTAATAATTGGATAATAAATCTGCTGTGACCGTACAAAAAAAAAAAAAAAAAAAAAAAAAAAAAAAAAAAAAAAAAAGGAAATCCAAATTATCCCAAGATTAGTAGCAACTCGTAAAAAAAAAAAGGAAAATGTGTCATTTTACTTGTAAATGCATTATCCTGCGATTATTTTGCACGAGACAGTGAGGAAATTGCAAAATAAAAGGTACCAAACGTCAGTATACCAGGTGCCATTTGCAAAAATGGTTTTATTACTCTTTCATAAAAGGAGAATATCACTACAGCAAAAACGAACTGATGATACGCTAGCTGTAAAAAAGAAAAGGCACGACAAGTAACGACTTTTTGGAATTTATAGAGCAAGTTCTTACTACACTTGATGTAGCTAATATGAATGATAAGCATCTAGTGCTTAATAACGCATCCATTCACAAGGCTAGCCTTGATATTATGATCATCATAAAAAAGTGCTCGATTGCCATAATACAGTTATAAGAAAGCTTACAATCTAACTATTCAAAATGCATAAACTGCCAAAAAAAAAGCGTTCCACAACAAAGCTAAAGGGGAACATTTTGTAAAATTGTAAGAAAAAAAAAGTGTCTAGATTGTGTGTGTCTTTTAGAGGATGTATGAACATCATGCTCTGTCGTATAACTACATTTAACTAGTTTTGGCTTAATTACTTTACAAGAATGCTCAGCATATTCACATGAATATATAAACACAGTCAAACCTATAGAATTTGGCGTTTTCGCAAAAATAAACGACAAAACGCCAAAAATAAATGTCGAGTTTAGAAAAGTTAATGTCATGAGTATAAATTGTTTTTATCCCTTGGTTGAAAACAATTGTCAGAACTAGCTAACTAAAATTGGCTGGAATATTACGCCTGATTGTCGCATATCTTCTGTACCTTGCTTGCCCTGCTCTCATCCTAATAAAAATACAACCTAATGATAAATGCCTGTTTTTTTTTTTTTTTTTTTTTTTTTTTTTTTTTTTTTTTTTTTTTTTTTTTTATATGATGGACATGAAAAAAAAAAAAAAAAATTAATGAAGGAGAAAAAAGTTTACGATTAGTTGAAGTATGTTTTACGACATGATTTCAGTATAGTTCTTGAAACAGTAGCTAGTCTCAATCATTTCCCAGTAACAAATCCAGCTAAAGTTGAAAATTGTATAGCGTGGGTCGAGGGGTAAGACAGCTATGAATTATCTTGAGAGCAGTATTTTCATAGATTTAACATCAACATAAGACCTCCAGAGGTGGTTTTTGAAAGTTAAATCAGCTATTATAATTGCTCCTTTGAACAAGGCAGCACCTCCCAATCTTAGGCGAAATTTATCATGTTAATGAAGCCCAAAAATCAGCAGGAGCACTCATTGAAAAAGATAAAGATTGCTTTTGGTAATTACAAACACAAAAACAAATCCCATAAATCGATATATATTTTATTTTTAATTAAAAAACAATATCTTCCCAGCAGAAAGAGGCATAATCATCTTTGTTGATGAAGTCAGAAACAGCATCTTCAACTTTTTTTAATATGCGTAGCTTTTTTTCTTTGGATTCCCAACAAGAAGCAGATGATGATGAAGAGTTAGAAGAATCATAAGAGCTAGAAGAGTCAAAAGAGTCCTCACGAAAGCAGGGATTTTGTGTTGAGAGAGGGGATAGAAAGGCAAGATCATCTTCTTTTTTAATGCTGGTGATTATATTTATTATTTCAAAGTTTCTGATCACCATTCTCTGTTAAAATATAAACATATTAGAATACATATCCTAGAAAGAGGTTTTATATAAGAGTGCACATACTACTTATGATAGGACTGTGGCCAAGTACTCAGCAATACTAGCTCCTTTTTTATCAACACTTGGTATGTTAACTTCTTTAAAAAAAGAATGTATTAATATACCACCAATAAGCTTACTGCCTGTTACATGCATAGTTAGTTTCCGGAACTGACAGCTGATTGCAGTAATGTATGATATACATTCTGGATACGGTAACAAAGATGTCCAATATTTTAATGACTGCTCCCTTACATTTTTGGTTTTCTTTTGATCCTTAAGATCATTATTATTTGGCTTGTCTTCACAGTAAAACGCATCGCTAAGACCGTCAGTGTGTGAAAATATAAAATCCATTCTAACGTTTTTTGTATCATTATTTAGAACTCCCATTTTTTTTAGCGATTTTATAATGAGTGAATGGCACTCCGCCCTATAATAAAAAAAAAGTGATAATAAATACCACAAAGAAATATTTGCTCAAGCTATAATCCCTTGACACTACTATTCTGGACATATATTTTTTATACCTCTTTGTTTCATATCCAGATTGGCCAATAAAAATAAGGTCGAATAGGTCCCCATAAACATTGACACGATACCAATCTTCATGATGGGAACCATTTAGAATGTTACGATGCCAGAGGTGACAACTGATATACAGGAACTAAAATATTAACAATCTAAATTTACAAAGTCATTACTATACCTACAGTTTCTGTACTGCCATCTTTATGTACGAGAGTTCAGAACCATTACAAAATGGGCTGATAGTCTGAACTGATTTATATAATTCTTCTTTGTTATTACAAGTACTGATTTTTTTTAAAATATCGTATTCCTCATCTTTTAATAGCAAATCCATTTTGAGGTTAAAGTGTTTACAAATATTTTCTACTATACTCTTGAATCGCTTTGGTATTACTGAAGTTTTAGTCAGATCCAAGACATCGTTGTCACCACTATTTTAATAATAATTGATATTAATATTTACTATGTAGCATTTTTGTCGATTCTATTCATTTACTAATATTCAGTAATAATTTGAACTTTGTTTCCCCAACTTTGATTATGCAGATCTTTATGTTTCAAGTACTTTCTCTTTTTTTGTACAGGCTGTTTTTCATTGTTGGTGTTATCAATTATTGAGCCATCATCGCTATTGTTATCATTTGGATAAACTTCAAGCAGCTCATCATATGCTCCTTTTGTTAAATTATCTTTTAATGCTTTATTCAATTGCTAGAAAAAAAGGAGACTGTCAGTATCATATTGTATAAAATTAACACGACTACATTAAAATTACCTTTTTGATATTAGAGTTAATAATTGATAACGCAGGCCTTGAGTCCAAAACAAGATTAACAGTACTGTTCAAAGTCTTTGCCCTTTTTTTCAAGCTACTAGTGGTATTAAAGGTGCTTATTTTTTCATTCCAAAATCCTAATAAAGCAGTTATAGCTTTATTCACAGTTGTATCGACTTTGTTAAAATGATATTTTGCACTGAACATTAGAAGCATATTCATATTAGACCAGCTTTTTGTTAAAACTGAATTCAAATCGTCTATTAACACGTCAATTTCAACTACAAAAATAAAAAGCTTAGAATACTTGTTTCTTATTTTTATTTCAAACTGATATTTCCTTGATTTACCTTCTTCAAATATTTGTTTATACATGATAAGCTAGATTGGAGTTTATGGCGTGTAAATAATTTTTTTCTGATATACGAAAGAACCTCCTGAACCCTCACCACAACATGTTGAGAACTTTAAATAATTTTTTATTTTGTTTATATGCGGACGGAGTCTCAATTTATTGAAAATTAAAAGATAGTCGCAACTGTGTTTTTGGGTTTGTAAAGGTTTAAGTTTATTCTGACTGGTTAATACATAAAAATGAAATTTCTCACTTTCATTAGTCCTCTAGTCTATTATTAGTTTTCCTCTTACTATTGATAATTGACAGCTAAGCTCTTTTACAACAACCCTTTAGACATGTATTTTATTTCTATAAATATGATCAACAGCGAATACAAATTAATATAAATATCTCATAACTTTTCTATCAATAAAGATTATTCTATTCTTTATTAAAAACTTTCTTATTTTACTTTATTTGTTATCCAATAAGAAACTTCTAAGAATATTACAGGGTTTTTAGGATTATCATTAAAGTTTGGTTGCATTCTTTTCTATTTTTTTTCGTTTTTCCTATTTTTTTGTTTTCTTTGAATTTTTAAATTTTTAAATTGTTAAGGAGAACCACAGATAGTGACAATAAGGATCACTAGTCTGTTGTGAAGTGAGGAAGAGGAGCATGAGGAATGCCATTTGAAAGAAAAGATTCTTAGCGTATTCGAAGTGTCATGATTGTAGTCGTCCTTACAACTAAGTTAATAGAAATAAACCATCATTTATTTAAATAATAAAGAGGCTATTCGAATAAAACTATTGTATTGTAGTTCACAGCATAATATTCGTTCTACATCCAGTTTTAACAACAGTCACTGTTAGAGTATTTGAGCACTAACAATAATTATATACAGAATTCATTCATGGTTCCTCCGCTACAAAACACTTCTGGGACGTTGCCTTCAGACAACGTCACCACTTTATCAAGTACTAACTCTTTGTCTCCTCTCTCTCTGAGTCTAACAACACCTCGTCAACAATTCGTAGCTATGCCTCAGTCACAGCAACTTCATCTCGAGACTCTCGTTTGGATTCTAAAAAACCTTCAAAATCCATGCCTCCTCACCCCAGAAAAGAGTTGTCGCTTTTTCGCTCCACCGAAATTGAGAATTATTCCAACGATCCCTCCAAGCGTCTCATTCACCTTACGGGTACTACTGAACATTCGGTGTTCTATCATATTCCTAAGCACCTTTCATCTTTGAGATCATCCCTGGCCTTAAAATTAAGTCAGAAATTCCCCCTTGGAGTCGGTCTCGGATTAACTTTAACTGAAGATTCTACAGGCACCAATATGGAATTTACTTTAGCTTCAAAAGGCAATTGTGAGTCGGCCATTGCCTCACCTATCAACATTGGAGATACGTTTTTCCATGCCTCTCCTGCCGTTCATCCAGATCGAGCTCTCTTATGTATCAATTTGACCAAACTGCCCATCTGGACTTTAGATAAGCTTCGCAATAGTCTTCTTAACAATTTATCACGTTATGGTATAGTCCGTAAAATTGTCATTTATTTGGATGATTGTTCCGGCTCATGGTCCACAGGTAACGGCCCTGTAAACATGGAACGTCCTAGTAATGCCAATAAGACTCATGAAGTATTGACTTATAACATTCTACTTGAATGAGAAAACACCTTTTGTCTCGATACCTGTGTGATGAACTTAATATTTAAAAGAGAAAGAAAAGAGAAAGAAAAAGAAGAGAGAAAGGGAACAAAAGGAAGTATAGTTTGAGACTGTGTTTTATTCAATAAAGAAAAGTAAAAAATAAGAATTGAAAGTTAAAAATTATTTTATGTCTACACAACTGCGTGTATTTATATTAATGAATCCTGAATCAAAGAAATAAAAATAACCGTCAAAGAACATGAGTCATGATACAGTGTTAGTATTCGGATATACATCTTGTTAATTCAAGAGACTGATTTATATAGATTATCTATTGGGTGTTATAATGATCTGATTAAGTTTTAAATAAAAAATTTATTGTTTAATCTGAGTATATGTTCCTGGTGTTTATTTCAGTGGATCAAAGACGACCTGAATCCTTTGTCAAGGTGTTGTGTATATAATGATGTATTACATAATATCTTATAATATACAAATCAGAGTCATGAAGGACCGAATGATATTATAGTTAGTAATTGTACACTTTATGCATACAATATTATTTGATTTCAGTTTATAAGAAATTCTTGTGATGAGAAAAATAATATTATAATAAATACTAACTTTACGAAATAATAATAAGCAAAGCATAGTGTAAGGAGTTATTAATGATAAAGACATATATGAACTATAGACTGTACCTATGAGTTATATATCCAGACTATTATCTAATATACTATCTATACACTATAAAATATAATGAAATTCATTCAAGTAGTACATTGAGGAATGAATATATAATACAAAGCATCTTCCCTGTATCATACACAAGTATGAACAAACGAGATTTCATTATTTGGTATCGAGAAAAAATAACCGGCTAGATCAAGCACCAATAATTTAATATTTATTAGAGTTAATTGAGATTAATTCTCGGTCAGGGCAAAGACTAGAGTTCAAACACAATGACTTTAATTATTCTATGGGAAAATATTCTTCTTTCAAGATATCTTCATTCTGTTCCTGTCGCGAAGTAACCCTGTTCTCCACAAGATCCATTTTGCACTCATTTTTTTGAGAAATTCAATTAAATTTATTCTTATTCAACTTCTTCATTTTATAAAGTTTTCACAGATTTATTCTGTCTTGTTCTTTTGTTATCTTTATCTTATCAACAATTGTCAACAAGATACCTTATTCGGTCGTAACTAACACTTTTCTGATTCACATCTTATCCTCAGACCTCTTTAACAATTCTTATAAATAAAATAATTGACTTTAGAACTATTGTCCGGTCTCGTTGACTCTTTTTGTGTTAATATTATTTTTTATTTTCTAATATTTTTTATTTGATATTTTAAAAGAAATATCACACGATGGATGTTCTCGATCAAAAAAATATGAAGGGGCATTTTCTTGTCATGGATAATGCTCCAATCCATAAGTCGGCCGATGTTGTAAACTTGATTAAATCTCGCGGATATAAGTGTGCCTACTTGCCCACATACTCTCCATTTCTGAACACCATTGAAGAAATGTGGTCTAAGATTACATTTGGTGTGCGCCGAAACGAATTGACAGATAAAGATTCTTTGATGCCTCGTATTCAAGAAGCCGCAAGAACAGTAACTGTATATAAACCATTTCATTTCATTTTTTGATCGTTGCTTGAATTTAGAAAAAAATCTTTAAGTTTACATCCTTCTCTTTTTCTTTTTTTTTTTTGTCTCTCTAATTTGAAATATGTTATAAAAATGAGATATTAAACTAATAAAAACCATTTTATGCTATAACACTATTTTTTTTTTAATTTTTGATTAAAGGCAGTTAACGCAACGAAAGTCTTTTATGATCGCATTTGGCTGATAGCCAAATATGTCAACTTTATTTGGAAAAAAAAAAATCAATATAGCAGTAATCAAAAGATGTAAATTTATTTGTCAATGGACGCCAACTCGAATTCATAAGGTGCCAAATTATATTCAAAATCCAGTAGTAATAAAAAATAAAAAGGGAAGATTTCATACATTTTAAGTCTCTACTCTCTTGCAAAAAAAAAAAAAGTCGACGTCATAGTTTGAATTTAAATACCCTTCTATTTTCCCAAAGGAGTTTTTTTTTTTTTCAGAATTGTTTTTTACACTGCTTACGTTTACTTATGTCTGCACTTCAGTTATGAGAGATGAAATAAGAATTTTTAAAATTTATTAAATATAATACATATATGTATATATATATGTTTGGAAGGTAATAGGCCTCTCGCCTTTGTATGTTGTACATCGCGGCCGTGTTTCGTTGATCACTCACTGCACGGGTATCTCATCTCTGTAGGAGCTATTCGGGAGGCATTATCTTTGCATGTGCTTGGGAATAGCTTTCTATTTTGATGAGGGAGAGGTGACCCATTCGCCTTTGTATGTTGTACATCGCGGCCGTGTTTCGTTGATCACTCACTGCACGGGTATCTCATCTCTGTAGGAGTTATTCGGGAGGCATTATCTTTGCATGTGCTTGGGAATAGCTTTCTATTTTGATGGGTGAATGCTTGAACTTCTTTACATATATATATACTTTTAACAATTCTATTTGTAGGTTTTTTAATGTTACAATGTTGATTTCTTATATTCTAGTCATTCAATATTTTTTTTTCAAGTTCCTGACTCAACTAAATTCTAGATAATCACACTCATGATTAATAATGTACTTAGCCACAGTCCTATCATTAGTAGTATGTGCACTTTTATATAAAACCTCTTTCTAGGATATGTATTCTAATATGTTTATATTTTAACAGAGAATGGTGATCAGAAACTTTGAAATAATAAATATAATCACCAGCATTAAAAAAGAAGATGATCTTGCCTTTCTATCCCCTCTCTCAACACAAAATCCCTGCTTTCGTGAGGACTCTTTTGACTCTTCTAGCTCTTATGATTCTTCTAACTCTTCATCATCATCTGCTTCTTGTTGGGAATCCAAAGAAAAAAAGCTACGCATATTAAAAAAAGTTGAAGATGCTGTTTCTGACTTCATCAACAAAGATGATTATGCCTCTTTCTGCTGGGAAGATATTGTTTTTTAATTAAAAATAAAATATATATCGATTTATGGGATTTGTTTTTGTGTTTGTAATTACCAAAAGCAATCTTTATCTTTTTCAATGAGTGCTCCTGCTGATTTTTGGGCTTCATTAACATGATAAATTTCGCCTAAGATTGGGAGGTGCTGCCTTGTTCAAAGGAGCAATTATAATAGCTGATTTAACTTTCAAAAACCACCTCTGGAGGTCTTATGTTGATGTTAAATCTATGAAAATACTGCTCTCAAGATAATTCATAGCTGTCTTACCCCTCGACCCACGCTATACAATTTTCAACTTTAGCTGGATTTGTTACTGGGAAATGATTGAGACTAGCTACTGTTTCAAGAACTATACTGAAATCATGTCGTAAAACATACTTCAACTAATCGTAAACTTTTTTCTCCTTCATTAATTTTTTTTTTTTTTTTCATGTCCATCATATAAAAAAAAAAAAAAAAAAAAAAAAAAAAAAAAAAAAAAAAAAAAACAGGCATTTATCATTAGGTTGTATTTTTATTAGGATGAGAGCAGGGCAAGCAAGGTACAGAAGATATGCGACAATCAGGCGTAATATTCCAGCCAATTTTAGTTAGCTAGTTCTGACAATTGTTTTCAACCAAGGGATAAAAACAATTTATACTCATGACATTAACTTTTCTAAACTCGACATTTATTTTTGGCGTTCTGCCATTTATTTTTGCGAAAACGCCAAATTCTATAGGTTTGACTGTATATAAAAAGTAAATAAACTACTTTTTTCTTACATTCTTGCTTTCAAAGAAGATAGTAATGCTTTACTACATTCAAATAAAAGGCAAAACTTATCTCTAAAGTATTAAAAAGAAAAGAGAAAAAAAAAAGACAAGTAGAAAGGCAGGAGAGAAGATTTAACGCAAAGTAAATTAAAAACAAAAAAAATACGCTAAGATTAAACTTTAATAACTTCTCCTTCTTTTCGTTTATTTTTTTTCTCCTGAATTTTACTATAAAAAAAGTGCATTTTTTCGTTTTTTTCTTCTTCTTTTTTCTTTAGCTTTTTTTTATTTTTCCTATTCTTCTTTATTTTTACTTGAAACTATGGGTAGACATTGTCAGGGTTATGAAGTGTGCTCAAGTCACATAGCTTGGCTTACTTGAGTTTGTAGAACTGTCCGTTTATAACATGGCTAAAGGGGAGGGCCTAGACTCTCTTTTGGTTACTACATGCATATCCGCCTTCACCTTGGGTTATTGCAACCTTAGATAATTGATGGGACCTTATCGAATTTTGACTGCTCAAGTTTGATTTATTTCCAAAGGAGGAGGGAAATAAAAAGGATACTTGGGGTTGGAAATTGTAAACCTGTTCCTTTTTTAGGGAGATTAGCGTACTCTTTGTCTGCACCATTGAAAGGGCTTATCTCAAGGTTTAGTTTTTCTGTTTTTCTTTTTGGAGGTTTTTCCTTCTTTTTATTTTTATCTAGTTGCTGTTTATAAAATAAAAATAGATAAGGATGCACAGCTTACGTTTCTGACCGTGGTTTTTTCATCTATTTATTTTAGTTGAAGAATCCCAACTTGTATTTACTGTTAAGTCAAAAGTAGATGCTAGGGGTCAAAGAAGGGACATTCTCAGGTAAACAATAGTCAGGTCGTGCACTTCATGTATCTGGATTCCTTCCACTTCGCCACGCTACAGGTCAGAATGTTTAGCCCGGCTTCCAGTGAAACTTACATCCAACTGTATTTTTTATTGGGGTAGGAAGTGAGGAATCCTATCTTTTTCTTCTAGCAAGGCTTGGGTCAGGTTGGTACTTTGCCAAGTGTCTACTAGTCGAAATTGGACGTTTATCTTTCAAGTAGAAATTTAGAGGGAGAAGAAAAAATTACAGCCTGTATCAATTTGTTTGTGTATGGGTTGTAATATTATTTTTGGGATTAGATATGCTTTCACCTTCTCGTGGTTAATCCTGTTAGTATCAAGTCTCTTCTACTAAAGAGATTTGAGAACTAAGAAAAGCATCTTTTTTTTATGATATTAATAAAAATGAAAAAAAAAACACATTTTTAACTTTCAACTGGGATAAGATAACACGTGCAGTGAGTTTAGAGGACTTGACAAAGATGAGGTTTGAATTAATTCACATAGGGTGCAGATTTGTCTGAATTATATCTGTGATCTCCGTACAATCAGTTATACAGTTGTCAGATGTGTCAAAGTATTATTTTTCAAGGAATATAAATTTAATCATTTTTACCAGTATATTTGTATTTCTTCAGCCACAAAGAAGCTTTTTTTATTTTTTGAAGACTGAAGATGCGAGAACTATTTATAAGCTTTTTCAAAACTTGCTTTTTACATTTCCTTAAAAAAAGAAAAAAAAAGCAATGAACTATAGTAATGTGCCCCCAAATTTATCTCTTGCTTCAACATTAAAGTTGAAGTTCCTGATATTAAATTGATTGAAGTTGAAGAAGATCATCAATACGACTTTGATAAAAACAAGAGGTTTCAGGCATGCTTACCTCTCACCTTATTCTTACAAGCTTAATTATATAAAACAATTCTAGTCTATTGTTAAAAATTAAGTTGAACTTCGCCAATTTCATTAGGATATTGAGGATTTAGTAACTAGAGTATCCGAAGCTTGCAATACTTTCCCCCTCTCCCACAAACATATTCGAGAATTTTTACAACACTCAATGAATATAATTTAATATAAGGATTTACTTTTTAGAATCCAATGAAGCTACATGTAAAGCAAGAATGTATCTTCTCCTTTAACGCCAGTTACCTGTATTGGATTTGTATCATGTGTATTGATGGTGAAAGCATTTTACTAGCCAACAGTAAATTTTATTAGGCACAATAAATTGCTATTGCTGCTCCAAAAAAATTTATTCTCATCTTCTAATTTATGTAATAATACTCCTTTTTAGATCTGTACTTGAATAAGTTTTTTTTTTTTAAAAAAAAAAAAAAAAAAAAAAAAAAAAAAAAAAAAAATAATATTTTTTCTTTCTAATAGCTTTAAATCATGTCAAAAAGAACACTTGAAGAAGCTGATTTAAGCATAGAAATAAACAGCCCCAATAAAGCTGCAAAAGTATCAGATTGGCAAGAAAAAGATTTTGATGTTCGTAGAGTGCAAGCTTTATTATTAAATCGATTAAATGGCATTGAATTACCTCCTCGACTTCATGGACTTGATAATGAATACAACACTTTATATAAATTACTTAAACAAACAATAACAGCTGGTGAAAGCAATTCATGTCTGTTAATCGGCAATAGAGGTACTGGTAAAACTGCTCTGGTTCGTACAGTCCTAAGAGATTTACAAAAATCGTATAAAGAATTTTGCATTGTTCGATTGAATGGACTAACAGAAACAAATGATCGACTTGCTTTAAATGAAATTGCACGTCAATTAGTTAAAGAGCAAAAAGAACATGCAGAACATACTTTTGTAAGCCTAGTTATAAAAAAGAAAAGAAAAGAATCTCACTTCTCTTCTTATTTAGACTTCATTTGCTGATTCCTTTGATTATCTTCTTTCACTTTTAAAATCAGGTGATAAAGCATCCTTACCTGTGATATTTATATTAGATGAATTTGATTTGTTTGCTCAACATCCAAAGCAAGCTTTGCTTTATAATTTATTTGATGCTGCTCAAAGTGCACAGAACCCAATGGCCGTTATTGGACTCACTTGTCGACTAGATACCCTTGATTTATTAGAGAAACGTGTCAAGTCTCGTTTTTCACATCGACAAATCTATTTATTTCCTTCATCAAACTTTGGTCAGTTTTTGGAAATAGCGAAAGGAACGTTGGAATTACCTGAGAATTATCCTTCTAGTACAGAATTCAATCGATCGTTGGAAGAGTTATTTCAACATCCTACACTTAACAGTATTTTAAGACGTATCTTTGATATTTCAAAGGACATTCGCATGTTTCATAAGATTTGTGTATGTGATAAATGAAGTCTTTTTTGTTTTGTTTTTAACTCTTCTCCTTTCTCTTTTTCTCTCTCTTTTTAAATATACAGTTTCCAGCTGTCTACAAGTTGCGTCCTGAAGCGCCTTATTTAGATTTAGAAGAATTTCTTGAATCGAGTCTAATACAGCGTGCTGATTCTAAAACAGAAATATTAAAGGGAATTGCATTACTAGAACTTATTTTAATCATTAGTATGAAAAAGTTAATGGAAAAGGATATCACAACTTTTAATTTTCAAATGGTTTACGACGAATATAAAGATTTTATGAATCAAACACAGATCAACGGTATGGGGATTGGCATGAAGCTATATAAGAAAGCTGTAGCATTAAAAGTAATGGTCTTTTTTTTCTTTAATATTAAAAGAAAAGATGTAACTAAATTTGATTCTACTTTTTTGGTTAGGCTTTCGAAAATTTACAGATGTTTGAATTAGTGTGTCCTGTTGACATTGCAGGAAAATGTCCAAAAGAATATCGCATGACAAAGCTAATGTTAGAACAAGCACAAGTTACTGAAGCAGTTTTAAAATATAATTGTTCTCAAATAGTTAAAAAATGGGCAACAGGTGCTGCATAAAAAAGGATTTAATATTTGTGTTTAAAAAAAAATGATACGCAAAAATAAGTATTTTACACTTTGAATTTAGACATTTTAAATGAATCAAAAATAAAATGCAAATGTCATGTTTACCTTTTTTGGATGACATTGAATGTCAATTTATACTTTTTTTTTAGAAAAAAAAAACTGTAGATGCAGATAATAATACATGTTATAGTGCAAAACATAAAAAAAGTTTTCTAATTAAATAAAATTTCGTAACCTCTGAAGACATGCACTAGTTTGAGTCCCGGATCTTTGAAAGAAACATACAAAAAAGGGGATTGTTGTGGGTCCAACTTTAAAAAAAAAAAAACACTAACAATACCACAAATTCATGTTACAGCCTACAACCAATTATTTTCAAAATGACTATACCAACATCCTTCTAAGTTATAAGTTGCTCTGTCATTATAATTATATATACCGCATTAAACTAAAGAAAAGAATATAAATTAACATTTTACAATGTCCAATAGAAGATTAAACATGGCATCTGCATTTTATTCTTGATTCTTTTAGAAGGTGTAAAATGAACTAATGCAATTTAATATTCAATAAAAATATTAAAAGTCAGCTAAAAATAGAAAAAAAATTTTTTTTGGGAACTCCTTCAGTAGATAGATAAAGCAAAAAGCCTCAAATCACGTGGATTTTTACAGATACAGACTGTTAATTGAAATAAGGAAGGAGATGAAAGCGGAGGATATAGAAAAAAAGAATTTGAACTAAAAAGATTTTTTCTTTTTTTTTTTTTTTTTTTTTTTTTTCAACTGAATTTTATATATTTTTATGTTCTGCACTTTTGATCCCAAGCTTGATCAAATCCTCTTCATTCACGGCGACTCTCCTACTTCGTGTTGGCACCCATAAACTCGAAATAAGCTTATTAATCTCATTAAAACCTTTTTTTAACAAAAAAAAACCAGAAAAGAGATTCCCATCTTTTAAATTTAATTATTCCTAATTTCTCTTATTTACTTTTTTTTTTTCCTCCATCTTTTTTTTATATATATTCATATATATTTTAAATTAATCTAAAAGAACAATTGCACTTATTATTTTAGATAACTTTTCGATACCAAACATCTCTATCTTCTTCTATATATATTTATATACATATTTTTCATTATACTCTTTTTTTTTTCATCATCATCATTATCAAAATGTCTCGAAACAGCTCTCCTCTTGGACGTATGCTTACCGTCATTGACTGTCCTAATTCAGCCTTACGCTTTTTGATTCTTGATTGTCCAACAGAGTCAACTTTGGATTTCTATATGGAAGAATTTATGCGACTCAACGTAGTAGCTGTTGTTCGATGCTGTCAGCCTACTTATAGTGCTGCTCGGTTAACTGAAAGAAATATACAAGTATTAGATTTACCTTTTAAAGATGGTGGTGTGGTAAAGTATACAGCAGCATTTATATTAATAAAGAAAAAAAGGGGGGAAAAAAAAAGAACAAAGTAAGCTAACTCTTCCTTTATTTTATTTTTTTTACCCTCTGATATGACTAATAGCCCCCTCCGCAAATTGTGCGTGAATGGTTACAGTTAGTAGAGAAAAATAAACAAATAGCCGAAACAGCCAAACAGGAAGGTACTGCTGCTCCTACAATTGCAGTTCACTGTGTAGCAGGATTAGGTAGAGCACCTGCTTTGGTAGCTATTGCCTTGATTGAAATGGGAATGAAACCTTTGGATGCTATCGAATTTATCAGAGGAAAAAGACGAGGAGCCTTTAATAAACCTCAAATTGCTTACCTTGTAAAGTATTGAAAACGAAAAAAAAAACAGTTTTATATATATAGTTTATTTAACTCTTTCTTTCTTTTTTAGGATTCATATAAACGTACTTTGAAGCCTAAATCAGCAGCTTCTAATTATTCATTCAGAACATCTCTTGGTCGTATGTTTAAATTAGGTGGTACTAGTAATAAAACTACTAATCCATCTCCTTCTACAAATGGAAATACATTATCACAGTTAACATGAATCCATGGCCCCTTTTATTACTGTTATTATTTTTGCTTTATCAACAACTTAGTATTAGATTATTATTGTTATTTTATTTTAATAAAGAAGAAGATTTTTGTAATGAAGAAAAAAAAAGTAGTAGTAGTAGTAGTAGTATCATGTGTGTCTTTTGAATAATGATTTTCATCTTTTGTAAATACTAATAAAATACACATTTATATCAATATTTATTACATATGAATATAGTAATTGAGCAGATGATATTTATATCTGAAATTGCTCTATATTAAAAAAAAACACAATTAACTAGCTTTTTCTTACTTTTAAATATTAGTTAATAAACAGTATTTATTATTAATCCTTCGTATAAGCAGGTGGTGGTATTGAACAATCATGACATAATGATTCTATATCATTACTATCATTGTCATTAGTAGTAGTAGTAGTAGTGGTAGTAGTAGTGATAGCAGTATTGGTAGCAGTAGTGGTAGTAATACAACTCTGTTGCTGAGGAAAGTGATTAGGTGTATTTGTAGACGAAGAGGATTGATGTAATAATAATAATTCTTTTGCAGATGGTGCAGAGGGCTCCGGTACAAACATAGAAAATGAATTAGATACAGGTGGGGATAACAATAAAGGAGAAACAAGGGATAAGTCAGTCATGATAGATGATGAATTCATGCCCTGGTCTATCACAACAGACGACATGATTGCAGTGGAGGAGCTTTTAAGAAGAAGTTTATTTGAGGTATTTGTGATTTCCCTTAATTCTGAATTCACTACCTCTGTTTCTTCTTCAGCTTGGCAAGTTGATAAAGTACAAGGCCCTTGGTCTACGCTATCGTGAAAATGTCTTCTTTGTTTACATTTTCGAAAATACCAATATATCATAATACCCACGCCTAATGCGAATGAAATCGCTAACCCACCTGTTAAACTCAAGACAACGGCTAAAGTCCGTAATTGTCTCTCATTTATATGTAAATGATGTAAGAGAGTTGAAGAAGGAACTTGCTCTGAGGTTGTTAGTGTGTCTGTATAAGCATTAGCAGTAATAGAGGGTCCGAATATTGCCGATGTTGTAGTATAATTATTCATGTATCTGATAGGAGCTCATAACCAATATTTATACGTAATTGAAAATAAAAATAAATAGAGAAAGAGAGAGAGAGAGAGAAAGGATTGATGTGAGAAGGAATAATCTACTGGTTTCCCTCCTCTCTCTTTCCTTTTTTTTTCTCCTCCCCAACCCCTCCTGTTTTCTTTGTGTATACACATATCTATCTTTTTTTTAATTAATTTTCAGGGATAAAGAAAAACAGTATTATACTTTTTAGCAACAACAGCATTTTAAATAAGTATATATAAGGAAAGAAAGGAGAGAGAAAGAGAGAGAAGAAGGAGCAACAAATAGATGCCATGACAAAAAAAAAAAAAAATAAAAAATTACTTCCTGAAGAAGAATAAGCGGGTTTTCTTTTTTTTTTTTTTTTTTTTTTTTTACTTTTCTTTTTAAGGATTGTGGCTGAAATTAATATATAAAGTAAATCTATGATATGATATTATTTATAAATAACTCAGTATAGACATGCTAACAAATTGCTATTGCGCCGCTTATGCAGCCTATATTTGTATATTATAGTCTAATATTCGAATAATAATAGGAACACCTTGCTAACTAATGTTTGTATCAATAACTGGCTACTCATCGGTTTAAAACATCCAAATTTAGAATATATTGACCGAGACATATCTACACTGAATATATAAATACTAGAGATAAAAAAAATATATATGTATTCATATAATAAAAATGAATAGAATAAAATCAGTAGATAGTAATATATCTGATAATGTCTTTCTTTTACCTTCAAATAAACTTTCTTCAATGGATAATAATAATAATTATTCTTCATTATCACCAGCCACAACTATCGGAGTTGAGCAAACTAAAGGTAACAGTCAACAACAAGAAAATTTTGTGACAATGACTACTACTACTCGAATGGATCGATTGAAAGCTCTGTGGAAATATATACGACCATTAGCTATTATGCTCTTCATCAATATAGCATTACCTTTGGCTTTGTATTATATTTTAAAAATTTGGTTAAGTGTTCTAGTTGCATTAATTTTATCTGGTATCCCTCCTTTTTTACATGTCATTTATCGATTTTGGAAGAGCAAACAATTTGATATTATTGGCTGTATTTGTGTAATCTCTTATATTACTTCAGCTGTGCTTTCACTCATTACTAGTAAGAAATATATATAAAAATATGTATATTATACTTACCGTTAACATGACGATAACATATTTATTCTATAGAGAACGTGAGATTGAATTTACTTCGTGATTCTTTTACGAATGCACTTATCAGTTTATTATTCTTTGTGACCTTAATTCCAATACATACTCGTTGGTGTAAAGTACGACCTCTTATATTCCTTATAACGCAACAAATGTTATCTGAACGGCCCGATGTAGAATGGACTGATAGTCAAGATGAGAAACACACTATGAATCGCTCAGAATGGTTATGGGAATATGTTCCAGCTTTTCGAAAATTTTGTTATGTGCTGACTGCCGCTTGGAGTGCGGCACTGATGTTAGAATTTATAATCAAAATCATCTTTATTGAAGCCACACATTTAACCATAGATCAAATTATTCTTTATGGCAATATCATTATTGCCGTCATAACTGTCTCGATGACTATTATTACCATACTCGGTAGACGATTCATTTATAAAAGAATAATCTCTACTGCAAAGGAATGGCATAAGCAGAATAATTATAGTAATCGGTTATGACGATAAAGAAAGAAGCATATATTATTTATTCTTTAATTTATTTAATTTTCGTAATGACATGTAATATTATTATTTTATTTTTTTTATATACGTTTATTTGTATATTTTTTTGTATATACGAATATCTAAAAAAAATACATACAGTGCAACAGATAAATAGTGTTTTAGTATTTAATAACTCTTTTGTAACACCTATAAATAATAAAGATTAGATTTACTGCCCTTCTTTATGTCTTTTTATTATAACTATTGTATATCGAAAACTTTTTTTTTTTCAAGTGTGGTTTTAATTGAGTACTTTTTTGATAGATAACTTCATTTAAAAAAAAACAATGCCTAAGGATTTGCTGACCTTTAGATTGCCTGAAAGGTTTTTTTAAAATTGGATCTGATACTGTAATACCTGTAAAGGTGATTACAACTGGTGAAGAATATTTTTTTTTTTTTGTGCAAATGTACCTTGTTAGTAACAAAGTATATTGTGATACGCTATTGATACTAAAATTTGATTACATATTACGTTCTCAAATTATAAAAAGCAGCATTGATTGCAGGAGCACGTAGAAAATAAATAAGTATTTTTTTTTTCGACTGATATATTTCATTATTATTAATATAAGCATTTCCTAATGGTTTAAAATGTTCGACAACTTCTATCCTGAAGCCCCTTCACATTTCTGATAACAAAATTCTATTTTCAAATTTTCACTATTCATACAAGGTATCGCAAAACAGATGATGTCTTATAAAAAGATAAATGAAGCATTCCTTTAAAATAGATAAATAGAAGAAATATTATACTTTTTTTTGGAAGAATTAAGAAACTTTTCAAAATAGAGATTATTACGGCGATCGATGGAATCAAGCAAATGGGAAGATCTTTAAGTCTTAGTGAACTTGCATTCTTTAGTACTAAAAGATATAATGATACATTACATGATTTATACAAAAGCCCTTAAAATTCTAGAATATTAATCTGGTTATTCAAATAAATATGTATATTGGAGAATAAAGCTGATCAAAGTATGCATATTTTATTGATATTAATAAATAGTATTCAAGCTATATTATATCAAATGAATACATATTACCAACTCAAAAAAAAAAAAAAAAAAAAAAAGCATTTAACCTGCTGATAAGAAGGAAACCAAACCACTGTATAATATCTTAGGCCCTTGAAAGAATCTTTATGACTATGTAATTAAGAACATTAAATACTAACAATAGTATTTTTTTATTTGATACTTGATAATTATTAATTACTACCGGTCTTTTTAACCCATATTATCATTATCAAACGAAAAGAGATGCTTTCTTTGAGAGATATATAAGAAATAAAAACCTATTTGCTAAAACATTTCGATAACTTGCATCAAAATCTTTAGGAATATATTTATTTCAAAGAAATTCAGCGGAAAAAAAAAGTGAAATTTAGCTGTATCGAATATGAAAGATCCAGTATTTTCAATCATATGAAGGAATTAATTAAAGACATGATTAGGACGCCAGAAGTAATAACATATATATGTATATATTCGTTTATTTATCAACATCTTTTCTTTCATTTGCTCATGAACTGAATATGGTAGAATCCTTAATAAAAATTTTTGTAAAATATCAAAAAAATTAAACTACTGAATAATCACTGTCAATTCCTCGAACTCTCCATATTATTTTCAACAAAAATAGATGGCCCTATAAATTTATCATCATTAATTGATGATACTATTTTATTCTTTTCAATTTTATTCTAAGAAGCAACCCCTCTTCATCAACGCTACTTTACTATAGCCTATTCATCATAAAGTTATACATCTCTTAGTCGACGCTTTCTTACATATCTATCATATTTACCTAAAGACACTTTCTTTTTCATTATCTTTTTTTTTTGCATTTGTTCCAATAAAATTTTCGATCTCTTTTATTTTAATATAAGTAGAATAAGCTTATTGGTCAACAAAAAGTAAACTATGCCCATAACGTTATTATTTAGCCATAACCATAGTTATTTTCTGGGTTTATTTTATTTTTATTTGTTTTAATTTTTTATTTTTTTTTTTAGGGGGGGGCGACGGTGGGGAGGAATCGACTCCAAATAGAAATCGATAGATGAATAAGTTAACCAAGAGTCGATTTTTGATTGGAATAACTTTCCTTTTTATTTCTCAGTAAACTCGATATAAATGGTTTAAACAACTAGTAATAATAAAAAATGAAAATTCGAAAATATTAGAAGAAAAATTTTTTTTTGTTTAACATAAAAAAAAAGGGTAAAGTATAACCTATCAATGTTGTACACTATTTCCGGAAATTATTCGTTCATAAAAAAATAAAAATTTCGTTCACAAAAAAATTAAAAAATAGTTCACAAAAAGATTTTAAAATTCATTCGTTTTTAATGAACGAAATAAGCGAAATATTAAACTGGCTTTCGATTCAAGCAATCATTAAACTTATCAACAGAGTAGCGGCAGAAACCTTGAAGGTCACTGAGCAAAATATTGTTGCATGAATCTCGGATTCTTGATGTCATTGTCTCTTCCTCCAATAACCTTTCTCGCTTAAGTTTACTTTTGACTACTGACCAAAATTGTTCAATAGGGTTCAATTCAGGTGAGTAAGAAGGAAGATATATGCAACGATATCCACGACCTTCAATATACTTCTGTATATCTTCGTGTTTATGAATGGGGGCGTTATCCATTACCAGATAATAGTCCTTAAATTTTGGATGTAAATCCATGACATCCAAACAGCTAGCAATGAAGTTAAAATAATGACCAGTAACTGTGCCCCCTTTCGTTGCTTGTTTAGGAACAGGTTTACTTCCCTCTGCTTTTCTTTTTTTATTTGGAGCCTGAATTTTTGGTCGTCTTACTCTAATATTAATTACGCCATGTGCACATATGGCTCCTAGTATAGTTGTTGTTTTTGCCCTAGTTTTAGGTACAACAACTACAGCCCTTTTTCCTTTTCTAGACCAAGCTACTGATCTCTTCATGTTAATATGAAACGCAGCTTCATCTATGAAAACGCAATTGCTGAAATAATCCATATCAGTTTCAAGTATCTTTTTCACCCAGTGGCACCGCTCCTCAATTTTTTCAGGACTATTTCTTTCTATTGAGTGGAAATGAGCTCGTTTAAGGGTGATATTGCATTTCTTGGTTACAAAGTTATGAACTGCTGATTTTTTTATTTCAATACCGGGGAATTGACTAGTGAGACCTTCTATCATTTCTTCCAATGTAGAAGATGACTTTTCGTCAATGAAATTGATCAGAAACTGTTTATGTTTCTCTGTAAGAATAGGAGGTCTACCAGCTTTTCTACCACTTCCAGTTTGTCTCAGACTCATTTCTTCATCCCCAGCAAGCTCTGCTTTCTTTTTCCAAGTTTGTGCCGTACTTTGAGGCACTTTTATTTCCTCAGCAGCGGCACGTACACTCATCCCTTTCTCATAAATAAGGTAAAAAAAGTAGTTTTTGACTTCAGGCTTATAAGTTCGATATGTTCTTTTATTTTCATTGTTATCTTTTTTTTCTTCGTCCTTCGTAACCACTTGTTCAATCTTGGCAGGTTTTTCAGGTGGCTTCAAGTCCAAGTACGTGTCGTAATTAGTAACATCCTCAAGAGGATATTCTAATTCATCAACTTCCATCTCAAGAACTGCAACTGGTTCGCCTTCTTCATTGCGAAGGTTTCCTTTACCATCTTCATGTATAAATTGGTCCATTGTTAAAAAAAAATTATTTTCAAAAAATGAACGAGATTATTTCCTGCGAGTAATCAACTTTAAAATCTTTTTGTGAACTATTTTTTAATTTTTTTGTGAACGATTTTTTATTTTTTTTTAATGCATTTTTTTTTCTTTTGTGAACGAAATTTTTATTTTTTTATGAACGAATAATTTCCGGAAATAGTGTACTTTTTAACAATCGGAGGTAAGATAATGTTTTAATTAAAAGAAGGGGTGGAGAAATAATAGAAGATTTATGAAAAAAAAAAAAAAAAAAAAAAAAAAAAAAAAAAAAGTGCTATAAATTGGTTACAGTTACCAATAATTTATTTATTCATTTATTTCTCTTTTCCTATATCTTTTTTCTTTTCTTTTTGTTTTTCTTTTTTGTTTTGTTTAAAAATACATAATAATTTTTGAAAATGATTTCTATTACAGAAGATATCATTAGCTATGCATCAAATGTATTAACTATAGAAGCAGCTAACCTGAAAAGCGCAGCAGAAAGATTGAAATCAACCACAGAATCAAAAGAAGGATATCAGCAAGCAATCTATTTAATGTTCAAATCATTAGATATAGGTGGAAAAATCATTGTCACAGGAGTCGGTAAATCTGGAAAAATTGCAGAAAAAATAGTAGCAACCATGTTATCAGTAGGAATATGTGCAACATTTCTTCATCCTATTGAAGCATTACATGGTGATCTCGGTATAGTTCAACGCAATGATATTATTTTGGCTATATCATTTTCAGGGAACACTGAAGAATTACTGATGCTTTTACCTAGTTTAAAGCATCGGCGTATCCCCATTATCGGCTTAGGCGGAAATCCTAAGAGTAAATTAGCAAAAGAGTGTGCTGCCTGGATTGATGGATATGTGCAATGTGAAGCTGGAGATTCTATTCCTGCTCCTACTTGTTCAACTACTCTAGCTTTGGCTCTAGGTGATGCGTTAGCATTAACATTAGCTAAATTGAGAGATTTTAATAAAGGTGATTTTGCCTTAAATCATCCAGGAGGCTCACTCGGTAGAAGATTGCTATTGAAAGTTAAAGACATCCTCATTAGCTCATCTAAAGTAGCATGTGTGAGTAGAGATACACCGCTTGATGTTATTATTATGGAAATGACAAAACATCCAAGAGGATCTGGTGTTATTGTGATAGAAAAGTTTGATAATGATAGTGACGCTACAACACAAAGAAGAGATTATCAACAATCACACTTTAGAGACCATGAACTATTTCCTTCTCCACCACTTTCAGAAGCTTCATCTATGATAGAAGATGACGATGAAGTATATTCAAGGGTAGCTGATTCTAATCACAGTCTAGTAGTAGTGGGTGTTATCACACATGATGACATTCATCGTGTTCTAAAGTCTTCTTCTATGCGAGAAGATGTGTTTAAAATTCGTGCTATTGATATTATGACTTCGAATCCAATTGTTTTTGATGAAAACAGATTAACTTCAGAAGCAGTCTCGTTAATGAAGGAGAAAAATATTCCCTTATTACCGATTGTACGATATGAAAAATATTTTATTGGCGTTGTTACATTAAAAGACCTTCAAGAATTATTTTAATTATTTTTGTTACTATTATTATTATTATTATTATTATTATATACATATATATATAATATATATATATATATTGGTGCTTGCATTATGTATTATTATTCTGACTGCTTATAAGCAGCTATTCCATATGCTATTACAATTATTTATAATTACAAACTAATACCTTAAACTGAATAAAAATTATATTTATTTACAGTGTGCAAAAACTCCTTTTGCAAGTAACATTACAACAAGATAGTATTGATGTCTGTATACAATGAAAAAAAAGAATATAAATTACATTATAACTGTCACTAAATAAGCAAATATTACATTTTATGATATAACTTTAAAGTATATCTTGAAATATAATGAGACACGTCAATAATGAAGAATGTATATACATGTATATGTATATTACTTCAAATTTTATAGTGCAGTTTTTTTTTTATTGCTTTCATTTATTGCAATACAAGTTATTAAAAATGATCCACTGATAAAGTGATACGAATTAGTTATTTTGCAAAATAAAATTATACCTGCATAATAAAATTGCATGATATGAGATAATTAAAGCAACAGGTTGTTCATTTTTTTTTTATCATTTGCTAGACAAAGTTTTATTGAATAATATGAGCTGAATTAAGTCTTCCAGTTGTTAGTTGAAAAATTATTACTACGGGTATATGGCATATGTCAAGTTAGTTATGGAGGATTAAATGGCAAGTATATAAGCACAATTGTTTTTGATAAATATAATAGTATCAAGAAAATAATGACACATTTTAAAAAGGATTAATTCATGCCACCTAAATGTAAAATATGTTTTTAGGTTAATATTTTTATAGGCAAATGTTTAATAGAGTTATGCAAGACCAAAGTATTATTTGTTACTAAAGAAGAGCCATACCATAAAAATTAGAAAAAAGAGAAAGAGCAACAAAATATACTTTGTGTTATTTTTGCTGAATAGAAATGATATTTTGTATACTTGACTAAATAAACAACTCATTTTATTTTATATATAAGCTTGATATGATCTTTATTTAGTATACACTTATGTTAGAAAAGAGAGTTTATCATAGAGTGTTGGTAAGATAAAGATAACAAAAGAATAAGACAGAATAAATCTATGAAAACTTTGTATAAAAATTTTATTATCAATAAAAAATTTAAAATAAAACTTAAAAACTTGATTTTTTTTAAAGATGAGTGTAAGATAGATCCTTATTTATATCTTGTGGAGAACGAGTTTGTGATATTTCTTTTAAAATATCAAATAAAAAATATCAGAAAATAAAAAATAATATTAAGACAAAAAAGAGTCAACGAGACCGAATAATAGTTCTAAAGTCAATTATTTTATTTATGAATTTAAACTGATGGGGTATTTATAAGAATTGTTAAAGAGGTCTGAGGATAGGATGTGAATCAGAAAAGTATTAGTTACGACCGAATTAGGTATATTGTTGACAACAAAGTGTTAGTGATTTTAATATTATTAGATGGAGCGGATCAAGAGAGAGTTAGGATAGAATTTCTTAAATGAATTTATGATCCGCATGTTTAATCATGAAACATGACATTATAAGTCAGCTCACGACAGTCCTACTTGAATGAATTTCATTATATTTTATAGTGTATAGATAGTATATGATTGTATTCATAAATTAGTATTTTAGACAATATTATAATAATAATGTGTATATATAACTAATAGGTATAATCTATAATTCATATATCTTTATCATTAATAACTCCTTACACTATGTTTTGCTTATTATTATTTCGTAAAGTTAGTATTTATTATAATATTATTTTTCTCATCACAAGAATTTCTTATAAACTGAAATCAAATAATATTGTATACATAAAGTGTACAATTACTAACTATAATATCATTCAGACCTTCATGACTCTGATTTGTATATTATAAGATATTATGTAATACATCATTATATACACAACAGCTTCCCTTGATCAAAATAAAAAAAAAATCAGATATTTCAAAATGATTGAAATAAACCGACAATGATGACGTCATACGTCACGTGACTTATTGAAACTTATCCTATATAATTTTTATTTTTGCTTCGGTTACACAAGCAAGCTCGTTTAGCTCAGTTGGTTAGAGCGTGGTGCTAATAACGCCAAGGTCACAGGTTCGACCCCTGTAATGAGCAATTAATTTTCTTGCTTTTTAATAATGTCGTGTGTATAGCTTTTGGTTGGCTTTTCTGCTCTCTATAAAAAATTGCAGTTGTTAAAGTTTTTAATAAATAATGAGTAAAGGAAGCAAAACCTATTATATTATAAGGTAAAGTAGTTTTTTGTATATAACCTTAACAATTAATTCTCTGTATACATATTTTTTTTAAAAAAAACAACAACTTTTGGTAACATATCATTAAGCTTATAATATAGCCTCTTTAATAATTAATACATAGAATAAATGAAATACCAATTTGCTTTTTCAATTATTAAATTTTATTTGTTTGTTAGCGTAGATATTTATTAGAAGACAATATTGATGCTAATGGTTATTCTTATGCATTTGACATATACACATATATATTTACGTATATTACACGTTTTTTTTTTATATAATTCCTACCGAATTACTATTATCAAAAGAACTAAGTGCAAATAGCTTAGTATATAAAAATAATATATAATAATAATAAAAAAATAATAGCAGTTAGTATCGGTGTATATAATTGTTACTGTAAAATTAAACTTATTTATATTGAACTATTACACATTTATAATAAATAGAGAGAAGTTTACCATGTATAGATACGTATATATTTTATAAATGTAGAGCAAAAAAATAGCAATTGAATAGGTTATAGTATTAATGCTATGATGAATGATATATTAAAAGAAAAGAAAGCTTTAAAAGTACAATAAGGATGGCGCTTTTACAGTAAACTTAAGATAAGTGTTTAAGGCAACTGCAAAAAGAAGTGCAAAACAAATGACGGTAGGCCCAACCGTTTCATCATAAGGACCTGCTGCACGATTTCGAATTAATTCGCGACGACGATAGTAAAGGCCCACACCATATATTAAAGTAGAAATAGAGACAAGTGTGTACATAACACCACTTACTTTACCTACTGCATCTCCTGCATTAAACAAAGCTAATGAAAATGTGGAAAGTAAAGTACCAAAGGACATCCATGAAAAATATGTGCGCTCATTCGCAAAGAACACCTTTGGCTCAACTCGAATAGGTCTAAAGACTTTTTGAGGGATCTTTACTCCAGTTGGTAGGATAACAGGAGGAGCATTTATTTGCCTTTGATGTTGTTCTTGTTGTTGTGAATTAAAATGATTAAAAAATATTGAGTTGATGTTCTCAACTAGACGAGAAGCAAAACTCTTATTTCTAATTTGCTTTACTGTCATAGCTGGCTGATGACTAGGTGGATAATCATTTTGATATGTACCCATATAAGATACTGCCTTATTGTTGTTTCTTAGTAAAGAAGTCCTTTCATTATCGCTATTTGTGCTAGATGATCTTTGCATCTGCTGATGAGAGATATCAGAATGGATAAAACTTGATACACTTGCTGGTACACTTTTATTTTTTGGATGCTTTTTTTGACTGCTAGTACTGCTTACAACAACAGAAGGCGTATTTGAGGGCAAAGTAGGTAATTGATCAATATCATTATCCATCTGTGCTAGCCAATAGGGCAAAAGAGAAACGCGGGTGTCGAACATAACGGCAATACCATGAACAAATTTTGAAAAATCAGATGCTTCCTCTAAAATACCACTTTCTTCTAAATCAGATATCCATTCAGGCATTTTTTCATTAGATGCTAATTCGAGCTTGATTTCAAATGTAGCAAAAGGGTATCGATTGATATCATTCTCATTTTGAATATTATTAAAGGGAAAGTTTATGTCAACATCAGGTCGACACCAATGATTATCCGGACGACGAACCCTATCATCATCTGGAAAGAGTTTAGAATCTTCTCTAATAAAACATAAATCAGTATCAAGTGCCATTCTGACAGTCCTATCTCCAGGAATTTGAAAAGCAGTTCTACGATAATAAGTCCTCAAGACTTGATATAAAAGAATTAGTTCTCTAGTATATATATATGAACACAAATCAAGTTACCTGGTTGCATTTGTTTCTCATGAATTAAATTCTGAACATGTTTAATTAAATGCCTATAGTTGTTTATTTCTTCATCTGATCGACCGCTGTTTTTCATTTTTTGTATAGACTTTTCAATAAATGCTTGGTCTCCTTGTAAAAAATTTGAAACATGTTTATCCTTAATCGTAAATCTATTCTTAAGTTCACCTCGACTTTCCTCTGCTAATGTTCGAAGTTCAAAACTGATAGAACGATTTCTTTTGACGCTTCCATACCAGCGAAGGCGAATAATTTGAGACCCTTCTGCACCTTCAAGACGTGAATTATAAGAATCCAGATCGGTATTATCTAAATAAAGTGAAGAGACTGGAGGATCAATGTTATCTTGATCGTTAGATATATTATTATGATCGCGATATACTAAGACAGGTAGATGACGCAAAACATAGGTCTTAAGCTCTAAAATATTCTCAGGTTGAACAAAAAAACGCTTTACTATTAAATTTCGACCTTCTTCTTCCAATTGTTGTTGTTCTTGATGATAGGTGGGCTTGAAAGACATAGACAAGCCACCTTCTCTCACTTTAGAGAATAAAGTTGATAATTTTAACAATAATCCATCATTATCATTACTTTTTTCATTCCAAAAGGGACATTGATTTAAACGAACCATAAACATTGGACGGAGGATATAATCAGTATGGCGATCATGTTTTTTAATAATTTTCAGGAAACCTGTATAATTGATACGAGAATAACGAGCAAGTCGATTGATATCATCAGCTACCCAGTTGATGTTTTCTTGAATTGAGCTCATTTCTTCTTCAGTTAGTAAATCATTCTTATTTATATTATCATCATATAAATTAATTCTTTTTTTAATTTCTTCCATTTTATCTTGATGAAAAGCATAGACCTTTAAACATTATGTTGTTAATACGCTATACATACATATACATCGCATGTACATACTGCATACATATGTACATAACTCATATCTCATTTACCTTTTCGAGATTATTATCCAATAATTCTACAAATTCTGTTTCATCTTTTTCAGTAAATGGTCTATCTTTTTCTGCTTTTCGTAACTTTTTCTTTAAACTATCATAATCAATATAATAAGCTGTCCATTCTGGATACATAGCATCCTTTAAATGTGAGCCAAACTTCATATTGATAATAGCCTTTTTTTACTTTTAATTGTTTTTTTTTAAAAAAAAAACAAGAAAGAAAAGTAAGAATAAAGTTCTCCACAAAAAAGAAAAAAAAAACAAAACAAAAAAATCCGGAGACTTAAATTTTGGAATTATGATATATTGAGTTGACACATACACATTAGAAGTAATGATGCAATTAAATTCTATTGGCATTTTATTTTATTTTTATTTTTTAATTATTTGACCAAATACAAGCACGCTGTAGGAATACATACTGTATTGCCCAGAATAGTTCGATATAATGAACTATAAAACTAAAAACCTTTTAAGGATGAAAATGAAAGGATAAAGAGAAGCAAAAGTATTAGCAAAAGGAAAAATATCACTAATGATAGAGAAAAAGAGTATTTCAACAAAATCAGCATTAATTTCCAACACGTAATTAAGAGAGAGAACTTTAAGGCAAGGTTAGATATAATATTAGGACGTACTTTGTCATGATACATATAATTAAGCTCAAATCATATGCAATAATTAACTGGTCATTCTATGTTCAAAAGAAAAGTAGATGAGTTGGGGGAAGTTGTGGAGTACCAATTCCTTTGCTTTCATTTGTAAGCTGATTAAGTGAAAATAAAAGCAGATCCTCAATTGTAGCAGGTATTTGAAGCTATTTGTGCATATGTAGGCACATAACCATATGTGATCTATACCAGCTAATATTTGGGTGATAGATGTGGTGTTTTGGTAAAAACTCTTGGACACCATCTAATTAATCGGCTACATTCAGTATGTGTGATAGATAACCACATGATAGGGCCAGCTCCAATCTTGGTATAACCAAAAGGGAGGAAGGTAAATACAGTAGCCGTATTTATTTGTTAGCTAGATAGATGTTGTTTCAAGTAGTTTTTATAGACAATTCGAAAGGATCGTACATCAGGAATTTTATCAACCATTATTATGGAACATAAACTCCAAACACATAATTTAGAGATTTTGTATCATGGAAAATGGCTGCTAGACAGACGAATGTATAGAAGGAGCACAGATAAAAGAGGGTCATTAGGATTTTTGTAACGAACGACATAGGAATTTCGACTGTAGAAAATGTACCCTTTCTCGCATAGTTGAGTTAATGAACAAGATATAATACTACTTATTTTAAGGATCGAGAGCTACCATTGAATATACATCACATACATTTTTTTTGACAAGCTTCTAGCTGTTTGTAGAGTTTTGAGGTAAAGGAACTAATTGCAGGTTCATATTCTAGTTGAACTCAAATAACTTAAGAGTATTCTTTGAAATACAAGACTAGCTTATGGGAAACCAACATCTTGTACATTTTATGGAACAAATATCATTGATTGTATTATTAGTGACTCTAAACTTACTACGCCTTAAATTCAAATCATGGATAATTTATTTCTCAACTTTAATCACAAACTTATGACACTCACGTTCCGATTACTGTCTCCCAGTGCTATCTCCTATACATCCACAAATCCACCACAAAGACAAACTTGGTATTTATAGAATTACGAGCTAATTATCCTATATTGAAAATTTTACTTCTAAATGATACTACACTATTCATGTTTATCTCAACCAAGTATGTAGTAAAAAATTGGCAGCTGTTGATGCTTGTTCCAAACATTTCTAGACACTTGGAATGACTTTGACTTTTAACCGTAAGGAATATTGCTGCAGAATAAGGCGACAGCGATCTTCTCCTGCTATACATAATGCCGTTTGACGAACACTTGTATAGTATTCCTTTCCCAGTTGGAATATGGACTGGTTATCCATACCTTGAATGATAAACTTATTAGACAGTTTTACACTAGTCAAAATACATGTTTCCATTTTATCTTTGGTAACTCTCTCAACATATATATTTTGCACTTTTGGTTTACCCAGTGCTACATTCTTAAATAAAATTATCACTGCTCTTGCAAACGTCTTCTAGTTCTTCATAATAGTATTGCCTTATCAGATCAACTTTATGAAGGAGTTGCGCTCCCTATGAGGGCGATGTAGGTTATTCTATGTTTAAATTATACCATTGCCAGTTCCTAGAAGACAAAGTCAATAATTGTCGTAATGCTCTTAATACCAAATTATAGAATGTGTATCGCCCTAATCTAGATATATATTCTATCCTTTGACTACTAGGTAGAGAGCTTAGAACGTGTGTTTAATATTATACCGAATTGCTTACAAAACTTCGTTCAATTCATTGTCTACATATGCATTGTCGCCTATATCTTTCTCTCTCGGCTGCTGACCCAATATCTTTTCTATTAAACCACCTTGTCCCCCCCACATTATAATTCCACTTATACTATCCTCTAGCCAGAAATATGCACCATTCTTCACGAGCTATATTATATATTTCATGATAAACTTGCCCTTCCATTCTATTAAAAATACTGGTTCTAGGTTACTGCAATGGTTATTTACCAACCGAAACTAATGCGTTATCATTCATCTTTCTTATTACATTACTATAATTTTATTTCACTCACTCTCTCCCTCTTTTCTTTTTTTTTGTCTTGCATCTCTTGTAAGGGTTTTTAGTTTCTTTTTCATTCTTACTTTGTTGAGATAATCTGGACGATCCAGTATCATCTTCTAGATACTACGAAGATCAAAAAATTTAGTAACAATATAATAAAATTTTCATGTGACTGTTTGAGAAGTTTATAATTTTTTAAATTTGCGTAAAAAAAAAAAAAGGACAGATCTTCAATCATTTCTAATTAAATAATGGTATGATTAGAGAATAAGAAGCATGAAAAAAAAAAAAAAACGAAAATGATTGTTTAATTTTATTATTTTATTTAGTCTCGTATAGAATTACTTACACCAGAAGGTTTACGTGTTGATGGTCGTCGAGCTAATGAATTGAGAAAGATTACAGCAAAGACATCTGTTTTTAGTCAAGCTGATGGTTCTGCTTACATTGAACAAGGTAATACTAAATGCCTTGCTGCTGTTTATGGCCCTAGAGAGGTAAAGAAAGAAAGAAAGAAAAAAAAGGAATGAATTACCATTTATAGCTATTAAAATAATCACATTATGTATAGCTTCGTTTCCGTCAACATGGTTTAGCTGATCGCGCACTTATTAATGTTGAATTCAATGTTGCACCTTTCAGCACAAGTGAGCGTAAAAAGAGATCAAAAAATGACAAGTAAATCAAATTTATTGTTAGTTTGATTATAAAAAGTCTTTTATTAACTTATTTTTTTTTTATATAAATTAGACGTTCACTTGAAATTGCAGCTTTTATTCGCCAAACTTTTGAACCTGTTATTTTTACTTCTCAATTTCCTAAAACACAGATTAGCATCTATCTACAAATTTTCCAAAATGATGGAGGTAATATTATATGCAAATATATCTAGTCAGAAAAAAAAACAGAAAGTTAATATGCTAATATTTGAAGGTGTATTGCAAAGTTGTATTAATGCAGCCACTATGGCTTTAATTGATGCTGGTATTCCAATGTTGGATTATGTTTGTGCTTGCTCAGCTGGCTGTATTGATAAAGAACCTGTATTAGATTTAAATAATATCGAAGAATCAGCAGATACACCCGAATTAACAGTTGCGATATTGCCCAGAACTGGAAAAGTGACGTTATTAGAAGTAAATATAGGCTATTTAATATTATACACATCTATTTGTCTATAGCTGATTTTTTTTTTCGTTTAATAGATGGAATCAAGACTTCATGTTGAAAAACTTGCAAGTGTAACAGAATTAGCAACTGAAGGATGTATGAAAATTCATTCTGTTTTAGATAGTGTTATTCGACAAAATACAGAATATCTTATGTCAAAATTAAAAGCATAAATATATATTTTATATGTTAAACAAGAATTATATATTATCAATTTTTTTTTTTAAAAGTGCCTTTATATGTAAGATATAATTATGTATATATATTAAAGATTCCTTAATTTCGAATATTTACTGCAATCTCAACATAATTACTGGGAAAGACACCTTGAATAAAAGATCCATCAGATTCTATATAAATATATACATATTTAGTTTAATATTGATGTTAAAGAAATGGAGTAGCGATTATACTTACTGTCAGCTTTATATCCCATCCACCAAATGTCATCACTAGAATCAACTACAATAATAGGATCATCCTTCATAAATCCAAGTTCACCATGCTCACGAGCATTAAAATCAAATTTAGCATAGTAAAGATGAGGATGATCCTCTGTCGCAGTAGATAGTTTTGTATTGTTTTCAATAGCGGCTAACATGATTGATTTAAAATCGCTTTTGTACTTGAATCGTTTTGAACCATTATTATTGACTGTATTACGCTTATCTTTTCGAGATGACATATATTCTTCGACCATTCGTTTAGATGCAGCTCTACCGTCTAGAGTGGCAGGTGAAGGAGTAGAGCGTAACGAATTAGTTGATATGGATTCCTTGTTATGCTCTTTTGATTTGGAGGGTATAGGTATTTCTTCATTGACTAGTAAACTAAGCGCATTTAGGTCACGATTTGCAATCATATCATCAACTGTCTTTGACTTTCTTTCAATTAACGTATCATGGGTATCTGTAACATTAACTTGAGTTTTATTTAATGAATCGTTATCAATTGAATTGTAGTCAGGATTACTATTATCTTCAACTATTGCTACGGCAGATACATTCTCCGCGCTAACACTGTTATTTATGATGTTGTTATTTTGATAAGTGTCAGGTTTAGAATTATAAAGGTTGTCAACTGTTGAATCTTCTTTAAGAACCCTTTGCGTCACAGTAGCTGAAGCAGGTTCCAGAATAGGAGAAGTGTAGATAGTTTCAATAGGCAAACCTACTTTAGTTGTTTTCCAGCGGACTGCTGAATCCATACTTGATGTATCATTTTGCTGAGATGACGATGATATCGATTGAGCAAAATTTAACATATCCGTATCGATAGGTGTCGCAAATTCAGTGTCTGAGAGACGGAAAGCATTTGTATTGATAGCTCTGTCGCTTTCTTCTTCCTTAACATGATCATCATCTATCTTGTTCTCATCGGGCCAATTAATAGATGAAAGCGATGCTTGGTAATGACTTCTTCCTATTGAACTTCGCTCTTCATTATTTGACAAGTTTGTATTATCAGGCCCAACAGACGTAACTGTATTGGTTGCGATGTCTTTATCAAATGTTGGGGCTGTAGTCCATCGCACAAGCTCAGAATCTCCTGAAGTATTGGTAGTTGCTGTATTTAACGAATCAGAGCCTGATAATTCACTAAAACGAGAGTCTCTAACGACTGTTTCAATTGTTGCATAACCTACTGCATCATCAGTGTTGTATGTTGTCCATCTTACATTAGAGGATAACGGATTAGATACCATAACTGGAGCGTTGTTTGATAATGTCTGAGGTGGTGTAGTTGTAAAGTTTTCATTTCGATTCTCTGAAACTAGAATATTTATGGTAGGTGTAGTTGTAATAAAAGCAGTAGCAAGGGCATCATCACTGCTGGGTGCCTGTATCCATTTAACTTTTTCAGCTTGTTTATTATTTAGTGTAGGATGACTATCGGACCCGCTAATAGGGACAGCTTCAGTAGATAGTTCATTTACAGTACTAACTAGAGATACAGGCTTAACTACAGCAGAGCTTACATTTGCAACGGGAGCGTTTGTCCATCGAACGGTAGTAGGTGTATTTGCATTATTTACAGTAAAAGCAGATGGGTTTGAAGAAGGATTATTATTATTATAAGAGACAACCTTTGATTGTGATTGATTATCATGAACAGACGTATTTAGAGGAGGCTGTTTGTTATTTGTCTGAAATGCCGTAATAGGAGATGTATCAGTAATAGCGACGCCAATTTCAGAGTTCCTGAAAGGGTTGTAAGGACTACAATGTCCTCGTACTTCGGACATTTCATTTTTACTAACATTATTATGAAATGAACTATTTATAGAATCATGCTGAACCTCACTAGATAGCGTAGCTGTAGATTCAGGTCGCATTTCATTTTTAACAGTTGTAGCAACAACATCCCTATTTATACTAGCATTTTCTATAGTGTCAACTGCACTCTGGTTCTGATGTTGAGGAATCGACTTTGAATGAACATGTGAAGAAAAAGGAGTTGCTCTTTCAGTTGTTGTTATTGCAGCTACATTCTTAGGCTCAGCACCAAAAGGTGCGCCAGAATGGTCGTTTAAATATTCTGTACTAATAGATTTAGACATATCATAAAGTTGTTGATTTCCGGGCTCAAGGTGACGAGGCTTTTCATTCGTATATCTATTTTTGTCCTCATCCTCGTGATATTTAGACGATATTTCTTGAAGCATTGCTAAAAGAGATTCCGGAGAACGAGGAGGTTTCCCATAATATCCAGAAGGATTTGATCGAGAGTTTGTTTTGTTGTCATATTTCTTCTTGATGAAAATAATAAGCATAGAAATAAAGACGATAAAGAATACGATGCCTAATGAAATCGCAATAGAAATGAGGATAACAAGTGGTTTTGGTAAATAATTCTTGATATTTTTTACAATATAGGGTTGCTGTAAGTAAAAAGCATTTCTTATAGATGTACTTGATATACCATTGCTATCAGAAGCAACTAAATAAGGAATCCAATTTTCTCCATCAAAAAATGCAGCACTAACATTACCCAAACTTCCCAGATTAATAAGACCAGAAGCCAAAATAACATTTTGAGCAGCTGATGTGTTAACAATTGGTACTGTGGTCAAACCTACAATGTCACTACCTAAACCAAGCTCATTACTGGGAGTAATAAACTTTTGTCCATTCCAAATTCGAAGATAGGCAGAGTTATTCACTTGCCCAGACACATATAACTGCTTAGAGATATCATCATAAGAAATAACTTTAGATGGTCCAGGAAGATTAGCTGAACCAAAAGGACCCCATGTATTCCTGTTAAAGTCATACTCGGCAATTAAAAGAGGCGAGTTATTAAGTGTAAAATTTCCACTTGTGACGAGTTTTCCATTAATGAATTGGAAATCAATCACTTCACCAACAAGACCAGAATCAAGTGGGCTCCATTGAAGACTATTAGGGTTAAATGAACAAATTGAAGAGCATGATATTGACCCAATAGAGTTAAAACTACCGCCCACAATGATTCTATCCTGCTCATGAATATAACGAATCATATTAACATTGGCAGGAGAACCATCATGATACTTAATATCTGGTTTTAACAGTAACGATCTATTTGATAGGCTGAAAACTGCTAAATTGTTAATCGAATTACCCGAGAAACTGCCACCAACAAGAAGTAGATCGTCATGTATAGCCACTGTTTTGACTGTACCCTGCCAATCAGTATTCTGTACACCGCTCCATACGCTGTTGTTATATATAGCGATATTCTGAATACCATTCGATAATTCAAATTCTCCACCTAAAATAGTCACAGTTGTATTTTCTATGTTTTGTTTATCATTGATCTTAATCGTGTTATTTTTGCTATTATTGTACATTACACCTGCATTGATTGAAAAGCTATTTTGAGTTTTGAAAGAGTGAAAAGGTAAAAGGGTTGATAGAGAATTATTTTGCGAAATGAATGATATGCCGTTTGATTGATATCGTTGTGCGCTTTTTATATTGCCCATAAAGAAGTTATCTTTATTGTAAGTGAATGCTGAATATACAGTGCCCGACAAATAAGGCATATTGGTTATTTTCCATTGGTCTTTTTGTATATCCCACCAACCATTTCCATATATTATACTTGGGGAAGTATCGTTAATGGACGCTAAAAATTGTGAATAATTTCCCGAAATTAGAACTGTTTGACTGTCTTGAAGCCAGTGAATAGCTTTTACGGGGCCGTTAACACCCTAAAATAAAATTTTGTTTAGTATAAAAAAAACGAATGATGATGACCTTTTTTTTTTTCTTTTTCTTTATATAGTATTTTACTCCATTTAATGTACTCCAAGTGCCTTTCTGGAAATTATATTTTGCAATATTTGACAGTCGACTACTATTACTGACATTTTTTTCTGTTCCTGAAATAGATGAAAATGAACCTCCGACATACACCTCTGAAAAAATAAAACAATAAAAAATTAATTTAAAGTTTTATTTGTATTAATATTACTATATTACCAGAAGAAATGCATTTAATACATGCCACAGATCCGTCGAGACCTCCTCCAGATAATGACTTTAATGTCTTTGAATTAATATCATATCGTACAATATTTTTATATTCTTTGTTGGTTGTATCGATTCCAGAAAATTCTCCACCAATATAAACACTGTCATTAACAAAATCCATAGTATTTACTAATGAATTATATGGAATATTATCTATATATTATTTATAATACAATAAATATTATATTAAAGGAAAATATTAGTTTAATGTTTTCGCAATTTACCTGGTAGTTCATTCCAAGATAAAGTAGACATAGACATAGACATGTTAGTTTGAAGAGGATTATATTGAAGAATACTGGATAATGAATATTGAGAAGCATCTTTGACAAATTGTATTGCATGTGCCACTATAGTTTTTGTCTCTCCTTTAGAAATATTGGCATTATGTGACAAAGAAAGTTTTATATTGGGAATAAATGATGAAGATACGTCAAAATAACCCGTATAAATAACTTGAGTGGCTATATCGCTTTGGTTTATTGTCAAATTTATTCTTTGAGTAGCTGTCGATGAAATTAAAATATCCACATCAGTGCGTTCTGAACACTTTTCTGTTTCACAAGCCGGTGTATAAAGTAAGACATCATAGATTCCTGATTCAACCAAGTTAGGATAGAAAGTAATAGAGGGTAATGTTTGGATATCTGATGCATTTACATTCCGCTTTAAATAGGGTATAGAAGTATTCGAGACAGTCCATTTTGATCCTGTTGTTACAGCTGTAGGAAGGGTGATGTTGTTATTCAAGGTGGTCATTGTTTTAGCTGAACAAGTACTTTTAGTGTTAGGATTGACAGCATAAGAGAATATTTCTAATTATATTATGCATGACTTAATATGTTATATTAGAATGTATATAATGAAAAGAAAAAGTATTACCTGATTGAAACACTGTAACTGAAGATAATCCACCACTTACTCCATACCAAGATTTGATGTCTATAGCAATACCATTTGTTATTGATAAGTTAGTAATTCTAAAATCTTGATAAGTCACATTTGGATTCTTTGAAAGGATACAATTTGTAGAACAAGTTTTTGTACGATTTGAATCAGGATCCAAATAAGTAAGCTTATAAACACGAGAATCTGTTAAAGAACGAATTCTAATTGTGAAGAAAATAAAATAAAAGGATAACAGAAAACAAAAGTTAGTAAAAAAAAAAAAACCTGATTTGACGAATCCTTCTCCTTTTTTTTTTTTTTTTTTTTTTTTTTTTCTCTCCTTGGCCTTTTTCTCCTCTTCTTTAATAACGATATAATATATTTTATTACATACGAGAATTCTTTTGTTTGATGATTTTCTAACTTTGAATTGACAATTCTAATTAGAGATGGATTAACACTATATTCAATAAAACTTGCTTGCCAAGTCCCCTGAGTCCCATCAGATAAAATCCATGAATTTTCGCTTGAGGCATCAGAACAAAGGATAGATGCTGGACTTGCTGAATTTGGAGCAGTATTTGTAGCCGAAACACCCTATAAAGTTTGAACAAGAAATAAATATTAACATTTCAAGGAGGTTTATTTTAACCGTATTTAAATTAAAATATAAAATAAAAATAGTAATAGTAATAGAAATAAAACAAAATAAAATAAAACGTTTTATGTATTTGTGTGTGTATCTAAATACTTACACTTGCAGGTATGTTAATTGGCTGACTTGCAGGTGCATGGAAGTCTTGCCCATCTGTAGTTGTGTCAAATTTACCACCAAAAAAGATTGAAGTTGAATTCACCTTCAAAATTGAATTGACAGGCCCATTTAATCCTTTCCATGGAAGTCCATACCATTTATTATTCTTCCATAAAGCAACGCTACCACCAAAATTTGCAAGCGAATCAGAATAAGCAATCATAGAAGTATCAATAGGTGCTATAAATGAGCCACCCACATATACTTGTTGATTATCTGAATCACAATAAAGGCTATAAACTGAACCATCTAAGCCATATTTGAGTGATCTTATTTGTTTTGAAGATAAATCGAGGGCGGCAATATTGTTGACAACTAAATTATTGATCTTTGTAAAATTGCCAGCGAAATAAAGCGTAGTCGGATCAGATAATAAAAGACAAGCATCGTAAATAACACCATTTATATCTGATGATGCGATTAATTTAAGTGTATCGTTTGAGAGTGAAACAAGAGAGGAAGTTGATTTAGTTATTTGTGTTAGTTGTTGAGTGTCCTTATAAATAGATATTCCATTATATGAACCTGGAATACCAAGCTTCTCGATATAATCAAAATTAACGTTAGGATGTATAACAGAGGTTGCAAGGTTTTGCTTTATTATTGAGATTAAGAAAAATAATTGAATAATATAGTATTGTATTAACATGTTAATTCTTTCTTTATATGTAGCGCTAGATCGTCTAATGTTGTTAATTCTCTTTTTTTTTTGTTAATGTTGTCGGTCAATGTTATAACATCTATATGGGTGTACAAAAAAAAAGAATATAAATAAATAAATATGAATGAAAGGAAGAAAGAGAGAATTTAAAGGAGAGTATATATTTATATATATAAAGAAAAAAAAGGGATTAAGGGAAAGAAGAAAAGAAAGAGAGACAAAAGAGAACAAAGTGAAATGGCACATGTTACTAATATCTGAATTAAGGCAACACCGCTCACTGTTACACGCTAATAATTGAACTGAGTTTTATAAAATAGATAATGAATACAAGCAACTTCTTCACAACTACTATGTATAAGCCGTTTATTCATTATCACGAAAAGTTACCAATTAGTAACTAAGCATTTCTAATTAGATGATCATCATCATACTAGTATTCTACATAATATAACGCGCATTTTTCTTCTAAATAAAATAAAATAAAATAAAGCTGACTTTTAAATTACAATTTTTGGTAATTTATTAAAATTAAATCATATAATGACAAAGACTTGAAAATGATAATGAACAAGTTAATTGTATAGGAAAATATAGCATAACACAAAGCAAATACTAATAAAATAAATACATAAGGAATTAATATTAACAAATCATGATTATTATTTTAGCTAATACATATTTAATATGTTTTACATTATAAGATTAGTATTCGCGTCACTAATATTTTTTTTTTTGTCGATCCAAATCAAGCATAATGCAACCTAATTTCGTGTCATTTGACTGTAGAGCCTTCATTGAAGAACAAGTAGAATTAATACAGAAATGAGTTTCTTCTCTTCAAGCGTGTTAGAATAGTGTTCATATTGATATGTATATGTTTGTACATTTTAAAGAAGGATATACATAATAATAACATTGGAGTAAGTTTCTTATTAAAACTCATTACTTTTTAGGAAGGCATAGTGGCATTCTCCTGAACTTCGGTGATTGAACACGTTCAAAAAAAAAAAAATACATTTATAATAGACTGCATTATAGACCCTGTTTATACATACATGTAGACTTCAAAACACTATTTTATAATATTCCTACTTAAACAGGTTCTATGTAGATATACATGATATCTTTTATTTTATTTTTATGCATATCTTCTTTTTTTTTTAAAAAAAAAGAAAAAAAAATAATAACACACAATTTATCTAATCTAAAAGTAAATGCTCTTCATTTTGTTTCTTTTCTTCGTTTTTAATTTGTTTCTCAACAGTTTTTTTATACTCTTTAGTTGCACTTGGAGGAATACCGTTCAATCCAAGCTGGGGTCGAGAGAAATAACCAAACCAGCCATATTTGAACATGAGTTCATTTGCTAAAATTTCACCAAAACCGAGCATGACACCATTAAAAAAGGGTAAAATGAAATTAATTGCTGTTGATTTTAATATCCAAAGTAAGGTAGGATGACGATACCAGGCATCTTTCTTAATAATCACTCCATTTGTTTTACTCGAATCTAAAGAAATAGATGACATTTTATATTACAAAAAAAGAAAAAGACAGTAAAAAAAAAACAAAACAAATAATAATAGTGTGTGTAAAAACATCGTCAGTGCCTTAGTATGTTTTAACCAATTAAATTAATTCTTAAAAATAATTTATTAACACCTTTTATTTTTTATTTTTTTTTATTATTGTATTTAAACATAATTCATATAAAGATGACTACAATTGTAAGTTGAACATTACTACGCATACAAAGATAAGAATAAGTGGAATCTAGATCAAAAATCTAATTAATGTAATTTGTTCACATTACATAGGATGACTGGATGACTGGAACACCTATTCGTGCTCCTTTACCTACTTCAGTTTATCCTATTGCAGCTTTACTTACCATTTCTGCAGGCTTCTTGACTGCTGGCTTATTTATAATGTATGTTGAATATAAAAAGAAAAAAATAATAATCTTAAGAAATAAGGGAGATTTACTCATTTATTCATTTTATTTTATTCTATTTTTATTTTAGTCAAGGAAATAAAACGCCACTTCTTCAACAACTTAAAACAGCTGCTTTGGCTTCTCTTCTCCTTGGCTTTGGTGCTATTTTTGCTTCTAATGCAGCTGGTGTTTATCTTTAAATAATGTGTATTTTCTAATATTGATACCTAAAAAAAAAAGAAAAGAATATATTTTGGAGACTTATTTTTTATTATTTATAAATTGTATAGACATATACGATATGTTTGAAAAAAAAAGAGCTTATTATCTAAAATTATGTTCTATCTTCATCTAAAATCATCCATTGTTATACGCACTATAATGCAATAAAAGTTAGTAATTTTTTTTTGTTTTTTTTTAATTTAACAATTTACAAGCCATATTAATGGAAATAGCAATGATAACAAAGAGAGTCAATACAGCAGGCCCATATTTGTCCGAAAAATCACCCAATTCATTTCTTTCTACTCTCTGTACACGTTTATGATATGTATATAATGCATAGAGCATTACTAACATCGATATTACTGTAAAAAGACATGCGGAGACTCTCCCAATTTGATCAGAGAAATTCAATAAGCCAACCGACAACCCTCCTAAAAGTAACGTAAATTTTAACCAATGTAGGAAAGTACGCTCATTAGCGAAATAAGTTTTGGCAGGAGGAGCTTTTGATATAATGTCTGAACGAGATGTTCGCGTTTTTGTGTCTAAAGATGATGATGGGACGCGAATAGTCTTTTTGATGAATTTCTGAAACATTTTATGTAGCAATACATAGAACAGTCTTAGTTGCTGCTTCACAAATGAGTTTTCTTCATTTTCGACTAATTCTTGTCGTTGTTGGTGATTATTTTTAAGTAAATGCGTAGTTTTTGTATCAGCTTCACGTATAGAAATCTGAATATGTTGTTCTTCATTTTTAATTAATTTTGTTCCACTACTACCAGAGGTAGAACTGTTAGTAAGCGTTTCAGGGCGAGAGACGCCAAAGATGTTATTAGAAGGCTTTCGAATATCAACATTCATCTGTGGTAACCAAAATGGTAATACTTGAATCTTTTTGTCTAACAAAGTAGCGCAACCATGAATAAACTTTGAAAATTTGGGAACCGACTCAACTAAGTGAGAATTGACAAGTTCAAGCACCCATTGAGGTGGTTCTTGACCCACATGCGTTTGAAGCTTAACTTCAAGGACAGCATAAGGAAAGCGACAAATATCACCTTCAGGTAATTGCTTAAAGGGGTAATTAATACCAATGTCTACACGGCGCCAGTTATTCCCTGACCTCATATAGTCTTCATTATCTTCTCGAATTAAACTTAACTCTGTATCCAAACTGATACGAACACGAGCATCACCAGGTAATTGAAAGGCTGTACGATTGTAGAAAGTACGCATCATAGGACAAAGACGCTTTGTCAAAACCGTATATTGTACCTCTTGTGCTAATTGTTCCAACTCTTGGATTTCCTTTTTGGATTTTTGACTGCCATCTTTCTTCATCTTTGCAAACATGTCATCGGTTGTATAAGTGCCCTTAAGAAAACTATTCAGATATTTTTCTTTAATTGGAAATCGTGCTTTAACCGACTTTTCGCCTGTCCAATCTTCATGATGTGTTTTTCGCTCCACAAAAATTGTGTTTGAATCCATTCCTCCATACCATCTCATTCGAATTGCTTCAGCTCCTTCACTTTTCTCTAAGCGGCCCATATAAAGTTCAAAATCATCATTATCAAAATAGACACTTGTAATAGCAGAATCTTGTGGTTCAAATTCTTTATTAGGATTAAATACCAAGACAGGAAGATGCTTCAGAATAGTTAATTTTAATTCAGTAATATTATCAGGATGAACCCTGTATAATAATATAATTATAAGAATAAGTTTATATACTATAATAATATGTGTATGTGTATGTGTATGTGTATGTGTATGTGTATGTGTATGTGTATGTATATATTAAATTAAATCAACACACTAAACTTACCAATATTTTGTAGTATTCCGAACAAACGCTGCTTGTTTACCACCAGCACTAGAATCACCACCTCGCTCTTTACCTCTTGTACGAACACGATCATACAAAGTAGAAATACGAATAATTAATGCTTCATAATTTTCTTTATAAAATGGCTTTGCATTCAATCGCACACTGAATATTGGTTTTAGTGACCATCCTGTCATTTTCTATATCACAATAGATAGTTTTTGTTAGATAAGTTACTTCTTCTAGATCGCACGTGCAAATGATGATTGGACAGAGCAATCACACAAGCGCCACTTTAATCCTTTATTTATCTATTTATCCTTTTTTTTTTTCCCCCTATTCTGTTACTATGATCATACAAGAAGATGACACTTACATCATGTTTTTTTATGATCTTTAAAAAGCCCGTATAATTCAATCTAGTAAACTTGGCCAAATCATGAACATCAGCAATAATATGACCTAGTTCAATCCCTGAAGCTATAAACTCGTCTTCTTCGGGATTATCTGATTGATAAAGAAGATTGATTTCACGAGTTTCATCTTCAATACATCTATGGATCTTTTCCAGTTTGATACGCTGAAAGGTGTAAACCTTATCAAGTTCCTCCTCTAAAAGTTCAACAAACTTACTTTCGCTTTCTTCATTCCAAGTGCCTCGAAAAGTTTCTTGTTTTAATATGTTTTTCAGATCATCATAAGCTTTTATTATTAAAATTAGGTTACTTTCCTGGTTCCTTATTTTTGTTTCAAATGTATCTTACCAACATAGTGTGAAGTCCATTCTGGATTCAAAGACATTCTTAAAGTATGTCCAAATTTCATTATCTATAAATTTAATAATATTTTGAGGAGAAGAAGTGAAAAAAAAAGGTAGAGTATAATTATATATATATATATATAAAAAGCAAGTTTATAATACAGTAATGCTCACTGTGACAATTGGCGGTTCTTCAATTAATGGATTTATTTGTACCAACATAATAACAAAAAAAAAGGATTGTTTGCTTTTTATATTAAAGTTAATATGTATACGTATATGTTGGATGATTTAGATACAAACAAAAAGACAAAATAAAGCCCACTCTGAGCTACTTTTTTTAGTTTATTAGCTGTATTTTTTTTAGTGAATCCTATTCTCTAGTTGCTGACAACAAGACCTGAACGTAATTTATATCTCTATGTTACGACTAGTTGATTATTTCCTGGTTAACCTGAAACTATGCTTGCATATGCATAATAATGAAATACATATACCTTCAACTTATTAACAATAATCCATCATAGCTTATGGAGAAAGAGAGAAAAAAAAAAAGGATACTGTCTCAAAAACTTCAAAACATCAAACTGGTACCACTTCTGTGATCCTTGTGTTAGTTAACTATACACCTTATTGGGGTTTTTAACAAGCAATCTTTTATAGTTAAATCCCTTCTCTACTTGATTAACTAAAACCATTAATGATTAAAGTTACTTTATATCTTAATTCTTATCATTATTATTGCTTTGTATTTTTTTATTCTTTATATACCTTTATCATAACATAGATTCTTATTCATTGTATGAAAACTGTCAAGATGAAACGATAAATTGGAGAAGAAGAAATCAATCTTTATTATTTACAAAATATCTGTATCTTAATAATAAAAGATATCAAATATCTAAAGTGGAACTTCAAAATGAGAAAGTTGAGTATAAAATAAAAAATTCTAAAAACTTAGAGTAAAAAACTAATATAGAGTTTTATCTCATCAGTGTCTTTTTATAAAAAGCCTATTTAAAATCAAAGAAATAACAAAAAAAAAAAAAAAAAAAAAAAAAAAAAAAAAAAAAAAAAAAAAAAAAATAAGGGAGATATTATGACCTCCGCTTTAATAATTTATCCAATCAAAATTCAATTAGCACTTGCCCTGATTTGACACTATTGCCAGGTTCAACATAAACTCTCTTTACAGTTCCTCCATGAGGGCTTCTTAGGATATTTTGCATCTTCATAGCTTCTACAACTACTAATTCGCTACCCTCAATGACTTCATCTCCTTCTTTAACTGCAAGGCTAACAATTTTACCTGGCATAGGGCTTGAAATCATTTTACTATGTTCCTCAATAGATTTTGTTTTCATGTATTTTGACAACGTGTATTGTTCTTCAGTTAGGACCTTTACTTTGTATTTGTTACCGTGGTATTGAATCCTAAATCCTAAACTGATTGGATCCAAATATTGAACAATTAATTTTTTCTTTTCTTCAAAATGGGTATGCGTTAGTAATCCATTTAGTGACCATTCAGTAGAAAATTTAAGAAGACCTGTTGCAGTCACTGCCTAATAATGAGTATATATGTGTATATTAAAAGAAAAAAAAAGGATATTATTTAACCAGCCATCTATTAATAAATTCTATACACAATAACTTTACTTCGAAATTTGAACCTTCAGTGGGTTTAAGTTTAATTTTGGTTTCTAACATGTGTTGATTATGCTCATCTGTAATTTGGATTTGCAAGTTTTGAAATTCTTTCATTAGTTTCTGTTTTCCTTGCCAATGACTGAATTCTTTCTTTATCCACATTCCCCCAGCTACAAGAGCTAGTTGTTTTAAAGCCTTTTGATCCAAGGCCTCTGTTTGAAAACCATGAGGGTACTCTTCTGTTAAAAAGTGAGTAGTGACCTGACGACCCTCTTGAAATCGAGGATGTGCAAATACAGCTCTTAACAAAGGAATATTATGTGTGACACCTTTGATTATATATTCATCTAGAGCTTGTATCATTAACTGCAATGCCTCCTTTCTTGTTCGTCCATGCGTGGCTAATTTACTAATTAAAGGATCATATTCTACATGCATCTCTGATCCTTCAATAAATCCAGAATCACAACGTATTTTACCTCCTCTTGAGGCCACCACAGGTTCCTGATAGGTCAGTAATCTTCCTACAGAGGGTAAATACTTCTCAGGATCCTCTGCATAAACACGCGATTCAAATGCCCAACCCAAAAGAGAGATATCTTCTTGCTTTAAACTCAAACGATGATTTGCTGCTGAATAAAGCATTTGCTCTACAAGATCCAATCCTGTCACATACTCTGTTATGGGATGTTCAACTTGTAAACGAGTATTCATCTCCAAGAAATAAAACTGTCGTGATGCATCTACCAAGAATTCCACAGTGCCTGCTGAATTATAGCCTACATGCCTTGCCAACGCCACAGCTTGTTCTCCCATCCTACGTCGTGTCTCTTGATCCATATGTACACTTGGTGATTCTTCTATCACTTTTTGATTTCTTCGTTGAATAGAACATTCACGCTCAGGGAGGTAGATAACGTTACCAAAATTATCACCTAGAACCTGTATTTCGATATGACGAGGGTTATCTATATACCTCTCGATTAACATCCGATCATCTCCAAATGATGACTTTGATTCTTGTTTTGCTAATTTAAATCCATCACTTAATTCCTTATCATTCCTATAAGAAAGAAAAAGAAAAAGAAAGGTTATTTTTTTTTTAAAAAAAAATAGTAAATACAATTATGATCTGCTTACTTTACCAAGCAATTCGCATGCCTTTACCTCCTCCCCCCGCACTTGCCTTTACCATGACAGGATATCCAATTTCATTAGCAATCGATAATGCTTCTTGTACTGTCTTTACTTCACCATGAAATCCCGGGATACAATGAACACCACTTGCCTGAGCGATTAACTTGCTTTGGATTTTATCTCCCATAGCTGAAATAGCAGAGGCTTTGGGTCCTATAAATGTTACATTCTTTTGCTCTAACGCCTCTACAAAGGCAGGATTCTCACTTAGAAACCCATAACCTGGATGCACAGCCTCTGCTCCACTTTGTTCTACAGCTGATAAAATACGGGGTATCGAAAGATAGGTCTCAGATGAAGATGCAGATCCCAAATTAATAGCTTCATCTGCCATTTGAACATGCAAGGCAGTAGCATCAAGATCAGAATAGACTGCAACTGTTTTGATGCCCATTTTCTTTGCAGTCTTTATTATACGACATGCAATTTCTCCTCGATTAGCTATTAATATTTTATTAAATGTCTACAGAAATATAAAAAAAAAAAAAAAAAGTAATGAATTTAAGATTTTATTCATAGGATTTATATATATCAACCTTTTTAAAGGGTACAGAAGTCAAGTTTGATTCAAATGTTAATGAGGATGTATTGTTATGTGTGTGAATTGCCCTTTTGGATGTTAAAATAAGAGAACGAGGTTGTGCTAAGGGTATTATTCGAACTCTTAATGCAGTAGGCATTGCTGCTTTTATTAAATGAAGCAATTGTTTTGACGCCATGCTTAATCAAGGGGAGAAGATTTAAAAAAAAAAAAAAAAAATTAGAATAGAAAAAAAAAAAGGAACAAAAATTGATCCAGAGAAGCTCAAATATCATAAAATTATTTAAACCTATTTACACAAAAAATACTAATATCCATCGTAAACACAAAAGATACGAGTAACTTATTTTCAAAGTAAAGCAATAGGGTGTTTAGTCATACTACCTATTTAAATTTCACTAATACAAAGTTTGGGTTTATTTCTTGTCAATAAAAAATATATAGATTCCTTTACTTTTTTTTTTTTTTTTTTTTTTTTTTTTTTTTTTTGAATAGATGTCTTTAATAGTAGAGAGCAGTGATATCTAAATTTGTTAATCATCATTTGTATTTACTTTATTATTCTTACATTTGGATTATGTAAATAAGGCATTGTAGATATTTTCGCAACGGAGTTTATTGCTGGATTCTTCTACCAAGGAGTATTAAAAAAAAAAAAATAAAAAAATAAATTATCTTTCTTCTTTTGGATAAATAAACGATAAAAAAAAATGTCAATGAGAGAATATAAAATGAAAAGAGACGCTCTTCGTCCTAAAGTACTGGATAAATATGAAATTATAGGCTTCATTAGTTCTGGTACTTATGGTCGAGTTTATAAAGCAAGATCTAAAAACAAGTAATGCTATTTCTTTTATTTTTTTTATTTATCAATGTACAAATATATTTATATTATGCAATCTAGAGATGATCATCGTGAATTTGCGATTAAAAAATTTAAACCAGATAGAGAAGGTGATAGTCATCATTATGTCGGCATTTCACAATCAGCTTGTAGAGAAATTGCAGTAATATAATAATCGTCATTTTATTTTATTTTTCAAAAAAAAAAAAGGGAATTAAATAAAACTAAAGTTATGTAGGGAACTTCGACATGAAAATATAGTTGCATTAGAAGAAGTATTATTAGAGGATAAAGCTATTTATATGGTATTTGAATACGCAGAGCATGATTTTCTGGTAAATGTTGAATTGGAACATGTCAAGTATAAATTGTTAATTATATGTTTTACAGCAAATCATTCATTATCATTTACACACAGAAAGAAAACCTATTGCAGAAGTAGTTGTGAAATCAGTATTATGGCAACTTTTGAATGGAGTTGCTTATCTTCATTCCAACTGGGTATTACATCGAGACTTAAAGCCTGCTAATGGTATTTACAATATAAATATATGTATATGGATATGTCTTTTGCTTACACAACGTATTTAGTCATGTTAACAAGTGACGGTGTTGTAAAGACAGGTGATCTAGGCCTTGCAAGAATATTTAGTAAACCATTACAACCTTTGTTTAATGGAGATAAAGTGGTTGTGACTATTTGGTATCGTGCACCTGAATTATTGTTTGGATCAAGACATTACACAAAAGCAGTTGATATGTGGGCAGTTGGATGTATCTTTGGTGAACTATTAGCATTAAAACCTATATTTAAAGGTGAAGAGATTAAAATGGATGGTAAAAAGACAGTTCCATTTCAAAGAAGTCAACTTACAAAAATATTTGAAATTATGGGTACACCTACAAGTAAGTTATAACAGTCATGTTGAAGTCATTTAACTAATAACATGATTGCTCTTTTTTTTTTCCTGTTTTTTTTTTTTTTTTTTTTTTTTTTTTTTTTTTTTTTTTTTTTTTTTTTTTTTTTTTTTTTTTAAAAAAAAAGAGGAAAGATGGCCGACAATAGATCAGTTACCAGACTATCATCAACTAAGTTCTTTTCCACAGTAAGTTAGTCAAATAAAACAAGTAGTTTTTTTTTGACCTTTTATTTGAATATAATTTCAATAGATGTCCAAATAATCTTAAACAAGTTTATCAAATGATGTTAAGTCCAAAGAGTGAAGCAGGCTTCAATTTATTATCATCATTATTAGAATATGATCCTGCTAAAAGAATTACAGCAGAAAAAGCATTAAATCATCCTTACTTTCAAGAAGACCCAAAGCCAGTCATGAAGTAAGTTTCTCAAGAAAAACAAAACAAAACAAAACCAAATTTTATTATATTAACATTTACAAAAGTGTTTTGGCACAGCAAGGAATTGAATATCCTCTTCGTAGGATTACACAAGAAGATAACGATATTAAAGCATCTAAAGGTTCGAAAGTCGCAATACCAACTAATAAAGATGATCATGGTAGAATGTCAAAAAAGCCTAGAAATGCATAAAAATAAAAATAAATAACTTAAGCAAATCCTAATTGCATCCAGTCTGGTAAATCAGTTCCATGAATAGGACTGTTATTATTATTGCAGTATCTTTCTCGTGTAATAATAGTCTTTGTGTCCTGGAACTGTCTTCTTTCTTTCTTTTTTAATTGTTGTCTTTCCTCTTTATGATTATGAGTAAAGAAGGAGTGAAGATGGTGTTTAAAAGAAAAGATAGTTTGAATCATGATACGTTTCGATATAGATGCACCACACAACATATATTTCATATCTTCATTATTTTGACCAAGATATTTTGCTATTATCCATTGACGATTTTTAACTTCACTTGCATGCTGGCTCTTTTTACAAGCCATTCTATTATTATTATTATCATCATCATTCTGACATCTATCCGTCATGATAATTCTTATCAGAGCTTTACACACTTGATCTGCTGTAGGACGCATATCAGGGTTACTATGAAGACATTGAATGATGAGTTGTTCGTAAGCAGGATCCATAAAGTGACTGATAGATGTAAGTTTATATATAGAGGGTATAACAATAGCCGATACTGGGAAAATGACTCCTGTAGCCAATTGCCATAGGATGATACCTAAAGAATACATATTTGCCTTTTCAGTCAGCCTTATTTCAGGAGCAATATAAGGGTATCTTCCATAACAATAGTTGTGAGTCGGATAAAACCAGTCATCAACTAATGTTATATAATCTTGATGAGGGAAAATCATACAGTTTTTAGGTTGAAGGTTAGGATGTACTTGATTTCGTTGGTGTAGCTTTTTCACAGCTGTAGCCACCATTAAAGCCATTTTAAAGATTTTTTGAAATGACCATTGATCTACTTGAGGAATTAATTGCTCTAATGTTGATTCAGCGGCCATAGAAACAAAGACAAGTTGATGATAATGTTCATTTCGTCTTTTAGTAGCTGTAATGCCAATTATATCCAATGATGGCTGAAAATTGCTTTTCTAATATAAATTGTATGTATTATATGTATGTTACGTTACAATAGATATCATTATTTATATAAAAGACTATATATATATATATATATATATATATATATATATATACATATATAAAATGACTAACCTGAGTAAGTACTAAGTTTAATAAATTAACCTTTCGAATAACAAGTTTTTGTCTATCTATTTCCCATGGTAATCTACATTGAGTTATGTATACTTGGCCCATACGACCAGAGGCTACGGGTTTACTTTGTTCAAACCATTGAGGCGGAAACCAGAGAAAGGAAGACGGTAGATATTTCTTGATTTCAATTGGATACTGAAAAAAATAATGATGAAACAATTGGTCATATAAGGTATCAAACTGAATTTGAGTAGGTTTCCAGCCTCTCATAAACTTGTCTGGGTCAAGAGTTAATAGAGAAATCCAATAATCTTTTATTGTTAAAGCGTTATTATGATTATCCAGCAACAAAGATTGCTTTTGTATTTTTTTCACTGGATTTAAAAATTCATTTGAATATCTTTCAATATAGTCATTGACAGCTTTCAATACTAGAATATGATGCATAATACAAAAGTAATTGTGTGTGTGTGTGTGTGTGTGTGTTTTTTATATGCATGTTAGATTTTATATTTATTCATAATAATACCTTCTTTTTGATTATTCGATGTAACTATTTCAAACATATATAAAATAGAAAAAAAAAAAGAAGGATAAGAAAAAAAAATAAGTAGCAAAAAGAAAGAGACAGGGAAATAATTTAGTCTATTTTTTATTATGCAGCAAATAGAAGTGATATTTTCTCTTTTTAAATTTAATTATCAGCAGAAATTCTTGATAATTGCATTACTAGAGTCTATAAAAATACTATTATTACCATTGTGGTAAAATGCTAAAGAAAAAGAAAATGAATAGTCTTACAGAATAGAGTCAACTTTTCTTTTCTTTTCTTTTTTTTTTCTCGCTACAATTGAAGTAGATATTATCATTATAGGGTATTCTTGTCACTTTACTGAAGTGTACTACATCATCGTAATTCCTCTAATTAATCAAATTTATCAAAAAAAAACATATCATCTGGTAGTCATAAAATTTGATGAACTTGGAAGGACGTAGCGATTTTAGAATCAAACAGTTACTGATATATATGTATTTAATAAGTTTATTAACTGTTACAATAAATGCACATAAAATATAAAGAGATTTGTCAATCATTAGTTGCTTGAATTTAATGTTGCACATCTATTTATTTATAGCAGCTACTACACATTTATAAAGGAAATACTAGTATAGTAAAATATATTCTAAACTTTCTCAATACTATATACTATTTTGTGAAAGCTACTTCCTTAAAAAATCAAAAAGAAGCTGTATAATATAGAATATGTATATAAAAGTAAACTTCAAACAGTTATGATAAGCTAGTAAAAGAGTTTTATAATAATTTACATTGATCATAAAATAATATGCTTCATAAATACAACAAGAAACAAAAAGAGCTCAGCTACGTATAGATAAATGCTACTCGATGTCTTTCAATGATTTAGTCTCACAATAGTTACAAGTCTTTGGCTACTCTTTTCTCTAAAGCGTACTACTCTATAATATCAGTATATTTTCATTATATGTTTATATGATTAATATTCTATTTCTGGCTCAAATTTTTACTAGATTTTTGTCTTGTTTCTTCTTCATTTACAAAAAAATAGTAACTAGTTCCTTGAGATTTTTTTTTTTAAAAATCAATATGGGCTTGTCGATCATTCATAATGCAAAAAAAAAATCTTATTCTTTGATTATCTATATCTTGCCTTGAATGGGAGTCGTACAACTATTTGTTGAAGTCTTGAATAACCATCACATAATAAACTGCTTCTGTATCAGTGCGAACTTGCTCACATTCCACAGAATGCTTGCTGCATATGCATCATCATCACCTATAGAATCTTCTATCATCAACTATGAAAGGCTCTCTATCTTATACTTTGAGCCAGGTTTCTTTACAGTTAGCTCAAACCCACTGAAGCTGTTGTATCTCTTTGGTCATTTAATAACCTATAATAATAATAATAATTCTTCATAAAATGTGTTATTTATTGGATAACCTTCCTCCCTCATCCCAACCATGCTCTTCCTTGATCATTTTGTTGTCTACTTGACTCTGGTAATTCTTTATGCTTTCTTTAATTCTCTATGCCTTTTTTTTTTTTTTTTTTTTTTTGTTAAGAACTATGGTAACACAATATATGCAGAATACGATGTACTCAGTAGTAGTAGCTCACTATGGGGTGAATAGATGGGGTGAAAATATCATTCCCCGGCTCGGAGGTATAAAAAAAAAAATTAAAATTCAACCTTTCTTCACTTCATGCTTTTTTTTTTTTTTTTTTTTTTTTTTTTTTTTTTCACTTCTTTACACAGCAATGTCATCAACAACATTATCATTTCGACAACAAAATAGACCCGATCCAATACCAATACCAAATAAATATTATAATAATGAGGTAGAGAAAACATCGTATAAAGATATGATTAAACAATTAACAGCACAAGCACCTGAACCTTATGGGGCTATTCCACCTTTAATAAAACGGAATAAAAAAGACAAAAAGAAGAAGAAGAAGAAAAGTAAGAAAAGGGTTCCAATGATCAAACGAATGTCACATGTTGAGAATTGGCTTGCTGTAGATAGTAAAGAAAGTATACCTGATGAAGAAGATTTAGTAAGTATATTATATTATATTATATTTCATGTATAAATGCTTATTTGTATTTAATGCTTGTTAGAAACATTCTTCTCCTTTTCGTAATTTCCTGTCAACAGATTTTTTAGTATTACCCTTACATATGCCACCACCTTCTCTTAGTGCTCAACAAGAAGAAGATAATAAGATACCCATAAAGAAACAAACATTGCCTAGTAAAATAATAACAACGTCTTCAACTACTAAAGTCGATTTAAGACCTGTTTTATTTCCAATAAAACAACCTCAAAACGGTGGAGAAGAAGAAGAAGAAGAAGAAGGAGAGTATGAGGAAGAATACGAATTTAGTGAGGGAACAGAAGAAGAAGAGGAAGAAGAAGAAGAGGAAGAAGAGGAAGAAGAAGAGGAAGAAGAGGAAGAGGAGGAAGAGGAAAGCAACAAGATATTAAATCGTAAAAGATCAATACCTTCATTTTCTAATTCACAAACGCCTTCTACATCAACCACAAAATCTTATGCTATGTCTGCATCACCTCCTATCTCCTATCTTCGACAAATGTCAATAAAGGAAACCAGTAAAAGCAGTAATCGTTGGTTAGAAACGATTGCTCAGTTACGAAAATCATTGACTTTATCTACACCAAAACCAAAATTCAACTTTATTCCTATGCCACTTCCACCAAAACGTAATCGAAACCTTCGTAAAAAGAGACGCTCAGAAGCAACCACACAACCACGATTTAATCCAGAAACGAATACTTACTTAAGAGATACCCGATCCAATCCAGATCATCTGCGAATGATATCTGCTGAACTCAATATGATGAGACATAAAAAGTTATCAAGTCCTTTAAAGCCTCGAGGATTTTTACCGAGAAGAAAAGATGCCTTTATACGCGGTTCAAATAGAAAATTATCTCTTTTAAGAAATGAAATAAAACTAAAGGAGACTAATTCATTATAATAAATTCCTTAAGTGTATAATAGAGATAGAAGGAAGAAAATAAGGAGAACTTGATTGTTATTTCCATAAAGCTTAGACTCTATTTAAGCCTTTCAAGGTATCATTTTTACTTACTTTTAAGAACCATCATAATGAAAGGATATGTTTGAAGATTATATAAATGTATACAGAATAGATATAATAACAGCTTCAAATGCCTACCAGGTAAAATCATCTAAGGCACCAACAAATATATCAATTGCGTTCATAGTAATTATTACATTGTATTGTCTTTTCATTTATATTCATGTATACCGTACATTATTAAAACAACTATTACTTTGGATTATATGGTAATGAATCTATAATTACTAGTTTGTTTATCTTAAACATATAGAAAATCAAACACGCCTATCATGATAATAAACTTGAAAAAAAAAATAATTCGTATAGTCTTTCTTTCTTTCTTTTTCTCCAATGCTTGTTGGGAGCCACAAGTCTCTAATCCAAGAACAAGCAATCATTGATAATATCTTTAGAATTATTCTCTGCCCCCCCTTTTTTTTTCTTTTTCTTTTTTATGAGGTTACCCTTGTATGTGTTTGCTATTCTTACTCTCCTGCATGGAAGTCCATCCCCCTTTTCCCTCATTCAACGATTTTTAGTCTAAAAACTAGTAAAATTAGAAAACAGGAGATGGTCGAGAAAAAAGTTCTGGAAACCCGAATGAACGAAATGCTACAAAGCTTCACAATTATAATTCACTACTTGATGCTTTAAATCATTTTTTCTCCTATCTCTCCCTCTGAAAAAGAAAAACATAGGTTTAAAGTTATTCTTGTATTAATTGAAACCAAGTTGTATTAGCAAATAAACATAATAAATATGAACGACAAGAAAGAATAGATATATAAAGAGAAGCAAGTATACATAAAACAAATAATGAATATAATAAATAAGGAGAGGAAAAGGAATGACAGTAATAATAATAATAAAAAAAACAAAGAGAAAGAGAGAGAAAAAAAAAGTGGATATTTATATATACACATATATATTTTCTTAGAAGGAATGAATAGATGGGCTAGACATCCACCAATTTTCACAAGGATGTTGTAGCGGATAAGTTGACTTTTCAGCAGATACTCTTAATTCAATAAAACATGTTTCTGCTTTCCAACAATTTTGAGACTTCTTATTACTATGTATGAATCCACTAAAGGCAGCATGGAATGCATCAGATAATGTTCTTTTTGGTCTAGTAGGTCTGTCAATAGTAGTAACTATAAAAATTGTAAGTAAAGATGTGTGTGTGTGTGTGTGGGGGAGGAATGATATAATACATATCTATTACATGTACCTATTTTCTCTTTAGTGTGGTAAGGACTGACTTGAATAGGATGATGAGGACTCTTATTATTTTCACTATGTTTTGTTTCTACTATCAACTTATTGTCATTACATGATGAAATGGATTCATTATTAAACAAGTATTCCAGAGGTTCAAATGATGGCAGCTCAGGCAGAGTTAGAATGCGTGTTTTATATTGATTTGAAAATGGGTCATAAGCATATAGTTTCATAATCCCTTTATCAAATTGTAATCTATGAGTATTATTACTAACCATTTGTATATATAAAATAAAGTATATAAAAGAGATTTGACTATAATATGAATGTAAATAAAATTATATAAATATAGGCATATGTACACACACACACACACACACACACACAAAAAGGGGGAGAGGGGGTGTAGCAGTAGTGGTAAATGAACTGTTACATCTTTAATTATCAATAAGGGGAAAAATCAAGTTATAAATATTTTCTGAGCTAATTTTAATCCAACAGAACAAATATAATCCAACATACTTTTTCTAAATTTTGGTGATGATTCGAATTGAACAATGTATTTTAAAGGTGCAATCCTTTCTCGATCAATAAAGATATAAACATGTTCCAAGTCATCTTTAGTAATAGATTTAGGATTCATCCATCCCGCTGGATAATCTCGATTTTCATCCTCGTCACAAAAACTAACAAAGCTCTTCTTTTGCTCAAATTCCTTTTTAAACTTCTCTATCGGATACCAACTATAGTCCAATGGATCTAATAAATCTGAAGGTAGATATTGTCCTTTATAATTCATTTTAGGGCATGTATAAATATAGTAACCTAATATATGATAAGTAAGTAAGCAAGTATGTGTGTGTGTGTGTGTGTGTGTGTGTGTGTATGTATGTGTGTATGTATGTATGTATATACACATATATACACATATATACACATATATATATTTACCCATGTAGTAATATTGTAAAGTAGATAGATTTTCATTATATCTTTGAACAAGACTAATTTCTTTAAATACACTGTATTTACCCAGTCCTAGAAATGAATAATCTGGATCATATATGAAATAGACAGATGATACACATTTAGGTAATATATCAATCACAGCCAAAGCAATCAATTTGCCATTAAGAATATATTTTTGGTGAAAAGAGCCAAATTTAATTTGACCTTCAGTTTCAATCTTCATAGGCGAGTCCACTAAAAACCGTTTAAATTGTGCCTCAGATATATCTTCTTCTTTATCATGATGTATACTTATTTGATATTTTGTATACAATTCAAACTTTTCCTTTGTAAATGAAGAAGGTTCTAATTCAGACTATATGATAAAGTATTAGCTTTCATATCACAATGCTTTAGTATTATCACCTTAAATTCATATTTATTATCTTTGTCTAATTCAGGACTATTAATCATGTCTTGTAATGATTGTATTTGAACATAATTATTTGGCTTTTTCTTATTATAATCTTTACTATTTGTCTCATTAACTTCTTTGGTGGTAGGATCCCAAATCCCTTTTATATATCGATTGAATTTATGAATAATCTTTTTTTGACTTTTACTAGGATTAAATCTTGTTGTGTCTAATCTGTATTGGTTATAAATAAATAAGATTGAAAAAAATAAAATAAAATAATAAGCATACTTTACCGAATAGTGTATTGAGGACAGCAGCTTTTCTCAAGATCAGGTTTATATAAATATTTGCCAGATCTATCCACAAATTAGGTTATGTTTAAAATTGTATTTACTTTTAAATGTACCTCCTCCATCCACGATCAATCAAATCTTGATAATCCTAATACATAAAATATAAATACATTATATTTTACAATAAACTGTAACTTACACTACATGTCAAAGCATGTGCCCAAATACCAAACGATATAGAAGTATTTTTTCCTTTACAATATCCACAATTATGTTTACTTTGACCAGCAACTGAAATTACAGAGCAATCATAAGCTAATTCTTCTTCTTCTTCTTCTTCTTCTTCTTCTTCTTCTTCGATCATACAATTGTCGTCATTGCTCATTTTTTTTTATATAAAAATAGCTGAAAAGAAAAAATATAAAAGAAAATAAAAGTTTGATTGTTATTTATGCTGCCACGTCTAATATTTTATAACTCAGAGAAGGACGTCAAAATGATATTTCTTTCTCTCTCTTTCCTTTTTTTTTTTTTTTTCTTTTCTTCATTGAACTATGCCAACTCCTATTTATATTAAAGAAGGTACACCAAGAGAAGGCCTTGTTCAAGGTATTGTATCTAATGGTTGGACAATTACCAGCAAAAAAGCTCCCATTTGTAATTCTATAGAAATGGAAAAGTAAATAAATCTCTCATGAATAATAATAATTTTTTCACTAATTTTCTCCATGTTATATATGCAGAATTCAAAAAGATTTTGGTTTACCACCTCCTGAAATGGTATTTGGCAATAATCATGTTACGATAAAATACAAAGATTTTCAACTTTTTTTTGGTGCTTATGATGCTTTAGCTTTAGTAGATACAAGTTCAACAAGTAGTGAAAAGATTAAAGTTGCTTATGCAGATGAGTGGACAAGGAAAAGGTACTCTAAAAAAAAAAAAAAAAAAAAAAAGAAAAGCGCCTACATACAGAATAATATATATATATGTATTTATATATATTTACATGGCATTACAGTTCTACCAATCATACAGATGTCAAGGATGTCGTTAAACCTTATGATTGGACATATTCGACAGATTATAAAGGCTCAAGTAATAAAGAATTTGAAATACATGGAGGTGAATCACTCATTGATTTAGAAAGACTTAAAAGACAAGATCCTATTTTGTTTTATGATGAAAATATATTATATGAAGATGAGTTAGCTGATAACGGTACGGCTATGTTAAGTGTTCGTTTGGTAAAGTATATTATATGCAATTAATATATACATATTTATCATTAACTTTTTGTTTCTTTTATAAAAGAGAGTAATGCCTACTTGTTTTTTAATTTTACAAAGGTTTTTTTTGAGAGTAGATGATGTATTATTTAGAATGAATGATACTAGAATATATCATGAATTTGGTAAAGAATATCTTGTACGTGAATATACTTCAAAGGAAGTCCATTATAATGATATTAAACAGGTAAACAATATAGACATGTGTTCATAAATGATTACATAATTTACAATATATATAAATATGTATAGAAATTGGGTAGAGGTGACATTTCATTATTAAATGACCAAAATTGGGTATCTTCAGCCATGCCTAATGAGTCAATAATAACCATTAGAGATAAATTATATGTAAAATAAATAATAGATATTATATTATTATTAAAAAAAAATTACACTGTAATAATAATGTGATTTGTATATTGATTCTATTGCTTCTTCTAGTGTATAGATTATGGTCAAGTAGGTCTTTCATTGATTTTATCGTTTTCATTATGATTATTCATTCCAAAATCATCTTCATGTTTATCTATTGACAGATGTCTAGCTCGCCTTCTCACTGGCGCTGATAGTTCTTCTATTTCATTTATTTCATTTTTCTCTGTATTATTATTTTGTTGTTCTTTTGTCCAATGACTTAATAATTGATCCCCATAGTGTTGTAATTCTTCTAAAGACACAAATAATGAAAAATCATTAAGTGATAAAAATTCTAACTCCAGCATATTTAATTCAGAAACAGGTAATCCGCCCACCTTAAAAAAGAAAAAAGAAATAAGAAAAGAAAAAAAAAAAAAAAAAAAAAAAAGAGGTAAATAAATTAACCTTTGCATTCTTTTACATGTACAAACCTTAGCATAACGTGTGTTGGTAAAGAATACATCCGAAAATAATTTACTTGCTACCATAATACCTGAAATGATAAGTCGATGAATATTATAAGAATCAATACGTATACTAGCAGCACGCGTATTTGAGGGCTTTGACATTCGATCGAAATAAACAAGTAAAGCTAAGAAGCATTCATTTGAACATGGACAGTATTTTAGAATACGCATAAGATAGGCATGAATGGTTATACTTGGTATAGAGCGTGCATGAAAACATGTTGTATGATGACTGGAATTTTTTCGTTTCAATTCTGAATTATTAGATGATGATGACGGTTGATATAAATTGTCGTTGGCCTTAATAACTTTTTCTAATAAAAAGGTCATCATTTTAATTGTATCTTTTATTGGATATCTTGCTAAATCATATTCAAGTAGACTGTCATTATTAGTGTCCATTATTAATACTTTAGAAAAAGAAAAAGAAAAAAAAAATAGATATTTTTGTATACACATATAAACATTTATATAGAAAAACAACAACAACAACAATAAACGGCGGAGTTATTTATTATTAAATCTTTTCATTCTTTCCTCAGCAGCTCTTGCTCTTTTTTCTCTTTCTAACCTCATACGAGCTTCAGGGCTCATATTAGCTGTATTTGCTACGCTATCACCACCTAATGTTTGAACAATAGGTAGTAGATTTCTCTTTGCTCTTTGTGCCTGTAATTTTTCTAATCGTCTTTCTTCTTCCTTTGCCTCCTTAGCTGCTTCTATCTTACGACGCTCAATTTCGATCAATCGTCTCTTTTCCTCTTCTCTTGCTTGTTTCTTCTTTTCTTTTTCTCTCTGTTGTTCCTCTTGCTCCTTTGTCAATGGACTGGGTACACGTCCCTTTTCAAGCCATTCCCATTTATCGGGAAAATCACACATACATCGTCTAAAGGCATTTCGTGTTTCTCGATCTTTACTCACTTCATAAGCCGTCTTACCAGCAGCACTTACGATTGTTGGATCTGCATCATAGGTCACTAAAAGCTCCATGACTATCTCTCTTCCCCCTACACTTGCTGCTAAATGTAATAAAGTAGGGTAATGATAAAGGTCCTCTTTACCATCCAACTCATCTTTAGGTAGAGCCCCTGTTAATGGTAAATGCATATTATTCTTTTCTAAATATCCTAATATAACTGCCGTCTTGTTTTGTTTTATCAATGCCAACAGCTTTTCAAGTTGAGGATTGACTGTCATTTTATCGGCAGTATTATGGTTGATCTCTTTCTTTACCATTGTTGATTTCTCTAATTGTCTTTTTAGTCTCTCTTCTCGTTCCATCCATTTCTGTCGATAAGCGTCTGCAGCTTCTTTGTCAATACGAACTACCTTCATCGTCGTTAGTTCCTTATAGACGCGTTGTAATTCATTGAGAGTGGGTCGACGGGTGGCAAATGGAATAGATTTAACATGCTCTGGATCTAATACAGCACCCTCATAATGAAAGACACTCTTGCGATTACTGCTTGGAGCATGAACAAAGACAAATTCACTAGCCTTAATATGTGATTGCCATTGAGCCAAGACTTCTCTAACTTCCTGTTGCAGCATAAGTTCATTATGACGACGGATCATTGCACCTGCTGAGTTGGCTGCTCCCTTTGCATTATCATTGGCGGATTGTGATCCACCTTGTTTACGACGTGTCGTGTAGCGATGGAATGTTCGATGCGCCAACATATGTACTTTATCAGCACTATTAGCATCTATGACTGCACCAGCAAAATGTCCTCCACCTACCATAATGATAGTCCATATCCGACGTTTAGGCTGTTGTAAGGATTGTAGTGTAGTTTGTGGGATTGAAAATAGATGACGATAGACTCCATAATGATAATCATCATCAGTGGTTTTGAACCATGTCAATGCAGAATATTTTTTCATAATGGGCAACATAACTTGCTTAGCACTATTTTCTAATTCCTCTTGATTTTCTTGTTCTTCCTTTTGTTTATCCACAAGTGAATTTATATTCGTTGACCTTACTTGATCTCGTCGATTCAAGCTTTCGCTGTCACCATTCTCTTCCTCCTCACTATCATCAGAACCAGATATGCTTTCAGTAAGATCTAGATAGAAAAAAAAAAGTATTCATATTATAAATACATATACATATATATCTTTTTCTTCTTCTTTAATAAATATATTTGAAGCACATGAATGTGTGTAGTAGTATCTTTTTTTTTTTTTCTTACCTGCTATTAATACTTCAAATGCTTCTAACGACACAGGTTCAACATTAAGTACGATTCGTCTTTTGATGTTGTATCGATGCCAATCGGTATTAAAATGATTACGTTGTTCGTTACGATCCGTAAATGAAATAGTACATGTATTACAAATAAAAGCGTTATTGGATTCATTGTTTAGTTTGTCTTGTTGAATCTGTAGTCGTTCAAGTGCCTTTGCAGTCACGTCTTCTTCTTGTTGAAGGCTGACAAGAACTTCATTGTCTTTCTCAACGGGCTCTAAACGATCAAGTAAACTCTTGGGAATATGAAAAATATGAATAGGTTGTGTTGTATTCATCATCTTGGTATTTATAAAATTTTAAATGTTAAAACAAAAAAACAAAAAAAAAAAAAAAAAAAAAAAAAAAAAGATAGAGATTTGCTTCAGTGCTGCGGTGATAGTGTAGTCCTTTTTTTTTTTTTTTTTTTTTTTTCAAATAAATTTTTTTTTTTATATACATGTATACAAGTATAAATATATAACGTAGTAATATTTGATCTTTGAAGCGGGGTAAAATGAATAAAAGAGAAGAATAGATTATAATATCCTTCTTACATTCAAGTATCGAACAGAATTTTACTAGAATCGTACGAAACACTTGAATAAGAAATAGGATTGTTTGCTGATTTATTTATTTATTTTTTTTTTTTTTTTTGTACTTGCCTGTTGAGCATTTATTCGATACTATGATTTTAAAAGAATAGATGACTACTAGAGTATTTGCTCACATTTAGATGCTATTAAAGACAGAAATAGAACACAAGGTCCTGGTGAAGCCAAACAAGAAAAAGACATTCAAGTATTTGATGATTCTCTAAACGTTTAAGATGAGAAGGCAGTTAATTACAATAGTGACACTATTGGCTCTAGATATTTTAACTTTTTCTAATTTCAAAAAGGAATGTAATAGACTGAAGGGATACTCAGATCTCAGAGATAAATAGGAGAGCATACACAGTTAAGATTGAATAAATCAACACTATTATAGTATGTATGAATGATATATCTATTTAAGGCACGTTTATAATCTATTGCTAGAAATCACCTTTAATTAAATATTCAAATATACTATGCTACAAAAATTTTATTTTTTTTTTCCATTTGATAATGTATTATCATGTCACATTACGAAATCATACACTACAACATGCTCTAGGCATTCAATCATGTTCTTACCATTGTGTGTGTGTGTGTTTTCCAGTCATTTTACACATCTTGGTTTCTTTTTTTTTTTTAATTATTATTATTTATTTCTATAATAAAGATACAAGCAGTAGTCATTTGTGTAACACTTTATTTTATAACATTAAGTTTTTAATGATGATAACAGTCACCTTATGCATCACCCTGCATGATGAGAAAAAAGATATAAAAAGGCATACATTTGTAATTTCCTCCCTTTTTTTTTCTTTTTCTTTTTTTTTTCTAAATCAGCCAATCAGCCGCAGCCGTGGGGCCCGCCTTGTTCGCCACGTTAAATACTCGAACACGGAGGCAATGTGGGGAGCCTGTTTTAAGCCGGGCGGTGACACATGAATCGCCCAGTCTGTGTAGTGCTTCCGATGGGAGGGAATTCTATGCTACCTTCCATCAGCGCAGGATCATAAAATAGTGAGTTCATGCTTTATTGATAATAAGAAGAGTAGGCTGAAAATAAAAAAAAATAAAAATAAAAATAAAAAGAAAGCATTAACTACGAACAACATAAGTTCATCATATACAAAAGTGTTAGACATCTAAAGGATTGTTTTGTAAAATAGATAGTCCTTCTTATTACAATAGAACAGTCTAGGGTAGGGTTTAAAACGATATATGCATGATGAATGATACTTTCACTTATAACAGAAAGACCTCAAGTGTCTGCTTTATTGCCGTTGTAATTAAAACCACTGAATATGCTCTAAAATTAACAGTTTACAATATAAGCTGTATCTTATCATTAAAAAGAAAAAAAAGGTCTTTTTAACGATATGTTTCTTGATTAAGTTAAGCGGATCATAAAAATGGGTTTAATTTAGATCTCCCCCCCTGAAACTCTCATAACATTTTTATTACATATAACATTTGGCTGTAAATAACTCTATTTTTTTTCTGATTCGTACCTAAGCACAGATAGCTTTAACAATTCTTATATAAACATTTATTAATGTAAAATATTTGACTAGTGTTCCATCTTATTTTGGTGAGAGACATTGCTTCAGGTCTTTTTTTTTTGATAATAACGCGGAAGTTGGTTATAATTCAAAAAAAAAAAAAAAAAAAAAAAAAAAAAAAAAGCCGTCCAAGTAATGTTGTCAATTATATAAGTAAATACTACGAATAAAGATATATTATAATCTTCTTTTAAATATAGGTATATTTATCTAATTCGATACGAGTCAGAAATAATGCTAAATAAGATAAAAGGTGTAAAAGCTTTAAAGTTATTTGAAGTAACTCATTGATGAAAATCGTTATTACTCAAACGTGTACATACTCTTAAGATGGGGGATAAAAAAAAAGGGGGGGGAGAGGATTTGTTTTTATTTTTTTCATAATAAAACATCCTCACTTTGCTGTTTCAATCACTTATTTGTGATAGCAAGTCAAGTATATTAATTCTTTATTTGATGGAATATTGTTTATATAAATGAATGATATGATAGTTGTAATGAAAAGCTTTTTTTTTTGTTATCTTTGCTTGACGCAGGTAAATCTTGTTTATGAGCCTTTTTAATATAAATAGGATGACCATTACACTTCTTTAATTGAAATAAAAGGTTAGTTAACTGTTTTCAGTCTGATTACTACTTTATAGTTGCCTTTATTTGTTTATTATTATTATATGTATGTCTATAGTTTTTATTTACTTACATGCGAATATGACAATCTGTGATATAAATTAGAAAATAGAGCAAGTCAATTATGTTTTGCTCAAACGAGCTATTTAAGACTGCATTAGGTTTAGAATGTAAGAAAGAAAGATTCAATATGCAAAAAGAGGGAGAGAGAGAGAGATTCATTCAATACACAGAAAAATAACGCCAACTGTTGTACACACACACAAAGACAATACTTTATTATTCTATGTACGATTCAAATAGTTTTTTATGAACAGCTTTCAGCGCCTTTAACGCATATTTTTCTTCCACAACACATGAAATATTAATTTCAGAGGCACCTTGAGAAATTATTTCAATACTAATGCCAGCTTCTGCTAATGAAGTCAACATGCTACCTGCTATTCCTATTAGATTTTTCATTTGTTTACCAACAAGCGATATAATGGCCATATTTGGAATCACACAGACCTACAAACACAAAATATAAGGAAAAAGTAAGCAAGTAGATAAATAAATAAATAGTTGATTCCACATACTGAACCTAGTTTCCTTAATTCATTAAGAGCTCTTTTTAATTGATTCTCATCTATATTAGAAGACAAGGCCATCGAGACGTGTACCTCAGAAGTGGAAATCAAGTCTACTACAATACCGTAATCGTCTAAAGCCGTAAAGATTTTAGCTAAAAATCCATGACTCACATTCTTTCGATTTGAATGAATATTTAATATACATCTGTTTTCTTTCACTGTAACTGCTGTTGGGTATCTTTTAATAGAATCAGTCTCCTGAGAGTCATGAGCAGAAAAAATAACTGTGCCTGAGCTAAAAGGGTTCTTTACGTTTTTAATACGAATTGGGATATTTGCTTTCATGACTTGCTCTATTGTAAAGGCTTGAATGACTTCAGATCCATAATAGGTTAATTCAGCTGCTTCCTCTGGTGTGATGATAGGTAGGAGACGAGCTGTTTGGACTATGTGTGGGTCAGCCGTAAAGATACCATCAACGTCTTTCCAAATTTGGAGCTCTTTAGCGTTTAAGCCTACAGCTGCAAGTGCAGCGCAAAGATCTGTATATCCTCTTCCAATTGTATTTAATAAACTGCCTGGCACATTACCAAAAAATCCTATATTTTTATGTATACACATATGTATAGATATATATATATATATATGTGTGTGTGTGTTTGCATATGTACATACAAAATATATATGCATATATTCCTTATCTGTAATTTCTTTAAAAGTTACCTGTTAAAACAGGAATTTTATTTCCACATTCAGATATTACTTGAAAAAGTCTTTCAGCGATATAACTATAAAATAATTCATCGAGTACAGTGAATTCTTGTTGAATTATATTATTTAATACAACAAGTTGATTATCAATTCCCTTAAAAAGCAAAAAAAAATAAAAAATAAAATAAATAAATATGAAGCTTATTTTAGATCCGTACACTAGAGTTACTCTATCCTTCAATACTGCAGATACAACGATACATGATAACTTTTCTCCCATACCAATAATAATATCTTTTGATCTTGGTGAAATTTCATTTATAATCTATATCCTAATTAGCAACGGAATATATAACATATCAATATAACTTACTTGTGCAGCTTCTAAAAACGATCTTAATTTTAAACATTCTTCTGTTAAACTAGATTCAACAGATAGTAAAATAGATTTACTCTGAATAATTGTTCTGGTTGCGTTAACATGATCTTTTTTGATTTCCTCTACTATATCTAAATGTTTAGTTGAACCTTCAATAAGTGCCTCTTCTGCTGCTTTTAAAAGACTATGTAATTTATTTATTTATTTTTGAATAATCAAGCACATATATAGTTGCTTTTTTTTCTCTCTTTCTTTCTTTTGAATACCTATTTGTTGTGCCTTTGGTCTTTATGTCTTGACTTCTCGCAGAACAAACAATAACAACTCTATTTGTTTCTATATATGTACTATATATATGGATTATGATTATTAGTATTATTTTTTTTTCCTTTCATGTTACATTCTTTAACTTACGGTATAATGGTATCTGCTATTTCATTCAAGAAATTTCCTATAATTGTTCCACCATACTTTTGAACTATCCAAGGGAGATTGTCTGGATTTGATTTTAATGATAATTGCATTAGTCTAAAATAAATACATATGTTATTACATTTGTGTACATCTAAATCACACATTAAATAAGCTATATGTACAATTATTTTATTTATGTTAAAAAAAAAGAAGAGAGTGATAAGAAGAAAGTAAAAGAAAAAAAAAGCCAAAGATGATTCAAGCAGAGAAAAAGAAGCTTCCAAGATGATATCTTAATCTTAATCAATGATTTAAGCGGCCACTAAAATTTTAATAAAACAGTAGATCATTTGAGATGGAGAGTATTTTTCAAGGAAAAGAAAAATAGACGAATCAGATTTCATTTCTTCAATATTTGCAATTTTTATCATCTAGATTTTTACTCTTTTTTCAGACGTTGTTCTCAAATTGTTTTTTTATTATTAGATATTTCATAAAATGACGCTATATTGAGAAAGACTGAATCAGTCATTTTAACATATCCGTTAAAACAGGCACAATATAAAATGAAACAACAGCCATTAAAAGGCAGTATTTGTACCACGAAAACAGAGTTATTAACTAGAGAAGGTTTATATAAAAGTAAGTTACCACTATTGTAAGAAAGAGTAAGCATAACTTACATGTAAGCTCCCTCCCCCTCCCCATTCTATATATTGTAATGATAACATTTTTTTTCTGGGATATTATCATAAGCCTCTAAAAGAAGTCAGTCAGTCAGTCAGTCAGTCAGTCCCTAAAAAAAGAAGATTGTATCTCTGTTACAAAAAATAACATTGAGGGAGGAGAGCTCATTAGCTATTTTAGATACTCGGTTCCAATGCATATTTGCAGTAAACCATTATATGTTATATTTAATGACAAAAGCTGACGTCTCTATTGATATGTGTTTACATATGTACATAGAACTTGGATCCTTAAAGATAATAATAAAACTGATGTTTAATAGTGCATGTAGAGGAGATCTTTATTGGTCAAGCTGCACCTTCAATCTACAGGGGCGTCAAAAAAAAAATGCGAGAAACAATTCCTCATCATTGCATTGTAAAATAGCTTACTTTTTTTTTTTTTTTTTTTTTCGTCAGAAGCAAAAAGATAGTTAACAGGTAAGATGTCTTCACATAAATCTTACAGGGTCCGAAAATTAATTTATCCAATAACAAAAAATATACATGCATTTATATTGTTTTGAATTTTTTGTTTTTATTTAAAGAAAAAATGACTTTCATACCAGCTAAATTCATTACGCTATTACAAAGGCAGCATGTCCGAACATTTAACACAAGTAAAGCATGCACTGACCATATAATTAAGACCTCGAAACAAAGAAAAGCTTATTTTGAACAAGTAAATTCTTGGAAAGCTAATTTATTTAAAACTGTCGATGATCATCCAAAAGAATTAAATAAACAAAAGAAAAAAAAAGTTGCTTTATTATTGGGATTTAATGGTTCAGGATACCAAGGAATGCAATCGTAAGAACGTAATATACTCAATTTAAGTGATATTTTAAAATGACATTTTTTTTTTCTTCTATGGCCTTTTTTTTTTTTTTTAAGAAATCCAGGGGTTAAATCGATTGAAAGTGTTTTATTCGATGCATTATGTAAAGCCGGTTGCATTTCTTCTTTAAATGCAGTTGATCCTAAAAAAGTGCAACTCATGAGAGCAGCACGTACAGATAAAGGAGTTCATGCTTCTTGTAATGTTGTCTCTTTGAAAATGATTTGTGAGGATCCTCAAATTGTTGAGAAAATCAATACTTATTTACCGTCTGATATACGAGTTTGGGGTAAAAAGTAGTAATCATAGAAAAATAGAATCAATGACTTGAAATTTATGTGTGTATATATATATATATATATTTTTTTTGTTAGGCTATGTGGAAACGCAACGTAGCTTCCACGCTAAAAATAGATGTGATTCACGTATTTATGAATACCTTTTTCCATCTTATGCGTTGACACGATTACAAGATGTAAACAAGAATAACTGGGCTAATGAACCACAAACAGTTAGAGACATTAAAATAATCAACGATCATGGAATACATTATATATCACCTACAGATCCTCAAAAGTTACTAGATTATCGAGTCGATGATGAAAGTTTTGAAAAGTTTAAAGAAGCTATGAGTATGTTTAAAGGAACACATAATTTTCATAATTACACGATAGCAAGAAGTTTTAATGATCGAGCATCCCATCGACATTTGATTAAAATAAATGTAAATTACTATAGACATATATCAATAGAGTCTATAGATAAATTTGAACTATTATTATTATGTATAGGTAGAAGAACCAATGATGATAGAAGGTATGGAATGGATTAGTGTAAAGCTTCATGGTCAATCATTTATGCTTCATCAAATTAGAAAAATGATATGTAAAAGTAGCAATCTAAAATCCTACCACACATATATTGACTATTTTTTATGCATAAAATAGCTATGGGCATTTTATGCGTTCGTACAAAGTCACCTTTATCAATCATTAGCAAGACATTTGAATCTGACAAGATCAATATACCAAAGGCACCTTCATTAGGTCTCTTGTTAGATAGACCCGTATTTCAATGTTACAATGATAGAATAAAAAATGTAGAAAATAGAAAAAGTATTGATTTTAACTTGTACAAGGTAATGAATGCATATTATATTATGTAATAAAAAATAAAAAGAGAGAGAGAGTTCCTTAAAGCATAGGTAATATAGGATGAGATTGAACAATTTAAAAGAGACAGTATTTACACTGATATATTTAAACAAGAGCTCGAACAGAATGTGTAATATATATAAATACGTATAGAAAGACGTGTTATAGCTAATTAAAATGATTATATAGATTTGATGCATTTTTGATAAATGTTGATTCACATACAGAAACAAATTATGCCTATTTTAACAAGGAAGGAATTATTCCGCAACATTGCATCTTAACAACAAAATATTCCGTAAAAAATCATGATTCAAATTCGTACGAATAGAAAAAAAAAAAAAAAAAAAAAAAAAAAAAAAAAAAAAAAAAAAAAAAAAAAACTTCTGTAAAACTCAGTTATAAAATAAACAATAGCAGTAACTTTCTCTTTTTTTTTTCTTCTTCTTCTTTTTTGCTTTCTTATTTTAATACACCAATCATGTGGGATTTATTACCTGCTGAACTCTTAGAAAAAGTCTTTAATTATTTATCATATGATAGCATTTCTCAATGTCAACTTACTTGCAAACAATGGGCAAAAGTAGCTCAACCACAGTTATATAAACAAGTGACATTAAGTACATGTAATATAGAAAAGTTCAAACATACTATTCAATCTTCAGCCATTGGAATGCTTGTAAAAAAAATAAATTTAAATAATAAAAATAATTCATTGTTCAATCCACTTCAATATGGAGAATATTTTAATGTCATTCCAACCCTTTCTGTTCATTGTCCGTTCATTGAATCTTTCAATATCTCTCACACATCTCTTTCATTCTGGTTCAATTTCAAAAATGCGCGCGACAGTAACTATTGGCCTCGATTAAAGGAGATACCATATCCTATGGAAGCTAATGAAATTGAATATTATACCCAGATTGCTCTTGGATTACGAGATTCACTCGAGAGTCTATTGCTCTGTGATCAACTATCGTATGCTGAGGACAATCATCTATCTTTATATCGAGCTGAGTATGATGCATTAAAGAAAGAACTAAGTTCTTTTCATCGTTTAAAAAAGCTGTTTATAAGAATGCATACACATGAATCGATTGAAGATATAGATTCTGTCTTTGAGGATTGTCTTTCATTAAAGATCTTAAATGTGAATTTATATTATTCTAACCCTACTACTACTACTACTATTACTATATCAACGTCCCATCCTTTGCCTTTTGAAGAAGAAGAAGAAATGTGCTTTACGCATATTGTACCAAGTCCAACTATTTTTAGTCTCGAACTTAATTCTGTTATACATACGAATAGAGTATACCCGTATATTATGCACAAATTTCCATCACTTCGTCGTCTATACGTAAATGTGGCATGTGATGATAGAACAAGACAGTTGATGAGACTGACTAAACCTAAATTTTCAAAAGAATTTATAGAGCATCTATATCATTACATTTCAAATATTGAAGACTGTTATTTAGATAACTTGCATGTCTCTAATATAACAGAAACTATCTATCATTGGCTTATGACTGCAAGGAGAGACAACAATAGGACATTAAGGATTATGTATGAAAATGATCGTTTAAACGAAGTTCATCATGAAAATGCAACTCATTTACGACTTTATACAACCAAAGAGGACGAAACGGTCGATTTCCAGGAAAATAATCATCCGCTAGAAAGGGAAGGCATGATGATGGTGAAATTGGCTGTGATCTTTAGAGCAGATGTAGATGAATTTAGTTTACCACATATTGAGCTTATTGATAAGATTGGACATACTAGTTCATTTACTACACTAGACCTCGACATGAAGCAAAAAAGAGTATGTCGATTTATGGCAGATAACAACAATGATTTCTTAAACATGATATCAGGCTATTACTTGGATCATTTATTTAGGACATGTACCTCACTAAGGACCCTCATCTTGCGTGGTGCCTTTCTTCTTGATTGTGCCCCTAATACAGATACGAGTCAATCGATTGAGCACTTGATCTTGTCTCGTTGCCGAATTCACCCCCCTGTGCTCTATCAATTATCGATTCGACTTCCCTTATTGAAAACGTTGAGTTTTTATTGTTGGGAATTTGTAACTGTAGATGGTCGAAATTCGACTGAATATATTGAACAGTCTTTAATGGTTGATATGCCCTATAGTTCATTGCATACTATACGATGGATTAGTGATGATGACCAAAGAAGGAACATGGCTGATGTATTTTACTTGAGAGTCTGTACCATCAGAAAGGAAAGTTACTACAGAGGGGATCAAAATCGACTTTACCTGACCTCTGCACAAGCCTATAGACATTCAATGTCAAGAGAAACAACGATGACATTCTATATTCGATGTAAAGATATTAAAATATTTTCACTTTATCATAAAGGATTTCATACAGATTATGAACTAATAAACCAATAAAACACACACACACACACACACACACATATGTTTATATGTGTGCATATATAAATATAAATATAAGATATATACACATGTATATTACAAGCATTGTATTTTTATTATTATTATTATTATTATTATTATTGCTCTTCTTTCTTTACATATATACATGTATTTGTATCCTAATGGATACGTAGAAAAAGGATTTTTATTTATAGTGGGAATCAATTATTGTTATTATACATAATATGTGACAAAATAAATAAATAAATATACAAAAATATACATATAATATGAAAATAGTTTTAATCATCTTTACCAATGTCCCTTTTTTTAACCATAGCAGACTCTTCATCTTCCCAAGCATCCCAAGCATCCAAAGAGATACTACTACTACTATTATTATCTCTGATTGTTCTTTCATGATGGGAGTTTAGTGGTATTATGGATGAAGAAGAAATCACTGTTCCAGAAGATAAAATAGTTACTGTACTCGCATTCACATCGTCATCCTCTTCTTCTTCTTGACGATGATTTAAAAAGGATACCTGTTCCTCATCATCTATAGATTCTGCTGCAACAGCTGTCTTTGCTATTTGATAAAGATAGGCCATCACGACTATGGCTAATAACGTAAAAATGATGAATGCTACATATTTGACTTTCATAGCTCTCAGCTGAGCTTCAGTTAAATCACCATCCTTGCCTAACAAATGATCAACAAAGGAAGTCAAGTTGGCACCGATATAAACATGCAAAGCAATTTTTAGTAATGAAATTGCTGTTCCTGCTACAAAATGAGAGAGTGGAATGCTAGTGGAAGCAAAAAAGAAATTTAATAAATTAAAAGGATAAGGAGAAATACGAATTAATAGGAATAGCTTAATACAAAAAAAAAAAAAAAAAAAAAAAAAAAAAAAAAAAAAGGGGTAAATATCTACTCATGTTGACATTGCATACTATTTATTACCTTGAAACCTTTCTTTTCTACTGCCTTGACTACTGCTTCAAAATTAGGATACCTTGATAGTAGACGACTAATACGAGTCTTTATGAATAATCTACATAATGAAAAGCAAATAATAGCACCTATCAATGCACTAAAGTAGGAGATAGGGAATCCAATTTGAAATCCATAGGTATAACCTGATAATGTTTGGTAAGTGCTATAACCGATAATAGGAGGAAAGGCACTCAAAAAGATAAGTAAAGACATCAATAGATACCCCCTATGTTCATTTGTCAAATTAGATAAAAATAACATGTATTATAATAATCATTTTTTTTTATGATAATACCTATAACCTAAATCTGATAAATGATGACTTAATGCTTCTAAAGCTTCAAAAAAATTTCTTCTATAAATAAACATAACGATGCCTATTATGACTGAAATGCCAAAGAAGAATAAAGACCATCTCCAATTATAAAGGAATAAAATTATGTTCCGTTTTGTCCATCTTTGTTTGATTCTTTGAATAAAGTGTGAATTACTATTAGTTGTTACTGAAGGAAAATAATCTAGATCTTGAGTTGTATTATTTATAGACTGTAATAATATTGTATCTGAAGGAGGTTGTAATAAAGGATCATTATCGTCTTTTGTCATTTTATAACTTGAAATAATAAAAAATAGAATAACAAAACTAAAAATGCCTATAAATAAAAGAAAAAAAAATAGCCTTATTTCTTTTATGTCATACTCTTGGAAAAAAAAAAAAAAAAAAAAAAAAAAAAAAAAAAAAAAAAAAAACTTCTCAGAGTAGTAGAATATATGAATGCTTTTGAATAAAAGGTTTTACTAAATAATAAAAGTGAATTGAAAAAAAAAATGATGGTCTGTTTTATTTTTTAATGATGAATGGATGGAATCTTGTCAATAATGTCATGTACACGATGTTTGGTCACTTCCAAAGCATCTAAACCTAATCCAAGTCCCGTAGTACCAGAAGGGATTAAAGCGCCGCATAAGAATAGAAAGACAAAGATGACAGTTACTAGCATGGCTAATGCAAGCTTATTATCAATGACTAAAAATGCTTGAGAATGATGCTGCTTCATAATGATTATGTGTATATGAATTAACAAAATAGGCTGTTATAACTTCTTTATATATTTTCTTTTTTAGATCATTCATATAAAAAGGAGACAGGCAAGCATTGTTCTGTATAAAATGATTTGATGAAATAAAATTTATTGAAAAATAAAACTGACCAATGGGCAATTCAGTTATGCTATATTGCCTCAGCCCGTTCCAAAAAGGGGAAGAAATCAGAAACAATATGAGTATTTACTAGTCCGTCTACGATAAGGACAATCCATACATTAGGTTAATAGCAGGATTGACAAGAGAAGGAGAAAGTGTTTGATGAAATAAATAATTCATTTCATGTAAAAATGATACAGATTATTAGCCAACACACTAAAAGAAGGAGAAGCTAATTATGTCAGACTTTGATTTCTACAGAGAAGGATTTGCTGAAGTGAATCAATCATAGTTGATGATATTTAGAGTCGATAATGCATATGGAGATATCTGATAGAGTGCACACAGGTAAAGTGATTCATATGAATATTAAAAGTATGTCTCAGGAATACGACCAGAAAGCTATTCAAGACGTTAATAAAGGACACAGCTTTGCTCGACAGATAACCAAGGATAGGTTCTGTATACCTAGAATGGAATGGCACACATCCAATACATTGATATTAGAAGTGATGTAGTCATTATTAAGTTTGACTTTTTTTTTTTTTTGTTCACATGGAAACAGTGTTGACTGTAGCCAGCCTTTCAGGATGAACTGTTATTACCACATCATTAGCATATAGAAGACAGTTTATGTGGATGGTTAATTAGATAGGGTCGTATAAGTTCTTTTTGGATAATGATCGAGAGCAAAGACTGTTAATTTACAGTGAATACACAGAACAATTATCACTTGATATCCTTATAGTTCACCGTCAAGCATTTACTCAACATTGGCATTACTTGATAATCATAGTTTAATAATTATAGAAACAATAGTGGAATATTATGTAAAGCTGTTAATGATTAAAGCACTGGTTCTACATTATATAACAAGGCTAAAAAAAAAAAAAAAAAAAAAAAAAAAAAAAAAAAAATTATGCAAATTCATTGGAGAAAAACCACTATGCGCAACATCCTCCATTTGTCTATGACTATCTATTTATTTTTATTTCTACTGTATTTTATTTTATTTTATTTTATTTTATTTTAAAATGAATGAAATTCAACAAAAATATATTCAACTCGTTAAAGAAATTACACGATTGCAATGGGTTCGGGAATCTTTACCTTCACATTCAAAATATTATGAAGGCTTAAAAAAAAAGCTTTTAAAGCAAATCGGCTTAAAAGAATTTTCCGAAAAAGAATTGTAAGATATAAATTTGATAATAATAATAATAATATGGAATAATTATAACAACAACAACAATGATAGGAGAAATTATCAAAATGAAAAAGATAATCAACATCATTATTCAATATCAAAACTTGGATTGTTCAAGACGAATGATACACCAACAACAACAACTACTTCCTCTACTAATTTGATTGAATCTGTAAAGTTTTATGAAAACGCAATTCAGCAATTACAGGCGCAGATTGATCAAGCGAAAATCATGGTAAAAAGAAAAAAAAAAAAAAAAAAAAAAAAAAAAAAAAAAAAAGAAAAGAAAAGAAAAAACACATTAATCAATTGACACTCATTATGATACAAGATGGATGAATTAAAGGAAGAAAGAATAAAACTCGATAAATTATGTAATGAATTACATGTGTTATATGAACAAGTTATTATAGATGACCCTGAAGACCCCACTTTCATATTTGAACAGCATTTAAAAAATGAAGTAGAGCAGTTATCCAATAATATTCCTAATGTATATTCAAATATAATATACCTCTGTTACGTCATAGATTTTATAATAACAATACATATATTAGATTGAAGATAAGATTAAGAAATATACAGTAGCTCAAGATAAATTATATAGAGCAAGAGAATTAATAGAAACAGCAATGAAATCATTACCTGGTGCTTCTACTTTTATGGATAGACAAGCAATAGTAGCAAAGCAAATACATAATAATCCAACCTCTTTATTTGGTAAATCAGTATTAGTTTCTTCTGCTATAATGGAACCAATTCATAATGTAGAAAAGATAGCACAACAATCTTATCAACTTGTTAAGGAGGCAAGTGAGATATGTCCAGACGTACCACTCATACCGAATACTATGTTACGAAAAGAAGAATCAAATGTTGTTTATATTTTAACTACTTATCGAGGATATCGTCTCAAGATAGAATATGTATTAAGAACTCAAGTTAACCCAAGACTTCATAGATTTGAAAATCAATTAGCAATGACAAAATATCATTATGAACAACGTGTAATTGAATGGACAAATCATCAAATTTTATCTTTAGAAAGTTATTTAAGATTGAATGGGTATTTAGTGAACGAAAGTTTAGAAAGAGAGATTAGCATGTTACGTATGGGCTCAAGAGCAGCTTTAGCAGCAGTAGCGTCAGAGACAAGTGAAAGAGTCACAGTTGATGACGCATTAGAGATATCATCAGATCATCCTACTATTTTACCAGAATACACCATAGATAACCGTCATTTAAGAGATGAACAAAATAACGTATCAATCATAACAAGTCATAATAATGCAGATGAATCTTCTAATATTAATTTACCTGCCTATTATTCATCAGAGCAACCTGCTGATGATTTACCTCCACCAGCTTACACAAGATAAACTTTCATCTACCAGTATACCAGCTTTAGTTATCATGTGTGTGTGTGTTTTCTTTTTGAATTGAATACTATAGTAGACAATAAAGATAATTATCCTCCTTTGTCTATAAAGAAGAATCTTAATGTTGCACTTGGATATATGTAAATAAGATTACGATGATAGCATTATAAGACATGCCATATCCTAACGCTTCTCTTTAGCATTGACCTTTTTATATCTGGAAGTTTATGAGTGTGGCTGATATTAAACTATTATTGAAGTGAAAAGTACAATTCCAAATAAATAGTGAATTTAAGAAATCCATTTTTTTTATATACATGTAAGGTTTAAAAACTTCAATTTTATTAATGGTTTTGTAGAGAAAAAAAAAACCCCTTCCCAGATAGCAGATCTTCGTAGTAGTTAATAACTTTTAATAAAACCCGCTTAGTTAATGGAAGAAACCGGGTAAAGTAGAATGATCACCACAAAGAATGCTGGTAAAACCATGCACTCTATTATTAATAAAGGAGAGGAGTTTAATTTGAAGAAATGAACTACTTTGACAGATGATATATAAAGAGTCACAGCATATGTCAATTGAAGATGAAGATCTAGAGAAGGTTGAGAAAGTAAAATGATGTATAGATAGTAGTCATAATACCTGGACAGATAATTATCATATTCCTTTTTTTTTTTGTTGTATTATTTGAAGACTTTGAAGAAGAAGAAGGAAAAAAAAACTGGTCATTATTTTGAATTTTTAAAAGGGAACCTTAAATCAGATAGATAAACTTTTAGAACTAAAAGGCTTCTACCTCGTTACTAACAATGCGTCTACCTGCACCCACAAAAAGATGGATAAGTTGATTATTAATAGATGGGTACAAATACCTTTATCTTCGTCTTCCCTAACGCGCTTGAGTTAATTTTTTTTTATCGAGCAGTTCTGAGTAATTGTTAAAAATAGAGTTGAATCTAGTAAATTTAACTATAAGAAAGATCTCTATACAACAATTGCTGATGCATGTTTATTATGTATCTAAAAGCTCCCTAAGAAACTATATTCAGTATTCTATTCATATTTTCTCAACGCGTTTAAAATAAAGAACTTGTTAAAAATCGTTGACACTAATCAGGCTACAAAAGTTTACTGTGATTTAGTTTTTCATAAAACCATTCATATTTGGACCGCCGCTAAAAAAAACACACAATAGTAAATCCGTAACATCTTATAGAAAATAAATAAATAAATTATAACTACTTTTAAAGCGAACTATTATTCGAATAAAATTATAGTATTTTAGTTATTCCAAACTATCTTATTTTAGCTTAATTTTTGTACAGTAGAATTAACAGAAATACTGCTTAGATGCAAATTATCAAGATTAAACATAAATTTCTTTTTTTTTTTTTTTTAAAAAAAAATGATTATAATCTTTAAATTCCGGTAATAATTGTGGATTGTGCACCGTTTTTTTTTTATTATTTTTTTTTCTTTTTATATATAAAAAATAGAAATGATGCTAACGGCAAGATATAGTCGAATAGGATTATTAATATTATTTCCTTTTTGTATATTTTTATTAATATTTTATAGTTCTTATAACAAGAATTTAAATACATATAAATATGATTATGAAATTGAAAAGAATAGCTCAACTATTCACCGAGAAAATGCTGCATTTGTTGTGTTGGCACGTAACTCTGACTTGAACGGAATTAGAGAAGCAATGCAGATGATGGAAGATCGTTTTAATCATAAATACCATTATCCATGGGTCTTTTTAAATGATCAGCCATTTGAAGAGAAATTTAAAGAATATACAACGGGATTAGCTTCGGGCAAAACTTATTACGGTGAACTAAGTCATGACATGTGGGGTTATCCTGACTGGATTGATCAAGAAAAGGCAAGAAAGTCAAGAGAGGAAATGGAGGCAGCTCAAGTTATCTATGGTGGAGTTGAATCCTATAGACATATGTGCAGGTAGGTATAGATAAGTGTTATGTAATTGAAGATAACTAGGATGATTAATAACAATGATAAATAGATTTCAAAGCGGGTTCTTTTTTAGACATCCTTTGATGGAACAATTTGATTATTATTGGTAAAAACAAATGTGCAATTTATTTTATTTTATTTTCTTATAAATAAGTATTTTATTAGGAGAGTCGAGCCCGACGTTAAATTTACATGTGATATTGATTATGATCCATTTAAAGTAATGAGAGAAAAAGATTTAAAATATGGATTCACTATATCTTTATATGAATATGAAAATACCATTCCAACATTATGGAAAACAACAAAGCAATTCATGAAGGAATATCCACAACATATTGTCCCAACAAATGACTCTGAGAGCTTAATGAGTTGGATTACCGATAACGGTGGTGAAACATATAATTTGTGTCATTTTTGGAGTAATTTTGAAATTGGCTCCTTGGCGTTTTTAAGATCTCAAGCCTATTTAGATTATTTTAATTATTTAGACAAAGCGGGTGGTTTCTTTTATGAAAGATGGGGAGATGCTCCAGTGCATAGTATTGCAGTAGCTATGATGTTGAAAAAATCTGATGTACATTTCTTTTATGATATTGGTTATTTCCATAATCCATTTAAAAATTGTCCTAGTGAACCCAGTTGGCTTCCAATAGAGAAATGTAGTTGTGACCCATCAGATAGTATGCGTATGTAGTTAGACATGTTTTATAACTAAATTATCCAATATACTCATCTTTTTTTTTTGTTCTTTTTTTTAGATGATAATAATTGGAGTTGTACTCCTAAATTTTTGAATCTTGTAAACAAGAAAGTAACAGACTTTGTTATTACCAAAAGATATTAAAAGTTTATTTTTGATAAATGGACGGTAAATTCTCTTTATCAATAAAAGCAAGCAGAGTAGTATTTAATTCAGCACTAAAATAAAGCAAAGTTTAATTTAAGAAAAAAAAAATATGTGCACTTTATAACTTACTTTGAACAAACTACAAACTTTTTTAATGTTGCTTCAGAAAGCAATGGACGAAGTAATTTAAATATCAAACTATTATATAATAAATAACTGGTAAATAAATAATTTCCTTACACAGTATTTGCATTGTATATTTATTACCTTCCTAGTCTTGGAACATTGACGAATAATTTACTGGATAAGAATTCAGGATAATTATCTTGCATCAATTCAATAAGAATATTTGTTGCTTCCTTTGTATTTGCTGTACGACCAAAGATAGAAGCCCCATTATAGTCATGAACTTGAAGCATAGCATCTGTATTAACAAAATCAATTTGCCTGACTCCTTTTTCCATTAACTGTACTCTCCAACGAATAAATCTATTGAATATGAATGATTAATAATACAGGCATCGTAACAGTCATCATCCTTATATTCCATCTGCTGTTTATTACTTATTTATATTGCCGAATACTTTTTCTTGGTCGATTCCACCATAAAAATTGTAAGTAACCGGATGACCTTCTTTATCTGATTTATATAAAAGCCCGATGCTATCATTAAAGATAGTAAGATCAAATTCTTCTTCCAGGAGAGAATCAGCTGAAAATTCCTTTCTCCATTTTAACATTTTTATCAGCATTTCTTTAGCTGCTGGAAGATCCATATTTCTAAATTTTCAGCCAAACCCCATGCGAAATAAATAAAGAAAATTATAGAAAACAAACCCAACTTTTTTTTTATACCTGGCTCTTAAGAATTTGATGAGAATAACTTTAATACGTTCATCATCAGAAGACTTGTCTAAAGGAACTCCCCACAAGGTATAAACATCGTTTGAGCCAAAGGCTTCTGTTAAAATATCTGGTAAAGCATCCTTTAATTGTTGAACTGCAACTGCTTCAGTAACAGTAAATTTAGCTATAAACTTGTTTTCAGAAACCATTTCTTGGTATAATAATAATAATAATAATTAAAAAAAAAAAAAAAAAAAAAAAAAAAAAGCAAACGATAAAAAAAAAAAACCCAAAACAAAATGAAATTATTGCTGACTGGTGAAACTTGCGTTATACAATTTAAATACTCCGCTACTAGTTTATATTATTTCAAGCATGCAAATCTTTCCTTTGAAGTTAAACGTGTTTATTGCTTATATCAAGGAAATAGATTATAAATATGATTCGACTCTATTTCTATTTAATACTATAATAACTTCAAGTTGAAGTATACGCCATCATATTAGGGAAACTTTGCTTGATAATAAATAGTATTCAATCTGTGGCTTGTTGATATTTTATTGTATTAGATGGATTACTAATTATGAAGAAAATTACTACCTAAACAGATAATTCTCTGATAAAATTATTAAAGTGATGGTCATCTTTTCAAATAGACAAAACACTCTCCTAACCATCTTTATATATAAAGTTAATAAGTTTGATATTCAAATTTTGTGTCTATATGTATTCATTTTTTTTTAAAATGTGATAAATCAATTAAGCAATATTGTCTTTAAATACAGTGACCTTTTACTTATTCTCTTTTATTATTATTATTTACTTTTTTTAAAAAAAAATGTTTAAACAGATGACTAATGGAGAAGAATAACATGGTTAAATTAGTTGCAATATTAGGTAACTGAGAAGGGACTGACATTTGCTAAGCTATTTACAAAAAAAAAAAGGTGCGCAAGATATCGAGCTATTACATTCAAATTGTGGGAAGAGGGGAAAGTCAGTATCTTGATTTGAAGTTGTTTTTAAGTTTTAGGATTTGAACCTTTAGTCTCTATTAAGTATAGATTAAGTTAAGATAGGTATGACAATATGTTAACTAAAAAGCTTTATTCCTAATTTGCAAAATTTATGGAAGAATAATCGAGAAAAAATCAGGTGGATAGCGCAAGTTGTATATAAAGAACTATACTTGATGGGAGAAATGACCATACAATATTATAGACATTATTAAGCATTGGTATTTTCAAAGGTGTGATATTAACACCTATTAAGCGTGATAACTTTTCGAAAGCCTATTTATATTAAACTACAAGACCATAAATATTACCCGAGGATTAGAAAAGGTTAAAAATTGATTTTGCCAATTCTTTAATAAGCTTGAAAAAGAGATATATAGCTGTTAATGAATTTAATGACAGTTAAATTCAATATTAAAAATAAGTATTAGTAATTCACTTTTCCTTTAGTAAAAAAGTCTTGAAGTGATTCGTAAAATGTATAATATATATACATATACATATATAGTGTATCTATAAGCTTTTAAAAATATCGATACATGTACATATAAATATGTTCACTGACTATTTTATACATTGAAATATAGGAGCAGATGGAGTCAATAGCACTTTAGAAAAGAAAAAAGTATTATTTCTATTTTCATAGTAGACGTCTTTTCGGATACATTGCAAAGACCTACAATGAGGCAAAAAACTTTTTTTTTCTTCTTTTTTTTTACATTCATTAGTATCATATATTTCCACATCCAGGTAGGTATACATGTATATAATGTTTATTTATTGACTAAAGAAAAGAATAGGCTTTAAGCAAGACCGTTAGTATCCAAAGTAAGAAAGTATTTTCAATCAATACTGAACTTTAAGATTGACTCTAACCGTTATTTTTATATAGTATTGTTATCTTAATTATATCTATGACACAACGTTATAATGCAGTACGTGAGCCTTTGCTGAAAATTTGACTCAGAATGTGTGTCTATTTATTTAGTTTTTAGTTTTTAGTTTTTAGTTTTTTTTATAAATTTTGTCTCAAGATATTAATACTAAATACATCTCTTGGATTAGCAAATCCAAGAGTCACTTCATAATTGTTATACCTGATTTTTGTTATGTTATTTTAATTTTTGAAAGAGTTTTTTTTTTTATTAATGTCATTATTATGAAAATAATGTGTTAAAAAATTTTCAGTTAGACTCAATTAAAGATAAACTGCATAATTTTTTTTTTTGTGATTCCCTAGACAAATTGGTATAGAAGAATCAATTTTATATTAATAATCTATACGCGTATTAAATTTTAATTTTCTAAAATTTAACTAATTTAATATTAAATATGCAGGATTCAACTATTTCAAAAAAAAAAAGAATTGGTTGTAAAATAAGCATATATTTATTGTGGTTATTACATAGCTATTTATTATTAAAAACATCATAAATCACGTATATGATAATTCATTTGTTTAGTTTTTTTATTTTAGGCAGGCAAACTAAAACCCTGAGTTTTTATTTGTAATTTTTTACAATAAAAAAAAAAAAAAAAAAAAAAAAAAAAAAAAAAAACTACGGTATATAAATCCTATTGTTCTTCTCTTATCTTTCCCCTCCTCCCCCATTTTTTTTCTTTTTTATTGTTATTGTTACATTTTCTCATATATTTATTTATTTTAAAACTTTTATAGAAATTTAATAATGACTGTATTTGATGCTAAATCTGAACTTGCTGCTCAAGGCTTAAGAAGTACTATTTTAAAGCGCTTAGCAGATTTAAAAGTTGATATTGAACCCGGAGAGGAAATTATTTTAAAGGAAAATAATCGTCGTTTTTGTCTTTTCCCTATCAAATACCATGAAATTTGGGAATTTTATAAAAAGGCCGAGGCATCCTTTTGGACAGCTGAAGAAATTGATTTATCAAAGGATTTGGTTGATTGGGAAGAAGTTCTCAATAAGGATGAACGTTACTTTATTGGTCGTGTCTTGGCTTTCTTTGCCTCTGCTGATGGTATTGTCAACGAAAACTTGGTTGCTAATTTCTGTGATGAAGTTAAGATTGCCGAAGCCAAGTGTTTCTATGGTTTCCAGATTATGATGGAAAATATTCATAATGAAATGTACTCCCTTTTGATTGATACTTATATCAAAGATCCTACTGAAAAGGAATTCCACTTTAATGCTATCGAAACTATTCCTTCTATCAAGAAGAAGGCAGATTGGGCATTTAAATGGATCTCAAATGAATCCAACCAACCTTTTGCTGTTCGTATCTGTGCTTTTGCCATTATTGAAGGCGTTTTCTTCTCTGGTTCCTTTGCTTCTATTTTCTGGCTTAAGAAGCGTGGTCTCATGCCTGGTTTGACTCTTTCTAACGAATTCATTACTCGTGATGAAGGTCTTCATGCTGACTTTGGTTGTCTTCTCTTCCATCATATAATAAATCAGCCCTCTCATGAGACAATTCTCCAGATTTTGACAGAAGCTGTTGATATTGAACAAGAATTTTTCCGTGATGCCTTACCTGTCCGATTAATTGGTATGAATGATCAACTTATGAATCAATATGTAGAGTTTGTTGCTGATCGTCTCTTGGTATCTCTTGGTTTCCCCAAGCATTATAATGTCTCTAACCCATTTGACTTTATGGACTTGATTTCTCTTCAGGGTAAGACTAACTTCTTTGAAAAGCGTGTTTCTGATTATCAACGCGCTGGTGTTATGAATCAAAAAGAAGAACGTAGTTTCACTTTGGATGCTGATTTTTAAAACAAAAACATATATATATATATTTATATAAAACCAAACATTTTTATTTTATCCTTTCATTATTATTATTATTATAATTAGTAGCATATATTGATTTCCTTTTTTTTTTAAAAAAAAAAAAAAAAAAAAAAAAAAAAAAAAAAGGGAAAAGAAAGAAAGACAAAAGAGACTTATGTATATACTAGCATGTAGTTTTCTTTTTTTTTTTTTTTCTCTTCAATAAAGTTTAGTAAGATTTAGAAATTATTACGTGGAGTTTGAAAATTAAATTAAAAACAAAAGGTCGCGTCGCGTTATCAATTACATTGTATTACTTCACATGGGTTGTTATAAATTACATCACTTGTAGATGATAATATTATTTCAGAATGTGATAAGCTACAACTGTTTAGTATAGCAGACTTTATAACATAGTCAATAAGTTACTATAGAAGTAATAATATTTCTACTTAACAAATAGAGGAGAACTTACAAGTATGTTTAATTAAATATATAAGTAAGAAAAAAGAAACATTTATTTCATTTAAAGTAAGAGTGTCTGTATATGATGTTCTTTAATATTATTATTCTGATAAGATAAAAGAGAATGAATTGTAATAAAACCATTTTAATATCATACACGAAAAAAAAAAAGATCTAAATTTGATAAATTATTCCCCTAATACAAATGAATGCAAGCAAGTACTAATAGTAACTTATCTAATCATTTGGAGACGTAAATAAATGTTTTTATAGAAATTAACCATGTAGTAAATTATTCTTATACACGGCCTGTTGAATATCCCGTTAAAGCTATATAGGATTTTGTGGACAACTGTCTTATTAACCTTATTTCTGTGTTACATTGAATTAAATTACACTTATTTTAATGTACAACTATTTAAAGAAGATTATAATAGGTATTTATTGAAAGTCATAATAGTTGGTTATATACTATAGAATTAACATTACTTGGACTGCTTTCTTGTCATAATAACTATCTAATTGAATAGATTGACATTTATAGGTTTATTTTTTTTTTGTCTTATTCTCAAAACATAACTAGATTCATACGTCAAACATCACAACAATAATAACTTTTGTAAAGTATTAGTTCGCAAACAGGCATTTGATATGCTAAAAAAAGGAGTTTAGTGGAGTGTGCTTTACACTTTGATTTGAGCAAATCACAAGTGACACAACAGATCAAAAAACAAATTGAATAAGATATGTCTGTAAGTAGTATTTTCTCGAAACAATATCATGTTGTGGCAGAGTATTTTTTTTCAGGATGTAATTGAAGAGGGTACTCATATTCGTTTTAATAGTTGTTCAATTAGCTTAATTATGAAGCCAGATAGAAAGCAGTTATATTCGAAATTTTGTCCCTTAAATAATATTGACAAAACATTTTGCTGCTTATGTTTGAATGGTATTCTAAATCTCACAAATGATAATAAAACTGGTTAGAAACAACTCTTAACTGAATGACAATGGTTTTACGTGAAGAAAAAAAAATCTCCAAGTTTACAAAAGCGATGCATCTAGCCAAAGTTAGTTGTGGTACCGAAGATGTTATCAAAAAAAAAAAAAAAAAAAAAAAAGAATAATGTTTTTAGTATAAACTTGTTATTAACTAGTCAAGTAATTAAAATTATCTAATTGTTTTTATTTTTTTTTAGAAGATTAAGAAAAGAAATACTGAAGAAGTGTATTATATAGCTTTAACCTTGTGTCATTTATCACGGATTTGAACTCTTATGTCTTTTCGAAAATACTGATGTGTCACTTTAATTATATCTATTTTATTTATTTTAGAATCACCAGAAAGTATTCATAAAATATTTGGTAGTAATGAGCCACTTAATGCTCCCACATATGGATGCAGTAATAGTCCTTCCTAAATACATGAAACAATCCTCTTTCCAACGGTTACAAGCCTAAAGACCGCTTTTCCAGGGAATCTCTTAGCAAGCCCTTCGAAATCAGGCTCACGACTGTACACCTAAATCGAATAAGATATATTCATTTTATATTTGAATGATGGTACGCATGTTTTATCAACATATAGCCAAACCATATGTTCTAATAAAAAAAACAAGAAACAGGAAATGAAAATTTAATAATTAAATACCATCAACTAATAAGAAACAAAAAGCACAACAAATGAAAGTTTTTAAAAGAAATAGACTATCGAATAGAAACCTTAATTGTAATTATTCGAGTGACAATGGCATATACTAATGTTTCCAACTTATTTTTCAATGATCCTATATTATTTACACACCTAAGAATTGAGCCCCCGGACGTGAATAGTGTCTTCATTATTTGGTTGAATATAAATATAATTGGAAAGCATGTAAGCTCTGTAGGTCACATTTGACGTCCAAGATGCCATAAAAATTCGTTTAACCATGCTCGATAAGTTTGAGTTTTGTTTATGGAATAAAATCTCTTTAAAGTGTATGCTGTACTTCATTCTATCCTATATTTTTTTTAAAAAGAAAAAAGGTGTACATCACCTACATATATATGCATTTCCTTTTTTATTAGGTCTTAACCCCATTGAACAATTTTGGTCTAACTTTAAAGTACAAAGTCAAGTAAAGTAAGTTTAAAGACATGGAAGCGCCCAGCTCAAGAATCATTGAAGTTAGTAAGGCGATACCATTCGAGCTTCTTTGTAGCTTCTTAAATCAGCTGGATAACTGCTTAAAGAAATGTCGTATATTGGATATATAAATATGTATTTTTTTTGTGTCTCTACTACACATGACCAAGTTAAATTATTTCTTGATCATCAATTTGTTATATAAAAAAAAAGTAAGCAATAAAGTTCCCTTAAAAGTCCGACTAATGTTTTCGGAATATTGTCTAATTGACAGTGGGGCCATTATAAAGCAGCAATAGTGGTGCCAAATCCATACCACTGCTTTTATAATAATAACCTAATAACAGTTAAAACTTATTTGTTAAATATTGCTTTATTATTTATGAAAATTATCTATTAACTTTTATTTCATGTAGATTGATTTGACTCGAAAGCAATCGATAGATTATTATTGTTGCTACCTCCTTCATATTTTATTACGTAATATATAAATAAGATTTATATCGATGTCACCAGCATTTCATATAAGTATTTAGAGATCATCAAATACAAGAAACTCGTACTATAATTTATATAACTCACTATGAAGAAGGGTAATATTGAAAACAAATATTATTAATAATGATGTTATATGCCAACAGTATTAAGTTCTGTGATTGAAACAAATAAAACGAAAGAACCTTCTTCGAAATACATAAAAATAAAAATATAAAACATTCAGTCACTTCTAATTCTTTCCCTTTTTTGCCCTTATTTTTTCATAGAACATAGTGTAAACATAATCGTCCGATTAAACAGTTGATTTTTAATTTATTAAAGTAAAACCTGGATGAGATCAAATTCCCTTCCTCTCTCTTTGTGTATGTGTGTGTGTAGGCGTATGCATATATATTATATTTTGAATGTTTTTTTGCGGGGATAGAGGTTTAGTGATTCTTAATCATACTTTTACTGCTAAAATAACAACGTGTATTGTGTTATTGTTTTTAAAATAACTCTTTTGATAGCAAATATCTTATGCATTTAGTATATTTTTGTATGTCATATATGTATATACATACACACACATATGTATATATATATATATATGTATATGTATGTATGTATATATATCTATATGAAATTAAAATATTTTGCCTATCAGTCCTTCGCATATATATACTAAATATGATTTAACTTTATGAATTTCAACCTTTTTTTTTAGAAAAAACCCTTAAAATAGATAAAAGGTTTTAGAAACAGATCCCCTCTTTCAAGTCAAAAGGAATTATATTGAATACAAATTATACTACTACGGAATACAGTATGGAATGTTATAAAATAAATAGCCATATTTCTCTATCTTTTTTTTATTATTATCATTATTTTGAAAGACAAATACTACTGAAATGCATACTATTATATTATATAACGGAAATAATATGAATATAAATATTAAACAATTAATATTAAAAGGGCATCAGAACTGCTACACCTATTGGTTGCTATGGAAACCATTTCAAAATTCAGGTGGTATGATTATGAATTTAAAACTCCAAAAAAAATTTACTTAGTTTTTTTTTCTACCTCCTATCCAATTTTGCGGACTCTCGGTTTTTTGGGATACAAAAAAATAGTATATAAAGAACTTAATTTGACCAAATAACGAGGAAAAAAAAAGTTATCCATCTAATTATTCATTAAACAAATAATCAAATAGTTACATAATGACCGTTTTCGATGCCCAATCTGAACTTGCTGCTCACAACTTGAGAGCCAGTATTCAAACTCGTATGGCGGAAATGAAGGCTTCTATGGACTTAAAGCCTGGAGAGGAACTTATTTTGAAGGAAAACTCAAGACGTTTCTGTCTTTTCCCCGTTAAATTCCATGAGGTAATGTATTAAAAAGTGTAGTGTTGTTATATGAGAGAGAAACGCACACATACACACATGCAAAGAAAAGATATATGTAAAAGAGTTCATGTGTACAGAGGATCCTAATTTTTTTTTATTCGACAATATTAGATCTGGGAATTCTATAAGAAGGCTGAAGCTTCTTTCTGGACTGCAGAAGAAGTTGATTTATCTAAGGATTTGATTGACTGGGAAGAAAAGATGAATGCCGATGAACGATTCTTCATTTCTCGTGTTTTGGCTTTCTTCGCTACTTCTGATGGTATTGTTAACGAAAACTTGGTTCAAAACTTCTGTGATGAAGTCAAGATTGCAGAAGCCAAGTGTTTCTATGGTTTCCAGATTATGATCGAGAATATTCACTCTGAAATGTATTCTCTTTTGATTGATACATATATCAAAGATCCTGAGGAAAAGGAATATCTTTTCAATGCTATTGAAACCATCCCTGTCATTAAGAAGAAGGCTGAATGGGTCTTCAAGTGGATTGCTAATGAATCTAATCAACCTTTCGGTACTCGTCTTGTTGCCTTTGCTGCTGTTGAAGGTATCTTCTTCTCTGGTTCCTTTGCTTCTATTTTCTGGCTTAAGAAGCGTGGTCTCATGCCTGGTTTGACTCTTTCTAACGAATTCATTACTCGTGATGAAGGTCTTCATGCTGATTTCGGTTGTCTTCTTGTTCATCACTTAACTAACCCTCCTTCTCAGGAAACTATTACTCAAATTATTACTGAAGCTGTCGAAATTGAAGAATCTTTCTTCAGAGACTCTCTTCCTACTAGATTGATTGGTATGAATGATGATTTAATGGTTCAATATGTTCAATTTGTTGCTGATCGTCTCTTGTTATCCCTTGGTTGTCCCAAGCATTATAATGTCTCTAACCCATTTGACTTTATGGACTTGATTTCTCTTCAGGGTAAGACTAACTTCTTTGAAAAGCGTGTTTCTGATTATCAACGTGGTGGTATTATGGCTAAGAAAGAAGAACGTAGCTTCTCTTTGGATGCTGATTTCTAAACCATTTCAACAAAAACACACATATACATACATATCTTCATATCAAATACTTGCACATATACATTTTTTTTATATTTCTCCGTTTTTTGCATTTATAATTTCCGCCTGCATTATTAAATAATCAACATAGAGCATTTTTCTTTACTATCATAATCATTTAAAATAAAATAGAAATAAATCGATAAACCATCTTTAATTATATCATTCAATTCAAAATAATGTCTATGATAAAAGACACTACTCATAACAGATTGCTTATAAAATATTCTACACAAAAAAAAAAAGACTTTCTTTAATGAAAAACTCTATATCCGGTATTTTTCTAATCGGTTTGTACATCCTGATCTTTTTTTATATATAAGGTAGCTTAAATTATCGCTTCAGGGGGCAAGTATATGTTATAAAACTAAATACAATGCTTGATCCATCTTTGATGGTCAGTAATTGTTATTTTCTTAAAATATTTTACAATTTGATCATTTAAAATATAGACTTTAATTAAACAATCTCTTCTAATTTCAGTTTTAATTCTGGCCTAAAATAATTTATCTGGACTAATTTAGAAATAACATATAGGGAGAAAGATAAGCAATCATATAGCATTGATCTTCAACCGTCTTTTGAATATCAGGACATTTATAGATGGCGTTATTATCCATAACTAGATGTTACTAAATAGTCATTCCATAAGTATCTAAAGTATCTATGACGCTGGTTAAAAACTAAAGAGAATATTAACCTTGTGTATTAACTTGAGCGTTTACTTTAATAGGTATTTCACTACCGTTTTCTCTCTCTTTTTTTTTCCTTCTTTCATCTTTTAAACTTACTTTAGATTATACAAGATTAAATTAATACTTTCTTTTCCGTAAATAACACCTGATAATTATTATAGTAGTGCCTTTCCTTGAAGAAATAAATACCTTATCACGCATTCCTATCTTTGGTCTATCAAAGTTTCATCGGCTATACATATAAAATACAGTCTCATTAACATAAATACAAGATTCAAATTAGTCCATCTGTTGGTCTGCTTCCCATGTAAATACTACTTTCCTACAAATCTGCAAAATCTTTTCGAATGTTTCAGCACCAAGAATCCTATCTTATTTCTTAAGACTAAATAAAAGACGATCAATAAAATGCTTGTGTCGTCCTAATAGAGTAATTGAAATCAAATCAGAAAAGACGGGAAATGATGAATATCTTACTCAGTAACTTAATCGTAGTGAGTAATATTGAGTATAAAGAAGCAGACATTTCATAGTCTATCCTTGTTAAGGCAGTAATATGTTTAGGATTAAAACAAGGCATCCATCTATTGCTAACTATTATTGCTAAGGACTAAACTATTCAGTATAGTAATAGCCCACTTTAAGACCTTTTTTTTTTCTTTAAATATATGCTGCCAAATTTGAAAAATACCAATAATCAGACCTAATTTTACTATCTTCTCTAAAAATATGGATGGAATACTGTAAAGAAGGGTTCGCTATTTGTTATAAGCTCTCCCCTTTCCGAATACTCATTACCATATTGCCATAAAGTGAATGAACATTTGACATTACTTAGAGTTAGTCAAATTTGATTTTGGAATATTTCAAGTAATAAGGACTTAAAATTTACTATGTTCATACCTACTTTACCATGGTTATATCTGTGATGGAAGGTAAATAAAAGATAAAAGACAAAATAAAAAGAGAGAAAGGGAACAAAAGGAAGTATAGTTTGAGACTGTTTTTTATTCAATAAATAAAGTTAAAAGAAAAGCTAAAGAAAGAAGTTCAAGATTATTTTGTGTCTAAACAACTGCTTGTATTTATATTAATGAATCCTGAATCAAAGAAATAAAAATAACCGCCAAAGAACATGAGTCATGAAACAGTATTAGTATTCGGATATACGTCTTGTTGATTCAAGAGACTGATCTATGGATTATCTATTGGGTGTTATAATGATCTGATCAAGTTTTAAATAAAAAATTTATTGTTTAATCTGAGTATATGTTCCTGATATCTTTTATGTTTTATTTTATTGGATCAAAGACGACCTGAATCCTTTATCAAGGTTATAAAAATAAATATTTAGAAATGATACGATGTCTTATACTTGATACATCTAGACAATTGGATGTCAATAAGTTTTATATTATTTACAAGATGTTATATACAGAGTTTTATTTCATATTCAGGCTTATATTTTATCCTGTATTATGTAATTCATCTATTATAATATTACTCATGATTATATCCAGAGCTTGTTCTATAACAATATCTATCGACTCTATTATAACAACATACACAATTAATTCAAATAGTATTATCAAGACAAAAATAATCAACAATATTCAACAAAGTAATACCTTGTTGATAAGATAAAGATAACAAAAGAATAAGACAGAATAAATCTGTGAAAACTTTATAAAATGAAGAAGTTGAATAAGAATAAATTTAATTGAATTTCTCAAAAAAATGAGTGCAAAATGGATCTTGTGGAGAACAGGGTTACTTCGCGACAGAAACAGAATGAAGATATCTTGAAAGAAGAATATTTTCCCATAAAATAATTAAAGTTATTGTGTTTGAACTCTAGTCTTTGCCCTGACTGAGAATTAATCTCAGTTAACTCTAATAAATATTAAATTATTGGTGCTTGATCTAGCCGGTCATTTTTCTTGAAACCAAATAATGAAATCTCATTTGTTCATACTTGTGAATGATATAGGAAAGATACTTTTGACATTTAGATTTATATTCTAACCAGCTTCTTTGTATTATATTCATTCCTCAATGTACTATTTGAATAAAAGTCATTATAGTGTATAGTGTATAGTGTATAGATAGTATATGATTGTATTTATAAATTAGTATTTTAGACAATATTATAATAATAATGCGTATATATAACTAATAGGTATAATCTATAATTCATATATCTTTATCAGTAATAACTCCTTACACTATGTTTTGCTTATCATTATTTCGTAAAGTTAGTATTTATTATAATATTATTTTTCTCATCGCAAGAATGTCTTATAAACTGAAATCAGATAATATTGTATGCATAAAGTGTACAACTACTAACTATAAAATCGTTCGGTCCTTTATGACTCTGATCTGTATATTATAAGATATTATGTAATACATCATTATATACACAACATACCTGTATATAAAGTTCCTATCAAGAGGATAATTATATCCAAGGAATATAGAAGGAAGAAGAACAGCCTGCCCATATCGAGCTAAACAACATTACTGTCAAAATAGATACGGAAAGTGTAAAATAGAAATATGTACAGGAAGATATAAGAATTCACAATGCTTAAAATAGATCTTCATTTGTATCTAATAACATAAAATCATTAATCTTTAAGAAACCCCGCAAAAGAAGCCTATAAATAATGATATATTTTCTAACCTTGCGTCTAAATGCTAAAATTTCTTGGGAACAAAAAAAAAAAAAAAAAAAAAAAAAAAAAAAAAAAAAAAAAAAAAAAAAAAAAAGAGAGAGAGAGAGAGAGAGAATACAAGCAAATTTATTTTCCCCTTTACTCTTCAAAGTTATATCCTGCAGACCAATTTTGGCTTTTAATTAAATCAAATGTTAGACGCTCTCAATTCAGTGATAAAGAAGATATACATTCCAGAATCACTAAATCATACGATAATATTCCTCATAACACTATTAAAACCTTTGTACAGTATTCTAATAATGTTTTCGTCTAGTGTTTGATGAATAAAGAGTTTTTCCTTTTTTTTTCTTTTTTTTTATAGTAGCTGTGATTGAGAGAATTTAACTACCGCAATATGAATTTAGGTCAGCGTAATTTTATACATTATTTTGGATGAATCTAAATAATACAAAAAATGACACGTGCATATATTTATAATTTATTATGACTATAATAATAATGTAACACGAACACGCTTCTTATAACTAAAGAGTTGAAACAAAATATGAGAAGGAAAAGGAAGAGCTTTTCTTTTTCCTTTTCTTTTTTCTTTTTCTTTTATCTTTTTTCTTTTACAACTTTAAACCTTTATTTCACCAGCGGCTGTATTCAATAATCTATTCTGTATTGATCGCTCGAAAAATTAGTTGAAACAAAGTACAAAAATCTATCATCTTTTCTTTTCTTACCCCTTAACAATGATTGAAAAAAAAAAAAAAAAAAAAAAAAAGTGCATAATGAAACAATCTGCAGAGAAATCTAGAGTTTTATTAATAGAAACCTGTTAGAACTATTTGCTACATTATTCTATATATTAATGGTAAAAGATCACATTATAGAAGCAACAAAGCTTAATTTTCAAATTTGATATCTGATTTGAATAATATTTAATTCTATTTATATATGGATTATTAGCTAATAATCCCGTGATTAATGAAAATTTATTCATCAAAAGTATATTATATGAGCAATAGAAAGATAAACTTTTGTTACTAATGACAGTCTGATAATAATTTATATACGAGGATGTAAACATCTTTTTTCTTTATTATATGTGGTGAAAAAAAAATATATATATATAAATATTTTATATTTACATTTGTTTATATAATAATACAAATAAAGGAATTTAAAAAAAAATATCAAAATAAGTGGTGGGAGGGGAAATAATACTAATAAATTATAAAAAAAATATTGAACATTTTTCTTGCTTAAAGATGGATATAGGCGGTTAAACTGTTGTAATTATCAGTTTCTGCTGAAGAGCTGGTATTATCTGTATCATCTGTATCATCTGTATCATCACAATCTTCATCGTCACCTTCATCTTCAGCAGGTTTATTTTCAAGAGGATAGACAAATTGTTCTTCCCAATAAGGACGAGAAACGCTATTACAAGCTAAAGCAGGGATAACATTAAAGACCTTTTGAATGGTAGGCATCCATTTCATAGTCATGCCAACAGTAGCGCTATTCAATTCATGTTCAAGAACGATATGACCGGTCTTATCTTTTCCTCTTCGTTCTTTACTAACCCATTTTTTAAAGTAGCCATCAACAGTGCTAGGAGGCAAGTGACCACCACCAGGGGCAGGCATAGCCCAATCATTGGTATCTCGATCCCACATAACGGTATGCAAACCCATTTGCCAGGCAATAGAACGAACACGATCATCAACATCACCTTGAGGAGGTCTCCAGCACTTGGGTGTAATTCCAGTAGCTTCCTTAATGGCCCTTAGAGTCCAATATAATTCAGCAACAACTTCTTCATTTGTCTTGGTTGTCATTGCAGGATGAGACCAGGTGTGAACACAGATATAATGACCATGATTTAAAGCACGCTTGGCAGCCGCGGGGTAAGTAACGACATTGGAACCGATATACTAAACAGACAAATCAGTATATACTTCTTCCTATATATATATATTCAAGTACTTACAAAGAGAGTAGCCTTTTGGTTATTATTTTCAGCTAAAAAGTTGTAAAGAGCAGGTTCAGCATAAGGGTTTTCCTTCCGTGCATATTTGCCAGTATAAAGATTGAATGGTCCATCATCATAACTCAAACCCCAATCTCCTTTACGAGGACATTTGTAGTAATCTTGAGGAATATTAATCTTGGGAGTAACACAATTAGTATCAGACCACCAACAATAAGGATCTGCAGGACCATCAGTGTTGGGTACAAAGTTACCATTTGCGTCTTGAATTCTAACAGGAGCTTTAGGGACAAGAGACCAATCGATTTTATCAATAGCAGCTTTGACTTCAGCACTCTTAGTGCTAGGTGTTTTCCATGTTGGAGGATAACCTTTCAAAGTATAAGTAGGTAATGTTTTACTTAAGTCATAAGGTCCATAATTGTAAGAAGTAACTACACCGGTTGCAGGAGGCAAATCTGGGAAAACTGGTGAGTGTTGAGGAATATAATCCTTAGTAGATGAAGCTTTTGAAGTAGTTTTTGATGGAGCGGCAAAAACGAATTGACTTCCACAAAGAAGCAAAACTGCACTAGCGATAGTAAACTTCATTTTTCTATATAAATTTATTAAATGTATATGTGAAAGGGGTAAAGTGAAGTACAAAGAAAAAGATTGACTGTTATTTGACCCCTTTTTATATAAATATTTTTTGGAAGAGGGAAAAAAAAAATGAATAAAATATCCGGAGTTTATTCTTTGAATGTATCTTGTTTCATATGACTTGGATTATAAAGATTATATAATTGCATTTGGTAAATGAGGGTTTACAAAGATCATTTCTAAAACTAAAGTTCTACAAGACTTGATAAGTTAAAATGTTGGTATAAATAGTAACTTCAGCTTTCTTATTTTGGGAAAATTATCCTTAATACGGTATGAACTCTCCATATATACAAAAATATAGAGGCACATAAAACAAACGATTTGTAAGAGCGTTTCATCATAACTTCACATCGTTCATACATATACATGCTTTATGACCTTTATTTTTCTTTTTCTTTTTTTTTTTAAACAAAAAGAAATATTTTTTTTTTTTTTTGGAATCAAGTACTAAAATTGAAACCGGATAAATAGTCGTTATTTGAATTTCTTTTTTACTATAAAACACAACAAAATGTTATAAAAATAACTACTAACACGTTTAGTTACCATTAACCGCGTTTCCTTGCTTTTCTAGACTTGTCAAATCTAGGAACATTTTATCCGTTTATGAAAAAATCTGAAAAATAGTCTGATCCCTTTCTTTAATTGTAATTTTCAATATCTTTAAAGAAACTATTAATACTTGATTAACACTCCTAAATGTTATTATTTTATTTAAAGACATATAGCATTAAAACCTTTTTTTTATATATATTGAATTAAGCTACTTGTTAAAATTAGAAAAAGGTACAGTTCAAATAAACAAGCTCAGTTTTGGTAATTACAGCAGTAACAAGAGCATTATGATCTACGATCAAGTTTTCTTTTTTATAATCAAATATTAACATTGAAATAGACGGTTTATACTTAAAAATAGTATATACTTATCTCGCCCTTTATTTTATTTTTTTTACCTCAATCTTTTTCTTTAATATTTTTTATAAAGTAATTAGTCAATGTCTTTAAAAATAGATTTTTTTAGCTATCAATATAGTAACCTTTATGTTTAACATTTTATGTCAAATAATAGAAAGGTTACAATTATTGATCTTATCTTGTAATGATCTATCACGCTTCAGAGTAATACTAATACTAATGGCTTACTTAATAGTTTAAAGGTATATTTAAGTTTAACAATAGTTACTTACTCTCTCGATTTTAAAGTAATAAGGATGTTTTATATTCATTTTGAAGTTGAAATATGAAGTTTCCCTGTTTCTATCAAAAGTTACGTTATACAAAGATAGCATAAAAAAAAAGGCTGTTTTCTATTTTTAGTTTCTATTTTAGGAAAAATTATCCCTAAACGTTATATTATATAAAGACAATAATGAAATTAAGAAATTGCTAATATACCAAAAAGCATAATGTCTATGTGCACACTTTATCGTCTCTTTAAATCTTATAAATCTTTTACAATTTCTTTTTTATCGTGTTAATCAATTAGTAAGCCGTAAAAAAAATATTTTGTAGCTTCCAGGTTTTTTTTTTTGCACATCATTAGTTCATTGGTCTAATTTTAGAAAAATGCACGAAAATCTCCAAACAAAAGTATATATTTTGAAACAGCAATAGGATTTATTTTTTAAAAAAAAATTACATAAATGTCTTTAAACACGCGCGCATATATACATATTTATTACTTTGTTTCTACTAAATATTGGCAAATAGTAATAAAAAAGTACAACACAGTAGCTATTAATAAATATCAAGTCTTTATTGTTATATTCTGATCTCACTCTTCTTTTTTTTTCCCTCCGCTAAATTTTAAAATGAAAAATTCTTTTAAAAATAGTTTTTTTTTTTTTTTTTTTTTTTTTTTTGAAGAAAACCCCTTTTACTGCTGAATTATTATTATTTGTCTGTTTGAGACACAGACACAGCAATAAGCGCTTTTAAGTAATAATGAAAATAATGAAATAGTTTAATTTTACAAATAGGATTAAAACTTCATAACTTAAGATTATATTTTCTTTTTTAATACACAGAATCTAAATAAATGAATTGAAGGTTTTTTTAAAAATAAAATAAATATTTGTATTAAATTACAAATATAGTCGCCTATATTCTTTTTATAATATTACTGTGCTTTATGTCGTTCTTTTTTTTAAAAAAACATTTTATGAATAATATATTAACAAATCAATACTTTTATATAATGGGCTATTATTAAATAAAGGATGTATTTTATGCATTATTTTGTTTAATTCTGTCATCAGTTTTTTTTTTCTTTTTAATTATTTATTTACCCGCTAAATAAATGTCATACTTCGTGCCTAAAATAAAAAAAGTATGCAATTAGAAAACATTCTAAGTGTTTATGTTTTTATATTTATAAAAAAACTGCATCCTATTATAGAAGGGCTATTTCTTGATTTCCTTTCATTACTCGCTTTTTTGTTTTTTGTTTTTTTTTATTTTTATTTTTATTTTTATTTTATTTTTTTTTTTTGTCGAATAGCATTGAAACAAAGCAAACTATCAAGTTTCAAAAGGAAAAGTATACTTCTCTAATCTATCATTCTATGACTCTAGCTGTCTTTATTTTCTGTTATAAGCGTATCTATGTAATTTATTAGATAATAATAACTTTTTACTCTGATTAAATCGTTTTTTAAGAATAGAGTAAAATACGTTAAATACGCCTTTGTCATTTAACTGCTACTTTTTTATTTCTGCTTTCTTTAATTACCATATTTATTTAATTCTGGTTTTCATTATGCTTTATTTTTTTGTTTGTTTGTTTGTTTGTTTGTTTGATTTTTACCAAACATAACTTCTATTGCCCTCTGCTTCTATTTTTCTATTTCTTCTTATAAATTTCCATTTGATATTACCACAACGGTAAAGTGTTTGTTGATCCTTTACTATATATGTTACAGTGAAGTGTAAACTCTGAGTTAAAAATCAGTTCTGTTATTCCATTTTCATGAATCTTTCCTTTTACACAAAAATTTCAAATGATATAGAGAGCTTCTTACCTGTGTATATAACAAGAGTTGTTTCATTCTATGCTATTCAAGTGGGTGTTGCGGTTGCATAATTATCATCAACACTTTTATTGATAGCATAGTATGAGCTAAAAAAAAAATAATAGTTGAGGCTCGAGCATGTACATGCTGCCGTTTTTTTTTTTTTTATCTTATCTTAACATGATATAAATCTGACTGCTATACCATAGTTTTTCAGAGTAAATAGTAGTATCATCGTTTGTATTCTGTATATTACTCACCGTCAGATACTTTATGAATGCACCAGTTAGAATAAACACAAAAACAAATTCAATTCTCTGCACCTATTGACGTTTTACAAACTCCTCTTCTGTTGATAAATATCTAAAAATAGTATTTCTGATGACGATCAAAAAATTGAAATTTTGTCATTTGGAAAGGACATACTAACTCTCGTTTACAGTATTTTTCGAAAGTATTCGCGTACTTTATAAAAATTATTTCACGCACTAACCAAATAAAAATTAATGCATTGACAAATCATTATTTGAACAGTCTTCAAATCTTGACAATGAATGCCTGCAAAATCCTTGGAGGTCGCTTACGAGCACACTGTTGTAAGCTTCTCTGATATTCTCAAACAACGTTTCTTCTTCAAGTAGTATTTCCCTCTTGACTTTACTCTTGAAAACAGACCAAAACTGTTCAATTAGATTTAGTTTAGGTGAGTAAGGAGAGGGGGGGAGAGAGAGAGAGATAAACACAACCGTAACCATGAGCTTCAGTATACTTTCGAATGTCAACGTGTTTATGAATAGAAAAGTTGTCCATTACCAGTGAATGTCCCTTAAACTCTTTGAATTTGTGTTCATAATTTCTATCGTGCTAGCGATAAAAATTGAAGTAATTGCTAGTTACCGTACCCACCTTTTCCTGTCTCTGGCTTCTTGACAACCCCTCTTAAAGCCTTTCTTTTTTTTCGATGGTGATGTAGCCTTTTGGAACCTTTAACTGTACGTTTATTACACTAGAGACTGACATGGCTGCCATGATAGTATGTGATTTTGCCTTTGTAATATTGAACGCATTTCAAATTTATTTTTCTTTTTTCTTTACACGTAAAGATAGAAACCAGTAACATGGACAAAAGTGTATTAATACTTTATTTAAATCTTTCATCATTGGTAATAAAGAAGTGTATATTTGATTCATAATGAATTTAGTAATCCATAAACATTTTTTCCATGTATATACATATACATTAATAAGGAAGAAGTTATCTATCCAGCTATACACTACACATCTTTATTATTATTATTATTATGTTGAGTACATATTCAAGAAATACATTAAAGAAAATTCACACTTTTAAATAATATTTAGGAAATAATAGATTTTATTACAATTATACAGTTTATAAGCAATAATATATATTGTATATATATCAAAGAGAGCTAAAAAGTAAAAGCTAGTTAGTAAGAACATTATTTTATAAAAAAATAAAATAAAAAGTCAATAAAAAGCCAATTGAACATTCAGGTCTAAAATATGGGGTGGAGGGTCTAAAATATAACATTATGGAGAGATAATACTAGAATGACGATTGTTGAGACCAAGTTGCTGAAGAGATTCATTTGTTGCACCCAGCCCGGTGGGGATATAGAGACGCCTACCCTCTACCTATTACCCATCAGTAAAGGGTAGAATGATATACTAGTTGCCCACCTTTACATCTACCTGTCAATGTGTCCCGCATATATAGAGATATATTTATATGTCTATCGTCATCATTATGTTCAAGTCTATGGTTTTTAAAGAAGAAGAAGAAAGAGAATAAGATAAGAGAATAAATAGAGAAGAAGAAAGATAATAAGAGAATAAATAACAAGAATAATAATAATAACAAGAAAAGAGAATAAATAGAGAAGAAGAAGGATAATAGGGAAGAAAGAGGAATTTTGTTTGAAAAATAAGGCGTGTTTATATCTTTTTTTTTTTCCTTTTTTTTTGAGGCTTGAAGTCAGATGTGACAATAATACACTTGACATTGAGAAACATACTGTACACCATGAAATCTGAATTGTATACTTTAGCCTCATTGCTTTTCAATTCACCTTTGGCCCTATATAAACATTTAAAAAAAACCGTCAGCTATCCATTCATAACCATCTTAGATATCTATACTACTATATTACCATTGGATTGGGAAACGACTATTAGAATTAAAAACGGAATGTAACACCGGTGATAATTAGTGGTGCGCACAGGAATCTTCTACTAAACAATTGGGCAATCCAAGTAAAGATATTAACGATCATATTAGTAACATCTCGAAATATCAGACCAGATCAGACTAGATCAGTGTTAAACTTTTGTTGATGTTTACATCTGGGTTAGAACATGAGCTGTATGAATATCCAGTAAGTTGTTGTTTGCTGTAGCCTCAGACAAGAATTTTGCGCTCAATGATGGTGATGAGAGCCAATCAACAGGAGGAGTATTCAGGGGAAAAAATACATAACTTGTTACAGAGTCATTTTAAAAAAACAAATCCTTTTTATGATAATGACATCTTGCCTCAGACGCATCTATATACCAAAGAAGTCCTTTATTGCATCTTTCTGAACGATATTACCATGATTGTAGTCGTCTTTACAACTAAGTTAATTGAAATAGGCCATCATTTATTAAATGGTAAAGAGGTTATTCAAATAAAACTCGTGTATTGTACTTCATAGCATAATATTCATTCTATATTCGGTTTTAATAACATCCATTGTTTAGTTATAGTCTCTTTCTTCTTTAAACAACCTAATGCCTTTATTGAGTGTTAAAATTAGTTTAATAACGTTGAATAAAGCATTAAAAGATGATACAACCAGCGACATTAAAGATTTGTTTATGCAAAAAACGAATTTCGAGAATTTTTGAGAAGCAAAAGCTTCAGGGTTCTTTTCCATAGAGATGTGACGCTCAAAAAAAAAAATGAAATAGGGTGCCTTATCTATCTCTGACAATCTATTAGAGTAACTTGGGAACAAGTTTTTACAATTTGAGGTGTTAATGTGTCGCTACCATTGAAGAGTCACCTTTTAACACCATACTTTACTTTTGATCATAACTCCTCGATAGGAGTAAGAAAAGGATGGATAGGGAAGATAATATGTCATGAGTTGACTTATAATGTCATATTCCTTGATTTAACAAGTGGATCAAGGAATTCATTATCTATAACATATCTTAGTATTTAAAAAGGGGAAAAGATTACTGTGAATGCAAGTCAAAGATACTTAAACTGGTTTTCATAGCATACATCAAAGAATCTAAAATCGTTAATCTTTACAACATCATTTTGGCAAACGATGTATGTGAGTAAAAGAATAATTTTAAGCACAACATAAGGGAGACTAAATGAGATGCATATTAGTTGCCTAAATAGGAAAAAAGAAAGTTTATGAGAATATAAACAAAAATGTGAAAACAAAAGACATTTATTTTACTTACTTTTCTCTCCTTTAACATAAACACATTTTATATAGTCATAAAGAAGATATAAAATTGACAACATTTTACTATTCTACACATTGGTACTTTTTATAAGAAAGGAAGAAAATTAAATAATGTAACTGTGTGTATGTGTGTGTATTAAATGTGGGGTAACACATATTCTTATCGATTTCATATGATTGTGACTGTAATTTACAATAACGACCTCCTTATTCTTATAAAAAAGAGATATTCAAAGTTATTATTTTTTCCCTTTTTTTCGTCTTCTTTATCTTCTTTATTATTACTATTTCTTCTGTTGGTAAGTCATTAAATAATACTATTTTATTCTTCTTCTTCTTCCCTGCCCTAGGAGGAAATTCTTTTTCTCATGGTTATCACTTATGTAACGCCTTCTGAATCAACAAGACACCCTATCTTGCCCTCCTTGAATTAGGAGGACACTGTAGGGTATCTTGTTGTTTCAGAGGGCGTTACATATTGTGCTAGCCATGGGTTTTTTCTAACCTCCTAGTAAAAATAAAAAATACAAGAACAAAGAAGGTGCAAAGAATCCTAGCCTCCACGCGGCCACCTTTGGACTGCAGTAAATATTATTATTTTTACTGTTGACGAATTGGGGATTCACTTTTTATATGAAATAAAAATGAAAATAAAATACAATAAATATATCTTTTCTTACGCGTCTTTTAATAATCTTGTGCCTTCTTTAACTATTGTTTGTATTATAAAATATCTTTTTGCTCAAAGTTGACTTTGAGAAGTATAAAAATCTATTCAAGATACGCGTCATTTGGTTTATTACTAATGCACGTATAAGAATTAAATAAACAGTTTGTTAATTCTAATCAAAATATATGACTTAAATAGCTCGCTAAAATAATATTTTATCAACTGTTAATTTGAATACACCGTTCTAAAATGCAAATAGTAAAAAAGGAGAATTACATTTTTTTAGTAAAATCATCATTGTTATAAGCAAAACAGTAGTCCACGTGAGAAAGTAACAAATCGGAGAAGATACAGAAAAAAGTAAGTGCCTTTTTATATAAATATATATACTTGACGCATATAAAACTGTGCTCTTTTTTTTTGCCAAGTTAATTCTTATGAACTTAATATTGGATTATATCAATATTATTTTACATAATTCTTCATTATTGAATCATTTTTCATCTTTTTATAAATATAAAAATTCATTTTATTCAAACAAACAAGAAAAGATTTATCACAGTGATAATAAAAAAAAATGAATATCGCAACAGCAAATATTACGCCTGCATATACCACAACACAATTATTGTTATCTAATAGCAAACCATATATACTATCTCAGAGAATTATTATCGATCTTACCTCAATTGTACTTCAATCGAAAAAAGACACAACAAATACTCTATTAACATTAAATAATATAATGATCAATAGTAGTAAGAATGATTATTATGACTCTTCTTTTCTTCAAAATGAAAAAACATATAGCCTGACAGCAACAGCGGCACATCAGCCTAAACGCCCTAGTTGGACATACTCCTATATTTATTTACGAGGATCAAGAACTAACTGTGATAATCTAAGAATGCTTGTTACAGAACAAAATATGATTCGTGCATCCAAAATTACGAGAGTACTTAAACCAAGAAGCGTATATTTACCTAAGCGTAAAGATAAATTTATTTGGGGGAAACTAAGTCATTTAAGACAAATTGTATAATAAAAAATATTTTCTGCTGCAAAATGTATACACATTAAAAAAAAAGGACTTTATTGAGATTAAACCAAACTTTACTTCTAAATGTTCTCAAATTGTTTTTTTATTATTAGATATTTCATAAAATGACGCTATATTGAGAAAGACTGAATCAGTCATTTTAACATATCCGTTAAAACAGGCACAATATAAAATGAAACAACAGCCATTAAAAGGCAGTATTTGTACCACGAAAACAGAGTTATTAACTAGAGAAGGTTTATATAAAAGTAAGTTACCACTATTGTAAGAAAGAGTAAGCATAACTTACATGTAAGCTCCCTCCCCCTCCCCATTCTATATATTGTAATGATAACATTTTTTTTCTGGGATATTATCATAAGCCTCTAAAAGAAGTCAGTCAGTCAGTCAGTCAGTCAGTCCCTAAAAAAAGAGGATTGTATCTCTGTTACAAAAAATAACATTGAGGGAGGAGAGCTCATTAGCTATTTTAGATACTCGGTTACAATGCATATTTGCAGTAAACCATTATATGTTATATTTAATGACAAAAGCTGACGTCTCTATTGATATGTGTTTACATATGTACATAGAACTTGGATCCTTAAAGATAATAATAAAACTGATGTTTAATAGTGCATGTAGAGGAGATCTTTATTGGTCAAGCTGCACCTTCAATCTACAGGGGCGTCAAAAAAAAATGCGAGAAACAATTCCTCATCATTGCATTGTAAAATAGCTTACTTTTTTTTTTTTTTTTTTTTTTTTTTTCGTCAGAAGCAAAAAGATAGTTAACAGGTAAGATGTCTTCACATAAATCTTACAGGGTCCGAAAATTAATTTCGTTGTGTCTTCAAGCTTTTTTCCATTTTGTCCAATAACGGTAAGCATTGCATCAGAAATTTAACTTTAATTCGCCCAGTTAAAAAAAAAAAAAAAAAAAAAAAAAAAAAAAAAAAACTAATATGAAAAAAACAAAACATAGTAAATTTTCGCCGCTTTTTATGCTATTTCGTTCTTTATTAGTAGCAAGAAGAAGATTAAATTTCAAAACATTAAATTTTGTTATTGAAGAAAATCATAAACAGACTTTATTAAAACAGACTATTTTAAAAAAAAGAATAATGTCAACTAAATCAGAAGATGAATGGAGAGCTATTTTAACACCCGAGCAGTTTCGAGTACTTCGTCAAAAAGGTATACGAACATTATGTTCCTTTTGAAAATGAATACTAATAATAACTTAAGGAACCGAGCGTCCCGGAAGTGGTGAATATAACAAATTTAATAAAAAAGGTAAAGAACATGAAGAATCTACCTATATCTAATTCGTTATAAAGGTGTTTATCATTGTGCTGGTTGTAATGCGCCTCTTTATGTTTCTGATACAAAATTTGATAGTGGCTGTGGATGGCCTGCATGTAAGTGGAATATTTTGTTTTATAGTAATGAATATTAACTTTTACTTTTTGTTCTTAGTTTTTGATGGTATTCCTGGTATAGTACACATTATATGCATTATTATTACGTAATTAAAATTTATGTTTTTTTTTTCTAGGCGCCATTGTTAGATACGAAGATAATTCACATGGAATGCAACGTACCGAAATATGTTGTGCCAAATGTGGTGGTCACTTAGGTCATATATTCAAAGGTGAAGGGTTTAATACGCCTACTAATGAAAGACACTGTGTTAACAGTATCAGTCTTCGATTTCATGAATAAATAATCACATAAACTGTGGCTTGTTTATTTTCATAAAACTATCCAATTATATTGCTGATTCAAAAAAATGATTTATAAATAAAATTTTTTTCAGTTTGCTATGAATCCTTCTTCCATTTAGCAAATTTAACTTAGTCACCGCTGGTATGATCTAATTGTTTAACTAAAAATTTAGTAAACTTACTAAAGTTTTACTGTTTTGTTTTTATAGAGAATTCGCTAAGAATGTCCTACGTCGTAAGTCAATAAAATCAAATTTATGGCAATTTCAAATTTATTAAAAAAATTTCATATTTTCTCTAGGCTAAGAACACTACTGAAAAGCCTGGTCTTGAGGAACAAGAACAACCCAAGTAAGTATTCTTTTTTTTGAAATTAATAATATAATTGCATTGTGGAATAAATAACTCATGCCCTTTTTTTTTGTAAAGGATTCACCGTATCCGTATTACCTTGACTTCTCGCAACGTCAAGAACTTGGAAAAGGGTAAATAATATAAGAACTAAATCACACTATAACAATAAGTGATATGTTGACATTTATTGTGTATTGCAGTTTCTTCTGATCTTATCCAACGTGCTAAAGATAAGCAACTCAAGGTTAAGGGACCTGTTCGTCTTCCTACCAAGGTTCTCCGTATTACTACTCGTAAGTCACCCTGTGGTAATGGTTCTGAGACCTTTGACCGTTTCGAGATGAGAATCCACAAGCGTTTGATTGATTTGCACTCTCCCTCTGAGATTGTTAAGCAAATCACTTCTATTTCCATTGAACCTGGAGTTGAAGTTGAGGTCACTATTGCTTAAATAAAAAGTAAAAAGTAAAAATAAAAATAAAAAAAAGTAGTAGGTCTCATGTGAGAAATCATAACGTTTTGAACGGAAAAGAGACCAGGCTTTTCTTTTTAAAAAAAAAAAAAAAATGCTTATATAAATTGTTTAATGTTTATATGCAGTAGTAATATTAGTAGTAGTAGTTAGTAGTAGTAGTAGTAGTAGTAGTAGTAGTAGTAGTAGTAGTAGTAGTAGTAGTAGTAGTAGTAGTAGTAGTAGTAGTTAGTAGTAATAGTAATAGTAGTAGTAGTATTAGTAGTAGTAGCTAGTAGTAGTAGTTAGTAATATTAGTAGTAGTAGTTAGTAGTAGTAGTAGTAGTAGTAATAGTAATAGTAGTAGTAGTAGTAGTAGCTAGTAGTAGTTAGTAATATTAGTAGTAGTAGTAGTTAGTAGTAGTAGTAGTAGTAGTAATAGTAATAGTAGTAGTAGTAGTAGTAGCTAGTAGTAGTTAGTAATATTAGTAGTAGTAGTAGTTAGTAGTAGTAGTAGTAGTAATAGTAATAGTAGTAGTAGTATTAGTAGTAGTAACTGTTGTTGTTGTTATGGTATAATACACTATTAAAGGGGGATGATAAATAATAGTTAATTAGAGCTAAATATAATAAACTATTGAAAAAGGGTGTATGCCTTATATATATACATATATGTACATGCCTGAAAGAAGTGATAATTATAGAGATATATATTCCTATAATACTTTGTGTATTAGAGATTAAATTATTATCTTATATAATAAAAAAAGACAAACTTTAGGTAATATTATCTAATATATGAAAGGTAATAATAGAGTATTCATTTAGTTATAATAATTGATACTATCATTATTATTAAAAGAAACAGACTTTACACTTAGATCTTGAATTAAGCATGATATTATATTAAATAAATATAAAAATAGAACGAGTAATAATAAATAAGCAATAGACAATCATCTGTATTGATTGAATGTCAAAGATATCGAGAAAGAAAGAAAATTGATAAGCTTCAATAAGTTAAAGTATTATGTAATGTATATAAGTAGCACGTTATATATTACAAATAGTAAGTAACATTCAATCATACTACCGAATAAAAACAAGCCTTTTGATATATATATATTTTATACATATTATTATTAATATTAGCTTAAGCAAGTTATAGAAAAATAAAAAGGTATGCTTGTGTATCTACTATGACATGTATAAAAGTATTCTCAATATGTTAAGGATATATTTGATCAATATCTACTGTATGTATTCATAATAATATACTCACAGATACTGTTTAAACATCTTGTATAGATCCTGTTCTCCTGAGACTAGTTTAAAAAAAAAAAAAAAAAAAAAAAAAATTAAAGAAAAGAAAGAAAAAAAGAACTATCTTTAATAGACATCTTGTATGGTAAACTCTATTTTGTGAATATTCTTTGCTCTATTTACACTGAATCTGAACAATAATAGAAAATGAAAAATAATAGTGATATTATTGAATTTTTAATGCTGTAGATTATAATCTAAATAATATCAAAGGTCTTTTAACACGACATTTAAAAAAAAAAAAAAAAAAAAAAAAAAAAAAAAAAAAAAAAAAAAAATACACTATAATTAAGAAATAAAATCTTGAGTGTTATAGAGAAAATAGTCAAGAATAATGTAAGGAAGATTAGTAAATTAGATACATTATCAGTGGATAGATAGTGATAAGTAAAGTATTTAAATAAATTGTTTAAATAAAATAAAAAGGAAAGAAGAATGGAGCAAAGAAGAGGCTTAATCCATAAATTGTGTATATTATATTATCATGGTTATAATAAATAGTTTAACACAAGTAATCAGTACTAAATTATTTATAATTATAAAATGGTGGCATTATTTTAGTAGAAAGTGTAAAGAGCATGATACAATAACATATTTGATCTACTTAAATACATACAATTTAGACTTATATATATATATGTATTATTATATTTTATATTTTATTAGTTATCATTTGTTCATTGTTAAGTTTACTAGTAAAAATGGACACAAAATTTATTAATTATAATTTTAACATGTAGATGATCATCTTCATTTACAAATGTGTTTATGCATGTAGCTTCAGTATACTTTTCTAAATATATATACTATACATATTTAAGCCCCAAAAATATCAATATGACTCACACTTTTAAGTCTTTATAAAAGCTTTAAAAGAAATTTAGTATTCAACTTAGAGAAGAAATTGCAGGGCAAAACAGCACTAATCTAGTACAAAAAATAAAAAAAAAGAGGGGGAGGAAGAAGAAAAGATGGTTGCTATTATTACATAATAAGATGAAGAGAACTACTACTACTACTATAATTATTATAATTATTATAGCAATAGAGTAGTAATAAATATTAGCAGAAGAGGAGAAAGGAATGCAACAGTCACAGTATATTGTGACTGCTGTGACTTGCTTTTGATGTGGATATGGCATCTGAATTACTTAAAATTAAAGTTTTCATGAAGCAGTATCATGACCGAGTGGTTAAGGTGGTAGACTTAAGATCTACTGCACGTAAGTGCGCGTGGGTTCAAACCCCACTGATACTAATATTTTTTGATCTTCACGTTGGTATTCTTTTTCTTTTTTTTTTTTTATTGTAATAATAATTTTGTATTTCACAGATCAGATGTATCATAATCAGAGATTATGCTTTACATGTACACTTTAATTTTGCTAGCTAATTGAATTAAGTTATAGACTATAATCATGGCAACAATGACTCACTATAAGGGTTTAATAATCTTAGAACATTCCTGTTTGTGGATAAGAACAGTTATATCATATTTTTTCTTTGTTATTCTTGAATATAAAGAATGCTAGCAGTCTATCAGTATAACTTGGACTACTCGACTTCGTTCTTGTAAGTCTATGGTAGTTGAAAATGTGTTCTTTTCATATATTTCGTCTGGATATTTATCTGTTGTAAATTACGTATTTATTCGTTGTTGTTATTTTTTACTATTTACGAAGAACAATTATTATCATAACTTTGCTCATTGGGCTTTATTCGAACAAGCAGACCTATGTCCAATCCCTTAAAATAAAAAGATAGGTATTATAGAAAAATGTTATGCTAAAAAAAGTCCTAATAGAGCTATATTTAAGGATTTATGCATCTTACATGGAACTGTCAGCAAAATTGTAGCAGCTTATAGTGGTATTATATGTAACATAAAAAAGCCATTCAAAGAAATCATCTAGGTAGATTAGTCATGATGTCTTTGTATATTAATCATTTTATAACTTCAATCGAAGCTCCTAAAAAGTTATATTGTTGGAGTTATGATATTTATGTTAAAACTATCCACAGATTTTTTAGATCTGTTGATTTAAAACTTAGATCAAAAAGTCTAAATTGCGATTAACAATGAATGTAACCAAAATTGTTTGAATTGAGCTAAAGAATATAAAGACTAGGGAGGTGAGGATTGAAAAAAAAAGGTTATTTCAGCAATGAAACCAAATTAAATAGGTTTGATTTAGATGGTAGCATTAGGACATATGTAAATAAAAGTATGCCCTTTCGAGATCATATTGTCAATTTTAACTATATTGGCAGTGGTAGAAGCTAGATTTTGTGGAGTAGTTTCATTCAACATGAACTCGGATTTGTTGCTAAAATTGGGTGAAGGAATGGTCTCCAATTTGTTCTACGAAATATCAAGTGTTAGTTTTATTGAGGCTCTCAAAGACTATAGCCTTAAAAAAGAAAATATCATTTTACAGTAGGATAATAATTCCAAGCATACATCCAAGTATGCAAAAGCTTAGTTAAGAAAAAAAGATTAACATTCATGGTTAGTCATTCTACTCACTAGACCTTAATTCAATTGAAAATCTTTGATTATATTTGGAATATAAGCTCACCAATTATGACATATCATCGAACAACATAGATAAGCTATAGCATTGAGTATTATATCTTTTGTACAATAAAGTAATAGTAGATTTAAGTATAGAATACATAGAAAATATAATTAAGCTTGTTGAAGTGACTATTCATACAAAAGACGGTAAAATCAAGTATTAGTATCTATTTCTCATAAATTCTTCAATATGTTAATTTTAATATTTGATTAATACACATTATATATTTTACTTATAACTATATATGTTATTCCTCATAAAAAAATATACATAAACTAGAATATAAAAAAATATAAATTCCAAAATTATTGAGCCGCTTATGTAAGCCACTCTAACATACGCTGTTTCTATTAATGCTTTATTGAATTTTTTTAATTTTATTATTAAAAAAAGAGATTAAAGATATAACTTAACAATTAGTATATATGTCTTAGATAATGCTGATAATTCCTACAAGCTCGTTCATTATAACTAAATTATTATCCAATATATATAATATATACATACTCTTCAATTAATTTTTCCAGATATTTGTATGTTTTTTTCTACATAATTGCGTTCACACTGTATATACATATGTATATAAAAACTGAGATATTCTGTTAACAAATACATATAAAAAAAAAGACTAAATGAAAGTACAGCATTAACAGTCAGTAACTCAAATATCGATGGTGTTACTGCTTTAAATAACCAAATCAAAAAAATCAAATTTCTTGTATGCTTACATAGAACATTCCGCTTTTACAGTGTCACTTACTATTATTATTATTATATAGATAGGCTTCTTTACATGATATGTCTAGATTGTAGCGTTTGTACCCTACATTATATTTAAATTAACTGTTTCTATTAATGTTATAATAAACAGGTTTAAGGCCTCAAACAGGAATATATAGCAGAAATGTAAATGCAGAAGTACAGTAACTCACAATGTTTTTAAAAATCAGACAAGTTATGCATATATGTATTTGTACTTTTTTTTTTAGGCCAATACAACCCCCTATATTTTGTTATTAATAAAATATACATACTTTTCGCTTTCTAATGATATATAATTTATTATAAAAAACGCAAGTTACTTTCTGTAGTGAAAGTTTAAAATCAACATATACAAAATATTTATGCAAAACTTACTTTCTGAGTTTACAGTTTAGTTTATTTATTTAACCATATTTAGCTTTTATAACAAGTTCAATACATTTTAGCATACTTTCTATATACTTTAAACATGATCCAGCTGTAACTTTGTTGTACCAGACGGCAGCCAGTCTCTTCCAAAGCTCATTCATGTTTTTATAGCTATTTCATAAACAGCAAGCTTGCACTTGAGACAAAACCATAAGCTGTCAGTCAAATTTAAGTCTGGTGAGTAGGAAGGCCAATCCAGCATATTTATTTTTCTTTTCTTTTCTTTTTTTTTTTTTAAAGAATGTATTTGTGTATTTTGAGGTATGTTTTAAATCGTTATCCTGTTGAAGAATAACATCCTCCAATGTCAACCCATAATCTTTCAAAGTATTTATGAAGTCATCGTTAAGTACTCCATAATATAATTGCAAGTCCATCTCGCTCTCTATCTTGGCAATAAAGCTAGAATCATGCTGTGTAAAATAGCTCTATTAAATTAAACTCCTACCTCCACTTTTTTACTACTTATGATTAACAAGGTTATGGTTTTTGAAGGGTTTACTCCCTTTTAATCTACATCTATTGCTTTCCTTCTGATCCAAGCCAATTTATTTTTGTTTCATCACTGAAAACAACTTTTTTTCTGATCTTCAACGGTCCAACTTTCGTATGATTTTACCCATTCCGACCGATTCTCCTTTTGCTCATTAGTCAATGGCAATGCGGATTTTCTGATCTTAGAATCGAAATCAAATGTCTTCAGGAATCTACGAATAATCTAAGCAGTTATGTTGAAACATTAATCGCATAGGTTCCTAGCTGCTTCAATTACTGTAATAAAATGATCAGCATAGAACGATCTTGCATTCAATCTACGACACAATTAGAGATTAATCTTAGGTACCTAGTTTTTTTGTTGCATGCAATGCCGTAAGCCTAAGCAATTTTTCCAATAGTAACATTGGAAATATCTAAACTTTTTGTGATAGCTCTATGAGACGCCTTAGCTTTAAGTTTAACTGAAATATCGTTCTTTATTTCAATAGGAATTGGACACATGTCAGAAATTAGTTAGATGTAGAGATGTTATGAATGGCTTTGAAGAATTGTAAGTATCAGTAAATATTTGAAGTCATAAAACTGAAAAAAAAAAACAGGTAAAAGCTATTATATAAAAAGTCCATTTCAACTAACTAGCTTAGTTATGCGAATTCTCAGATGATGGTATGAACGATTGGAATATTTATCCTGACTGACAAAATGATTGGAATTGGGACCTCAAGTTGTATCAATGAGTAACTTTAAACTACTAGTTTTTGAAACAATAAAAAAAAAATCAGTAAACCAAACTTATAGAAAAGTAACATAAAAAAAAAGTTGGAAAATCATGAAAATCAACACTTTTGTGAGCCACTGTATATTTGATTTTCAAGCTTACAACGACCTAATCTTATTACTTTTGTTAAACTCTAGTCTGAAAAAAAGAATGATGGAGGTATTTTATTTCCTCCAATATGTACCATTACTACTGCTAGCTCTATTGAAGTTGACGATGAGATAACAAGGTATATTTTATGTGTTTTTTTACCTTAACTATCATTATTGCGTCTCATAAAAACTTCATGCAGTATTTGGAAAGTAAAGAAGAAATACATGGGATGGGATAGGCTTACATAATGTCTACTTTTCCAAATGAATGTAATTTTGATAGTCTGCTAGAAATCAATAACGTGGATTACTCTGACTATTTTAAGATATACAAACTTGTTTGCTTTTTTTTTTTTTAGATTCAAATTGTTCCTCTGGCCAATGTTTGCATTTAGACACATATTTCTATAAATTATGGTAAATTATTTTTCCTGCGATCATAAAATTTATTAAATACTAGTGCATTATTTCACTATTTCATTTTGAAAGCAAATCCATACCCACTTGAGCTTGATGATGTTTTTTGGGCTAAGCCATTTAGAAATCCTCTATTTACAGTTAATTAAATCCGTCATGCCCAATCTTGATATCTTTATTGTACTTATCAATGATATAAAAGAGCTGATTGAGGTATGATAGCCATTTTATGTTGATATAATACTGTATCAACTAAGATTTATCATTTTAAAAGTACAATTCTCATTTATGCAAGAAAAAAGCTAAGAGATATCTTATTTAAATTCGAATTCACAAAGTATAAACCAATGAATGTGCATGAAAAGGATGTATATGAATGCTTTGAAGTCAATGCGAAAGTTTTTATTATTAGTCAAAATACATACATTACAGCTTACAAAGTTATATTTTATACGACTTTGAATTTGTTATCAAGTCATATGATAAACCCTATCAACAAGTACGATGTTGAAACCATTTATGTACATCCTTTAGTTCAATCATAAGGACTGTATCCACAGAGCTTCTTAAAGAAAAATTGCCAATGCCATCTAATACAAAACTAACCAAGGAAGTCTTGGTAAAAATATTGGTTTTTGTGAGATGAAGTCCGTAAAACACATCAATATGTTGAGAAACCTTATTCTAAGCCTGTATAGGTTAGTTTATTTTGCAAAGGACACTATTGATATATCTAACTTTTGTTATATTTAGCTATTCTAATACATTAGCTCAGAAGCTATATTTTGTATGCCTATTCTTCTTGGAGAAGCATTTTATTGAACATTTGAGCTCTTTAAGGTTGAGATTCCCTTGAACACTTCGGAAATTTCAGATCTGAAACTTCAAAACTTAAGAATCTATGCTCTTTACAACACTTACTAGATTTGTGTACAGTGACTGATTATACTAACTCTTATAAATGAATGCCTCTTAGTACACCAGAGTTGAATGATATCGTATCAAATACTCAAAATAAAGATGATACTGTCATTAGTTTTAAGAAATATTGCCTATCTTTTTATTTATTCTTTTTTTTTATCCTTTTAAGTAATATCCTTTTAAAGATATTAAAATAAAAACTAGTAAAGTCAACAAGACTGAACAATAGTCCTAGAAGTCGATTATTTTATTTACCATTTAAAATGATGGGTGATGTTTATATAAGAATATAGAAATATATGGTATTAGAGAACGATAAGAACAGTATAAGCTACGACCAAATAGTATTTAATATTATTAATAAAGTGTGCAAAGTTTTTAAAATCCTAGGTTATAAAGAAGGATATAAATATATTGAAATCCATTTCTTTATATATATTACTATCTGTTCAAGTACTTTTAATCTAACCCTAGATTAAAAGTAATCAGAATAGATTACTTTACACCATGATTATAGTCTATAACTTAATTCAATTAGCTAGCAAAATTAAAGTGTACATGTAAAGCATAATCTCTGATTATGATACATCTGATCTGTGAAATACAAAATTATTATTACAATAAAAAAAAAAAAGAAAAAGAATACCAACGTGAAGATCAAAAAATATTAGTATCAGTGGGGTTTGAACCCACGCGCACTTACGTGCAGTAGATCTTAAGTCTACCACCTTAACCACTCGGTCATGATACTGCTTCATGAAAACTTTAATTTTAAGTAATTCAGATGCCATATCCACATCAAAAGCAAGTCACAGCAGTCACAATATACTGTGACTGTTGCATTCCTTTCTCCTCTTCTGCTAATATTTATTACTACTCTATTGCTATAATAATTATAATAATTATAGTAGTAGTAGTAGTTCTCTTCATCTTATTATGTAATAATAGCAACCATCTTTTCTTCTTCCTCCCCCTCTTTTTTTTTTATTTTTTGTACTAGATTAGTGCTGTTTTGCCCTGCAATTTCTTCTCTAAGTTGAATACTAAATTTCTTTTAAAGCTTTTATAAAGACTTAAAAGTGTGAGTCATATTGATATTTTTGGGGCTTAAATATGTATAGTATATATATTTAGAAAAGTATACTGAAGCTACATGCATAAACACATTTGTAAATGAAGATGATCATCTACATGTTAAAATTATAATTAATAAATTTTGTGTCCATTTTTACTAGTAAACTTAACAATGAACAAATGATAACTAATAAAATATAAAATATAATAATACATATATATATATAAGTCTAAATTGTATGTATTTAAGTAGATCAAATATGTTATTGTATCATGCTCTTTACACTTTCTACTAAAATAATGCCACCATTTTATAATTATAAATAATTTAGTACTGATTACTTGTGTTAAACTATTTATTATAACCATGATAATATAATATACACAATTTATGGATTAAGCCTCTTCTTTGCTCCATTCTTCTTTCCTTTTTATTTTATTTAAACAATTTATTTAAATACTTTACTTATCACTATCTATCCACTGATAATGTATCTAATTTACTAATCTTCCTTACATTATTCTTGACTATTTTCTCTATAACACTCAAGATTTTATTTCTTAATTATAGTGTATTTTTTTTTTTTTTTTTTTTTTTTTTTTTTTTTTTTTTTTTTTTAAATGTCGTGTTAAAAGACCTTTGATATTATTTAGATTATAATCTACAGCATTAAAAATTCAATAATATCACTATTATTTTTCATTTTCTATTATTGTTCAGATTCAGTGTAAATAGAGCAAAGAATATTCACAAAATAGAGTTTACCATACAAGATGTCTATTAAAGATAGTTCTTTTTTTCTTTCTTTTCTTTAATTTTTTTTTTTTTTTTTTTTTTTAAACTAGTCTCAGGAGAACAGGATCTATACAAGATGTTTAAACAGTATCTGTGAGTATATTATTATGAATACATACAGTAGATATTGATCAAATATATCCTTAACATATTGAGAATACTTTTATACATGTCATAGTAGATACACAAGCATACCTTTTTATTTTTCTATAACTTGCTTAAGCTAATATTAATAATAATATGTATAAAATATATATATATCAAAAGGCTTGTTTTTATTCGGTAGTATGATTGAATGTTACTTACTATTTGTAATATATAACGTGCTACTTATATACATTACATAATACTTTAACTTATTGAAGCTTATCAATTTTCTTTCTTTCTCGATATCTTTGACATTCAATCAATACAGATGATTGTCTATTGCTTATTTATTATTACTCGTTCTATTTTTATATTTATTTAATATAATATCATGCTTAATTCAAGATCTAAGTGTAAAGTCTGTTTCTTTTAATAATAATGATAGTATCAATTATTATAACTAAATGAATACTCTATTATTACCTTTCATATATTAGATAATATTACCTAAAGTTTGTCTTTTTTTATTATATAAGATAATAATTTAATCTCTAATACACAAAGTATTATAGGAATATATATCTCTATAATTATCACTTCTTTCAGGCATGTACATATATGTATATATATAAGGCATACACCCTTTTTCAATAGTTTATTATATTTAGCTCTAATTAACTATTATTTATCATCCCCCTTTAATAGTGTATTATACCATAACAACAACAACAGTTACTACTACTAATACTACTACTACTATTACTATTACTACTACTACTACTACTACTAACTACTACTACTACTAATATTACTAACTACTACTAGCTACTACTACTACTACTACTATTACTATTACTACTACTACTACTACTACTAACTACTACTACTACTAATATTACTAACTACTACTAGCTACTACTACTACTACTACTATTACTATTACTACTACTACTACTACTACTAACTACTACTACTAATATTACTAACTACTACTACTAGCTACTACTACTAATACTACTACTACTACTACTATTACTACTAACTACTACTACTACTACTACTACTACTACTACTACTACTACTACTACTACTACTACTACTAACTACTACTACTAATATTACTACTGCATATAAACATTAAACAATTTATATAAGCATTTTTTTTTTTTTTTTTAAAAAGAAAAGCCTGGTCTCTTTTCCGTTCAAAACGTTATGATTTCTCACATGAGACCTACTACTTTTTTTTATTTTTATTTTTACTTTTTACTTTTTATTTAAGCAATAGTGACCTCAACTTCAACTCCAGGTTCAATGGAAATAGAAGTGATTTGCTTAACAATCTCAGAGGGAGAGTGCAAATCAATCAAACGCTTGTGGATTCTCATCTCGAAACGGTCAAAGGTCTCAGAACCATTACCACAGGGTGACTTACGAGTAGTAATACGGAGAACCTTGGTAGGAAGACGAACAGGTCCCTTAACCTTGAGTTGCTTATCCTTAGCACGTTGGATAAGATCAGAAGAAACTGCAATACATAATTACCATATCATATAAATGTTTACTTTTTGTTATGATAGTTATTTATTATATATAAAATGCCAATGATTTTTTTTTATATTAAAAATAATGTATAAGGAAATTCCAAAAATAGAATTTTTTTTTCCTTCTTCTTCTTCTTCAAAAGATTAACATTATGCCACTACAATTTAAAGGAGCACCTAAATGTCCACGTTGCGAGAAATGTAAATAGTTATTTAGTTTGTGTGTGTGTGTGTGTGTGTGTGTGTTTTATAAACTGGATCTTATTAATTTTTTGTTTTTTAACAGCTGTTTACATGGCTGAGCAGGTACGCTGAGAAGTAAATATAGAATAAATAGAGAAACAATACTTACATCTTTGGTTAGGTCATTGGCCCTGGGGGCCCATGGCACAAAAACTGCTTAACTTGCAAGGTAAATTAAGTTATTTATATAGTATGATTTATTATGACTTACTAAATAATAAATGGGGGGGTGGGGAATGCAATTACTGGAATTGTTATATAGGAATGCAATAAAAGATTAGATTCAACAACTTTAACAGAAAAGAACAATGAGGTAATAGAGACGAAAAAATAAAGGATAAATATCCAATTATTAATCAACTAGTAGGCGTACTGTAAAACTTGTTATAATCGTAAATGGGGGCCTAAAGGATATGGTTTTGGTAATTTATTATGTATATATTACATACATGATTGCACTAATATTTTCTATAATTATAGCTGGAGGAGCAAGCTTTTTAAGTACAGAAAGTAAATTGCCCAGCGAAATTTTAAAAGAAAATTATTTACCTAGCGGCAATCATCATCTTACACGTAATGTAGCTGAGCAATCACCACCACTAAAGCCAGTTGATAATAAGACTGAAGAAACCATTTTACCTTCTTTACCTAATCGTCCTCAACTGCCACCACGTCCAAGCCTTCCTTCTAGACCTACCAATCATGAACAACAAAGCTATATCAAGCATCATACAGACTATGTTCCTCGTAAATTTAATTTTGGTTCCCAACCTGATATTTGTGTTAGTTGTCAAAAGCCAGTTTATGCAGCCGAATTAGTCTTAGGAGCGGGTAACAAATATCATAAGATGTGTTTAAAATGTTCACAATGTGGGAAAAGGTTAGATTCAACAAATATGGTAGATAAAGATTATGATCCTTATTGTAGAGGATGTTATTCAAAGTTGTTTGGGCCTAAAGGGTACGGATATGGTAATCTATTAACACCAGAAGGCGCAACTCGTTAATAAAGTATACATATAATTCTTTCTCCAATATCACGGCAAGTACTTGAATATATCAAATTTATAAAATAAAATAAAATAAAATAAATAGAATGGAATAGCCTTAAAAAGCTAAAAGCTGATATCATCATTATACTGTGCCTGTAAATAGAAAATATGATGCAAGTCATATTTCATCAAAAATAAATATGTATATAAATATGAGATTCTTTTATTTCTGTCTTTTTTTTTTTCATATCAATAAACAAAACAAATTAACTATTCAAAATGTCTCCACTCTCAAGATCTGAAGGTAAAAAAGACCAAGCTGTTGGTAACATGAAGGATACCGTTGGTAGTGCTTTTGGCAATGAATCTCTCCAAAGCAAAGGCAAGACACAGAATGCAACTGGTCGTGGTGAAGAAGGAGGTGCTCAAATGTCTGATTACATAAAGGGTACTGCTAATCAAGCTAGTGGAGCTGTTAAGGGTGCTTTTAACTCTCTTACAGGCGATACATCTGCTGAAGCAGCTAATAAGTGTCAACAAAAGAAAGGAGAAGCTCAAAAGGGATTCAGCAATTATTAAATATAATTTGTATATGAAAGATTGAATATGCATACAAATATGTATATTTTTTTTTTTTTTTTTTTTTTTTTAAAAAAAATAAATAATAACTTGCGATTGTTGTAATATATAATATGTATGTCCCCTCTTTTTTTTTTTTTTTTTTCCATTTATTTATTTACAAAAGTATGACGTATGTGTAAAGGAAATTAAGAGATACCAAGAGTTCTTTTGCTAAATTCATATACAGCATAACTTATACTAACAGAAGGTACCACTTTGAATAGTGTTGGGCCTAAACCTTTATAAAATCCTTTGATACCATCTGCATGAAATGTCTTTTGTGCTGCATCCCAAGCTGATGTATACTTGTATGGATGAGCAGGTGTACCTTGTGCCTGTAACCTATATAACAGAACAAAATAAATAAATAAATAAATAGGTATATAATATGTATTACCTAGTTCTTATCATATTGAGTGGATAGACAGATGTAGCACCTATTGAACCACTAACCATACCACATGCCCATAAGATTAAAACGTTAGGAGCTTTATGACTGCCATCCTCATTTGATTGTTGAGAAGTCATATTATAATGAAGATAAGTGACCTTCAATGTCTCATAAATACCCATATCTAGAGCTTGATAAGGGAAAACACCGAGTAAACTAACCATTAAACCAGGCCAAAAGCCTTTGATACCATTTGTTTTATACATTGATTTTGCAGTATTGAAGATCATGTTTTTTTGTTTAGCTTTATAAGCACCACTTGTACCACTCGTTTGAATATGCATGGATGACATAATCCTTGTCTTTAAGGTCTCAACAGGATAAATACAAAATTGAGCACAGAGACCAGCAATGCCACCAGCAATAAATCTTGCACCTACAGGTATATCATTTTTATCTTCAGCGTTCGTTAATCCAGCCAAAATTAACTTTGCAGTTTCAAAGACATAAAATTTGATAGCCGACTCAGGGACGATCTTGATGACATTTAAACCATTACCTACAAAGAAGGCACGAATTCCACCCCCTTGATTATAAATATTTTTCATGCCTGCCAAAAGGACAGATTGACGAAGTAGAGCAGTAGTTGGTATATTATTAGATGCTTTTAATTGATTCGTGAATGCAGTTTGTGTAATAAGGTATACTTTAAGTCTATCAAACGGGGCTGTACATGTTCTAGAAACAGCACCTGCTATACCACCAGCAGCTAAATATTTATATGCATTACTAGCAGTTTCATCTGTATGAGGGATAACCACTTCTGCATCATGTGTAAGTTGAGTTGAAGTTTGATAATATCGATAAATCTCTCCAATTGTAGTTTCACGTGGTAATAACTATATATGTAAGGCCATGTTAGAAGTAGTTAGGAAAAGAAAAGAAAAGAAAAAAAAACGAACCAATACAAAATTACGCCAAACTTCAAAATCAATATAACCATGTCCATCTATTCTTATAATGAATAAATCTGATATATAATAAATAGGCACATTTTTATTTTACCAGTGTCAATAGCTTGCATAAAATCTTTAATATCATCATTTGTTGCTTGAATACCAGCCGCCTTCAAAGCCAACTGAAGTTCATCCGGGTGAATTCGGTTGTCACCCGATTTATTAATTTCCGAAAATAACGACCAAAGATCCTTTTCTTTTTCTACAACATAGTTTCTAAATTCTTGATAATCTATAATTCCATCATGTGCTGTATCACACTTATTCAGCAAGTCAACCACATATTCTCTATGAGCTGGTAAGTGTGTTAACATTAAAAATCCTTGAAGAATAGCTTCTGCATCTAAATAGCCTCGTCCTTTCATATCCAATGACTCAAATAAACTTTTTATCCGACTTTCTCTTTCCACAACTTTTTCATCAAAATAAGGATGAGGTGATCCAGGTGTCGTTGAACTCATGTCTGTCAAAAAAAAAAAAACAAAGAAAACAAAAAAAAAAAATACTAATTAAATGACGTATTTTAAATTATTGCTAATTTACCATTGATCTATTTTATTTTAATGTATAATGTATAACTTATAATTTTATTTTATTTTTAGTGTAAGAATAATCAGTAATGAATTAATGAATAGTTATAATGAGTCTATGTAATAATAATATGACAAAATAAAAAAAAATAAAAAATCTTTTCGTTCCCCACAATAAGGAAAAAAAAAATGTCCTAAAAAAAAGTGGGGGAAGGGAAAATATTTATTTTTATTAAAGATCGAGTTTTTTTTTTCTCAATGACCCCCTTCCCTTCCTAAGTACACACCCAATGAAGACTAGTTGTTTTATTTATTTGCTGATCTCTTAGTAGATTTTATTAAACTATATCATTCTTGATTGTTTATAATTAAATAGTATTGCCCTTCCCCTTAAAGAATTCAGTTGAATCAATGTTTACTACTTGATTATTATAGACTTCGGACTATTATTATCATTGTGGCTTGTAATAATATAGATGTTTTATGAAACAAAACCCCACATTATGATATCTGTCTACTTATGTCAAGTATAAAAATAAATATAACATAATAAATGAAGTCACAAATATAGACTACAAGCAATAATAACAACCGTATTTCAATAAAATTGAGATCACAGGGAAAAAAAAATAAAATAAGATGTACCAATAAATTTTCATTATTCAATATGATTCACAAACAATAAGGTAAATACAATTGAATTACTACAAAAGTTTAAAAATCACCTCTCGTTCTTCCCCACATTTTTACTCTCTTTTCTCTTTACTCCTCTTTTGTGTGTTTCCTTTTTGTTTCAATAACCCAAAAAAAAAGAATGTTTAAAACAATTGCCACTCGCGCTGTAAACTCTTGATATATATACATCTATACTATACACATGTTAATTCATATATTCTTCTTCTTTGAATAGCCAAAAGTGAACTCATTTTTTATCATTCATCATCATAATACTCGATCCCTTATCAATGCCAATAGGGCACAAAGTACGAGTTCTGCAACCTCTGCTATGTCATTTAAAAAGCATATTCGTCAAAGACGTTATGGTCCTGTGCCTGCCGTACCTCAGCCTACTGTAGAAGATGCAGTAACTAATATTCTTTATAATACACCACCTCCTAGTAGGGAGCCTGAAACACGTCATGTATTAAATTGTCTTGTTCAAAACGAGCCTGGTGTCTTGAGTCGTGTCTCTGGTATCCTTGCTGCTCGAGGATTTAATATTGAATCTTTGGTGGTAGCTAATACGGAAGTAGATGATCTTAGCCGTATGACCATAGTTTTTAATGGTCGTAATGTTCAAATTGAACAAGCAAGAAGACAACTTGAAGATTTAGTAAAGAATTATAATTTATCCATTTTCAACACTTATTAACATATATATATATATATATATATATCTGTATATTTATATATAGGTTCCTGTATGGGCTGTATTAGATTATACAAAGACACAACTGGTTGAACGTGAACTTTTGTTAATCAAGGTATCTATATTGGGTCCAGAGCATTTACATGAACAATTACCAACTACTAAATTGGATGATGATGTTGAATATGAGGATGAAAACTTACTTTATCACGAAAAGGTAAGCTTAATGTGTGTATAAGTTAAATGATAGTCAACCTAAATATGATTCTCTCTCTCTCTCTCTTTTTTTTTTTTTTTTTTTTTTTTTTTTTTTTTTCCCATTTACAGCAGAAAAAATATCCAGCACCTTCCGATACTCTCAGAGAAACATTCTCACATTTACGTGCTTTAACAGAACTTACTCGTTTGTTTGATGGTAGAGTAGTAGATGTTTCCTCTGATTCAGTTATTATTGAATTATGTGCAAAGTCAAGTAGATTGACTTCATTTATGAAATTATGTAAGCCTTTTGGTATCTTGGAAGCATCTCGAACAGGTATAAACTTAAATATATAGGCTTCTTTGATAATCATACATCATTAACCTTATATATGTATAGGTATTATGGCTATGCCTAGATCACCTGTACATGACCATTATGAACCACAAACAGATCATTCCTATGAATCTGATACTGTTGATGCTACTATGCTTCCTCCAGGTTAAATAATAAACATACTTAATATATGTATGTATATCTTTTCATTCTACAGCTAATAAAATAAAAATCTACTATTTCAATTCACAGTTTTTTTTTTGTCGTTGTTTTCCCCTCTATAAAACCATACGCATTACTACCACACGTAATAGTCGTATGTGCTTGTTTATATGCAGACCCTATGAATCAATATTACTCATACCATGTCTATCTTCAGTCTTGTGTTTCACAGAAATACTTTTTTTTTTTTTTTTTTTTTTTTTTTTTTTTTTTTTCGCTTAATAAACCATTACATAATGAAAGCAAGACTTTAGTCATACACTTTCTTCATGCTTTATCTATTATGCGATACGAAGAAAACTTAGCGGCTGTTCTATGTCATTTTATAAATCATTTGGCAAGTGCTTATCAAATACTGTATTTGTATTTATTTGTCATCAATGACTACCAACTTGAGAGTCAAATGATGAAAATTTTATTTCAAAAGGTCGCAAATTAGATTGGTAAAAGGGTTTAAAGGAAAAAGAGAAACAAATAATAATAATAATAATAAATTATGGGCGTTTATAGCCTACAAGATAACCAATAATATTTGACAGACTAACGATACCAATCAACTTATTTTCATTATCAACAATGATGAGTCTATAAACTCTTTGTTTTCGAATTGTTCTAAATATTGAATGGAGTGTGTCATTTAATGTACAGGTATGAACCCCAGGATAATCTTTAGGCCTTGCTTCCATCGCTATTCCTACTGAAATATCTAATTCTTTATACCTTCCTGATCTAGCAATACTCTATTTATTTAATGGAATTATAAGCGCACACACACACAGAAAAGAATGAATTTATTCTTATATGCTCTTTACCATAACATCAATTGTTTCATATACATTAAGTACAACTCCATTATCATCTACAATAGGTACTGCACTAATATTTTGCTCTACAAACATATTGATGACTTTAATAACTGGCGTAGACATAGAGGCAGTTGCAATATTATCGTAGGTTCCTATCTTTAATTCAGATAATGGTTGACGTAATACCTTTGTATGTTTAAACTATATATACTTGTAAGTTATTTGTAACAAAAAAAATTTTGTGTATGTGTGTGTATGTGTGTGTGTTTTCCCCACCCACCCTTTTCTTTTCTTTTTCTTTTTTTTTTTTTTTTTTCTTATTTACATACATTGGATGCTATAAACTTCAATATACGATACTGTGTAATAACGCTAACAATCATTTCTGTACCAGTGTCTGGGTCTTTATCTAATAATGGAACACGGTGAACTCGACTTTCTGCCAACATACGACAGGCATCATATAAAGTAGCCATTGGATTCATGGACACCAATTGAGGAGCTGGAGCACCCACTAATTTTTCAACGTTACGTAAATGAGCTAATTCAAAACTTTCAATTTCACGAAATGCGTCTTCAACAGATGCATGGGTATAATAATATTGTATAAGGTTTATAAAGTCGGCCACCGTTAACATGCCTTTAAACTTTTGTTCTTCACTTGACCATAAAGGAGCAGATACAATGCCTAATAAAATAGTCTATTGATTAACACTTGTTGTTGTGTATATACATGTATATATATATATATCATTACCATTTTGAACAAGTGCATTAAGTGCCTTTTTAACTAATAGTCGAGTATCAAAGACAATAAGTCGATAACTTACAGGCAAAACGTCATAAGCTGTATGTTCTTTTAAAAATGAACGCATTAATGTTTGTATAGAGCATTCGGATGGTTGTGTTATTGAATTATTAGACTTTGTTGAAGATGAAACATTAGAATGAATATGCGACATTAAAGTATAATAGAGTGAATAAATGTGAGAAGAATTGATAGCACATATAAAAAAAAAAAAAAAAAAGCAGGCTTATCATATGCTAACGGTTAAATAATCATCCAATTATAATGTTCATTTACTGATGTTTTTCTTTTCTTTATTACAATCTTTGAAAAAAAAAAAAAAAAATCTCGTCTTTTCATTCTCAAGTTTGCAGTCAATGATAAATAGTTTATAATAGTATTTGATGAGGAGCGTATAATTTATGTTACAACAAGAGCACAACAAGTTAAATTATTTATTCAAGCAGAGAAGGGGATAAGTCACTTATAGATGAAATAATGAAAAAAAAAAAAGAGAGTTGAACTTTCATCTATTTGATAACCATTGAAGCCAACGGCTAGGTCAAGGCACTCGAATTAGCTGCTAGCTTTAGTTTTTTTTTTTTTTTTTTTTTTTTTTTTTTTTTTTTTTTTTTTTTTTACAATATAAAAGATGCCCTGAATGCGTCAAGGTTGAAACAAAGGTACCTAATTATGGATGGCACGCATATTTAAAACTTCTCTAAAAGTACAAGGCCTTATCTCTTCCAATAGGTACAAGTTTCATGTTGTATTTTTCCATCCATAAACTTAATTGAAGGGATATAATGCAATCATGAATGATTACTGGCACAAAGGTGAAAAATAAAAATACTTTTAATTCCTGAAATAAAAGAAACCATCATGCTGCGGTTACTATAAAATGTGGTGGCATCAAATAAACCTGTCTTAGGGTCCTGATAGTTTACTTTATGATATATCTATTTGGACTATGTCGATCATAACCTTAATGAAAACAAAGTCTATTATTTTATTTAAAAAATAGATTTTTTTTTCCTTTAAATAATACTATTGCGGTTTTTATCATTATTATTGTATCAAATTACTACTAATAAAGTGAATAGCTTCGTTTCTATTATCAAACTAACGAATGAAAAAAAAAAAAAAAGAGCGTGAATCTAACATAATAATTTTCTATATAAGGAGTTATCTAATCTATTTTGTGGACATGCCACAGGAGATATAAATAGTCATATAATTACAAAAGTAGTAAATAAGGCCATATTTATCATTTCCAATAATTCTAATAGCAGGACATTATGAATGTATTTATCTATTTGATATGTATCCTATCTATCTATCTATCTTTTCCTGAGGGGACATATACTATCTATTTATCTATATTGCTCTTCTTATTATATGACACTAGTCACCGTATTATAGTTCTTCTACTCTTTTGTCGTACAACAATAGCCATGCTGATACGACTATTATTATAAATAATTGCTGCTAAGAAAAAAAAACAATGACATATAAATAGCAATGAAATTCTCTAAAATAAGAAAATAAGGGGAGAGAGAGGTTCGAATATTAATATATATAAATCAGGGCCTTTTTATATATGAAATGAAGTATTACGTTATTATTTATATAGCTATAATATCTCTCCCCTTATATACATGAACATATTTATTTTTATTCTTTTTCTTTCTTTCTTTCTTTCTTAATTCTCCTTAGTTTTAATTCCATTTTTTTTTCTTTCGCTTAAAATAATGAAATGGCCATCACTCATAATTCGATTTATAAAGTTAAAGAAATTCAATCTATTTCTATTAATTTTATTATTTCTCTTCCTTTCTTATCTTTTGTTAACTTATTCAAATACATTATTATCCTATAAAACGACATCCTTATTCAACCATGATACTGATGAAGAACGATATTTAGCTTATTTACCCCATTCAGGGCTCTCTAACCAACGTATAGAGCTGGCTAATGCCCTACTATTAGCTTATATGCTAAAGCGGACATTAATTGTACCACCTGCTTTTCTTGGCACTGTGCTTGGTTGGATGCATCGAGATCAACTCATGGATAGACTTGAATGGCTTACGACACCAAAGAATTTCCCCAAGATATGCCAGAGACCTACGCCTGGTCTATTAAAGAGTTATACACAACGATCACGTTGTGCTGAATATCGCCAATTGGCTATCCTTCCCTGGACTGAGCTACACGATTTTACTTTACTCAAAGAATCAGGCAGTGGCATTCGAATGCAATTTCAATCGATTATTTCATTAGAGAGACTAAAAGAGGAGCTTGAGATCATGGCAGAGGATGATGTGTATGTGTATCAAGATTTACAACTCTATGATTGGAGACTTTATCAGAACAAGACAAGGGCGATTGAGTTGGTACAGGATCGACTCAATTATTTTGATTCATTTGCGGGGAGACGTTATTATAAGGTGCTATTGCCAGACCATTTTGAGCGTCGAAAGGAGAAACTCATCTATCTGGGAGGCATCTTTGGATCGACACGTATTCATTTAATCGATTCAAAGGATCTATGGATACAGGAGCTGATTCGAAGGACATTGCATTATCGACTTGATACGCCTATTGGAGAGACAGTGAAATCGATTGTCAATTATTTAGGTGGGAAAGGAAGTTTTATGGCACTTCATTTTCGAACAGGGGATAATCCTTTTAAAAGAGAAATTCCAGATAATTTACTTAGATTTGTTAAAAACATGACAGACCTTGCCAGTCAACAAAGGAAGGTGATTACTCAAAATAATAGTGAAGAATCTTGTTTGAATCTTTCAACTACAAAAGAAGAGGAAGATCATCTGACTGTTATGAACCAACAACAGCTCTTTAGTACTCTGCCATTCACATCTCGTGTCAAAATCTATCTTGCTACTGATTATCGAAACCCAAAAGGTAAATCAAGTCTACTCTTACCTTGGTTCGATACTTTCCCATGTACAACTATATTAAGTGATTTACCAGATTATTTATTTTCACCACTCGATCATTTGAGAGATAGTATCGTACCATCAAAGTCTTTACGACATTTTTTAATACCTCTTGTTGATGCTATGGTAGCTGCACATGGTAAGACGGTTTTAACTACTCCAAGATCAACATTTTCAAAATATATCGAAGAATTACATTATGACTGGTTAGAATGATAAAGTACTACATAATAGTAGAGGGAGAGAGCTTTTCTTTTTTTTTTTTATTGTACATATTTGTATTTTTTCTTTTCTTTTTTTTTTTTTTTTATAAATCAGCAGCAATTAAAGCAACAATCATACGATACAGATAATAAAAGAAACACTATATATGTATATGTATACACACACACACATAAAAAAAAAAGAATTAGTATAGGCCGTTCTAGAATAAATGAATCCACTTACAATTAAATAGAATCCAAGCTTAAAAAAGCATTCTTTTTTATGTTGTGATAAAGTACGGAATATTTCGGTAGCATCATACATATGGCGTCCATTCATAACTCTACATTAAATATATTTTAGAAAAAAAAATGAATATACATATCATCATCTTACTAACTTCTATATATATATATATAACTTACTTTCTAACGTTGTAAACAGCCAAAGGTAAGTTTAAGAGTAAAGCTATCCAACTTCCATTCACGAGAAATAAAGCAAACAAAAACGCATGTGCTCCCATTTCAGGTAAAACATACTTTTTTTTTTGTGATGATGAAATTTATCAGCTACACTACCATTTTACTTTATTTATTTTCATTACCTGATTTAATTTATTACACAAGTCAATAGGATTGATATAATCGCATTCTAAATCTGAAAACATAATGACCTAATGTTATTAAAAAAAAAAAAAACAAAATTAATAAATAATTTTATTTCAACTATACAAAAAAAAAAAAAAAAAAGATTCTTGACATTACAAAAAAGACCATCATAAATAAGAGTATTGCAGCCATAATGACTGCAAATAGAAAAAGCATGGCTTCACCTGGCATCATCTTTAATGAGGATACGTATTTATTTATTTAAAAAAAAAAAAAAGTTCAAGAAAAGAAAAAAAAAAATTAACAAACAGGGATTTTTTTTATATTTATTTTAAAAATAAAAAAATATAATAACGTCTGAATATTACATTATTTTTATTATAAATTTATTGTTTTATACAATACGTTCAAGTTCTCTAGCATAACATAATGTACGTGTGATGATTTGTTCTTGAGGAATTTCAACTACATTGTCATCTTCAGTAGCAAAGTAAACTTTTTGTTCAACAGGATTCACCTTCCAACCACGCTCATTTGCAAAATTTAATAATTCTTCTGTATTTCTCAAGAACAATAAAGTACTAGCATCATTCAAAGGAAGATATTCATAAGCTCTTTCACTACAACTAGCAATCTCATGTCTACTCATGAAAATTAATTTTCTTATTGTATACAAATAGGTACATGATGCTTTTTTTTTTTTACCTGATAGTACTAATCAAAATATCATAGAAAAACATAAACTCTTCACCTTGAACAGTACTTCTTGTACTCCAAACTTTATTATAGCTGCCTTCCATTAAAAATTGTTCTATATCAAAAAGTAACAAAAAGCAATATTTAATTATTAGAAAAAAACGACAATTTAATCGCTCTTATATATAAAGTGTGTACCTAAATCTACGGCTTGTTTAATAAATTGATTAGAATGTAATTGATCGAGATCAATTGTTTCAAGTACTGTATGAAAATCAGATAATCTATTTTGTGATAGTAATCGAAGTAAATTAAGTCCAATAAGTGGATACATTTGCTCTGAAGGAGGAAGAACAGATCTAGAAAGAAAGGTGTTAAAACTACAATCAACCTTCTAATAGAATCTATATTTACGCAAGGTCATGATAGTATGTATTAAGTTGTGAAATATATCTTTCAAATGAGCCAATGTCTTTGTTGCGAACACTATAATAAGCACCTATTTCAAGAATTTCACCTACATTAAGAAGAAAAAAATAAAAACTTCAATTAATTTTTTTTTTGTCAAAAAGAAGAAAAAAAAAAACAGGTCTTTTATATATTTAAACTTTACGAGCAGTAACTAACACTTTAGGATCTGTCTTTCCAGCAACAGGAACATAGGCACCAAGTTCAATTAAAACAATCTAATATAACGTTATTAGTATTCCATTTCAAATGACAAAGTCTCTTATATCCAACCTTGGCTTGTGTAAGACATTGTCCAACTTTTTGAAGATTAGGAGAAGATGAACTCATTTCCTTTCTAAGTTGATCACAAAGGTCGGTTAATTGCTGTACTGTCATGGCTGCTTTATTGTATTGTGTGAGGATAGAATATGTGAGTATATATAAAAAGAACGCGAATACTATTTTAAAAAACGAAAAAAAAAAGTTAAACATCACCACGTAATCGACGAATCACGTGATATACAGTGTGTATATAGTGCTATTATTATTTATCTATTTACTACTTTCTTCTTCTGCCTTTCCCACTACATAGAAAAGGGTATTTTTGTCTCCTCCCCCCTAATAAAGTACATACGACAAATATAAGCTTCTTACATCCAGTTGTTAAGTATATAAAGTAACTGATTTTACCTCCCCCTTTTTTTTCCTTTTTTTTTTTTAACGTTATTAAATCATTTTTTTTTCTCAAGATATTAGCATTTATTCTCATTGGTTGTTTGTTTGTATCAGTTGATTTGCATGATAAAAATAGTGCATTCTATTATTCTTTGCTATTCCATAATCTACTACTATAAATGTATAAGTTTATAGCTCATTGTTATTAGTATTAAGGAGTTGTATATGCATGATTTTATTTATAAAAGTACAATTAAATTTTTTTTATTACGTAAAAAGAAAGGAATAAAGTGAGTAATATTAGTATAATGCGCTATTAATGAACATGGAGGAAATATATAATGTATCATAAAAGGGAGAAAGGGGATATATATAAATATATATATATGTATATAGTCTAAACAGAATCCGACGTATTGTTAGATATTCTTGAATATCCATGCATCAATAAATCAACAGAATTATCGTTATTATTAATAGCTTTCTCTAAATCACCATTCATTGAAGATGAACGGAGACCCAAGGCTTGTTTTGCCCATTGTTGAATTGCTTTGCCCCAAATGACAGGCACAAGCGATACGAAGGAAACAATCAAGAGTTTCAATACAAGAGCTACAGATACAATATCTGATGTCGACGTCAAGTCACCCAGGACATCACCTGCTTGAGCACAAACAAAATTGTAAGGCATAGAGCCCAAAAAGGTGGACCAAAAGAAGGGAATGATGGGAATATCTAATAAGGGAGAAATCAAATTGATAAGCCAGTAAGGTGAAAAGGGGAATAGACGTGCAAATAATAGCCACCAAAAGAGACCGCCCGAGCGTTTCTCTTCTTCAAGTTGTCGATTTAAAGGTTCAACTTTACGAGCCATCCAAGGGATTCGAATTAAAGGTTCTCCTACCAAGATAGCTAATCCGTAAGCCAAGGTAGCGCCTCCAGCTGTCAAGAGACTTGTCCAGACAGTACCCATCGTGATACCATACAAATAACCGGCTAATAGGTTGAATAAAACGGAGCCTGGAATTGAAAATGCTTGTTGCCAAAGATACAAAATAGCGAATACAAAAGTAACCGAGCCATAACCAGTCCAACTATTATTAATTAATTCTTCCAAGTGAATCGATATCTCTTGAATGTCTGTTAGGGTTCTAGGTAAATTAATATCTAATACAGTATGAGCTAAGGAAATTGAAAACAGAAGGGAAATAATAGCAATCAAAAGAAATAATATTAAACGAGGAATTAATTGTTTCCAGGTAGGTGGTAGTGCTGTATTATTATTTAACTTTCGATATTTTTGATTATCTTCTCTATAAATAACTTCATCTTCTTCATTTACTTGTTCATTTTGTAAATCAATTATTTCTTCTAGTAGTCTATTCATTTCTTCATCTCCTCCTCCTCCTCCTCCACCAACATACATTGTGTTGTTTGGTTGCATATTTTTGGTATTGTGAATAAATAAACAATATAAAAATAATAAAAAAAAGTAAGTTTCATATTTATTTAAAAAAAAAAAAAAAAAAAATTCTAATTCCGAATAAAAGTTTTCTGTAGCCAATTAAAATGTATTTATATTTTAGACCGGCCCGAAGTTTTTAGCCAAAACGCTGAATCGCTTGATGGTGATTTATCTTTTTTTTTTTTTTTTTTGACTCTATTCATTTATTTATTATGATTTTTTTTTTTTGCTATCATAGTGTGGCTAATTGAAAACTCTCATAAAAAGAATAAAAAAAGAGAAGAATCTTATTTATTTATTTTTTAAGTTATGAAAAGTCTTGGCTCTTTATCATTGTTTTCAGTTTTTCTTTTTTTAAAAAAAAACTATTTGGAAAACAGAGATAACTTTAACAGTAACTCAGAAAGAATAAATTAAAGCCCAGAAGTAATAAGACATGTAAAGGATTTTTTTTTGAATAATTTCACGCTTTTGATATTTTGAAAAGTTGCTTATTGTTATAATTGCCCATTCATTCTCTCTTTACAACAATAAATAAGGTGAACGCTTTTTATACATTGTGTTTATATAATGAGTTCACATGCAATTTTTATTAATTAAATTCACATTCTATAAAGATCTTTCTTCTTGTTGCAATAATGTTCTAAAATTGTATGAAAAAGTAAATATAACACGCTTATCTATTGTAGTAAGTATAGTACATATTCTCTTCAAAGACTATGTTTATAATGATTTGAAATAATAAAATGTACAATAAGAGAAACCTACTACTGATAAAAGGTGGTTATTTATACTTTTTTCTTTTCTTTTCTTAAACATGATTATGTAATACATTATTTTATTATCGTATTTGCACATCATTATGATAACATGTATAATATAGTTTTGTATTAAACATTAAAAAGAAACAAAAAAGAAAAAAAAAAGGATACGAGAGAGAGTAAGGGAATAATAATATACGCTTTTTTTTTTTTTTTTTTTTTTTTTTTTTTTTTTTTTTTTTTTTTAATTAGTAATTTGTACTTTAAGAGCACCCGAGTTGCTATCTGCAGCCTTTTCAAAAGCTTGAAGAGCATTGTTGAAATCAAAAGTGTCAGTAATTAAATGTTTAATATCTAAAATACCACTTGCTAACAAAGCAATAGCTCGAGGATATGTATGATGATATCTGATGAAGAAATAGATAGAGTAAGTCTTATTATCTATTCTATCATGTAGTTAGTTAGTACCTGAATAATCCTCTAATATCAACTTCACGCATTGCAAAATTATTAACAGGAATTGTTTGATCGTTTTTACCAACACCTACTAAACAACAGGTACCCGCATCACGTGTGGCCATGATAGCTGTTCTGAAGGAACTTTCAACACCTGTACATTCCAAACTATATTCAGCACCTTCTTCTTCGCCTGCTGGGGAAAATAAGGCACGTACTTCCTTGACAGTTTCCAACTCCGGCTTTGTAGGATTTACTTTATAAGTAAAAGTAGCTCCCATCTTTTTAGCATAATCCAAACGATGTTGTTGAACATCGGTGATTGCAATTGGATAAACACCTGTCGCCTTTGCCACTGCTAATACTAAAAGACCAATCGGGCCACTACCGGTGATGAGTAATGATTTCCCAAATTTGACACCTACACGATCCAAGGCAGCTATAGCGACAGATAAAGGTTCTAAAAGAGCACCTTCACCATAACTGATAGATTCAGGAATCTTATGTAACCAACGAGCAGGATGAGTGATATATCTTGCTAATTGACCATCATAAGGAGGAGTAGACTTGAAGATAACATCTGGACAAAGATGGTATCTACCATTCATACATTGAGTACATTGAGAGCAAGGGATACCACTATATTATTTTTAGCATATTTTGATATATACATATATATACATGTATATATCTGTATAGACTTACGCTTCAATAGCAACACGATCACCTACTTGAAGTGTCGTAACACCTTCTCCCAAGGCAGTAACGACACCAGCACTTTCATGTCCCAACAATTGAGGACGACTTACAGGGAAAATACCAATTTCACCATATTTCCATAAATGAACATCTGAACCACAAATACCTGTGCATTTTACCTGTACTTGAACATGGCCTGCTTCAGGCTCTGGAATAGGAATCTCAACTAATCTAAGATCATCTTTCTTTTCAAGAAGAACCCCTTGATTCATAGTATCCTTTGTAGGAATTGTATAGTCACTTGTAGGAGCAATAGACATAATAATAAAATTTGAAATAGAATCTATATTCAGTCAAGTAAAGAAGAAAAAGAATATATACAAATATATGTTTATATATATATATACATAAAAGAGAAAGAGAGAGAGAGAGAGAGAGAGAGAGCGAAAAAGAAAGAGACTCGAGTCTATTTAATCACTTTAAAATCATCGTAAAATAAAAAAAAAAAGAAATTCTCCATTAGGTAAATCAACTTTTTTCTTTTATTGGGTAATATTTCCCGAACTAGAACGCAGCATAATTGTTATAAAGATAATTACACAAAATAGATAAAATTATACAGCAAGAAGATTTATTATTGAAAGACATCGTCTTTATCATTTGTATTTCATTCTAGATTCAACATCATGAATGTATTTTAAATATTTAAAACTTTTTGAACTGCTTTTAAAACAGTGTCATGAATAGACACATTTGAAGCAATAACACCCTTATTTTTTTCCAACGTACGTCCAACAGAAAAATCCAAAGGTTTACCATAAATATCTGTTACTTTACCTCCAGCTTCAGTAACAAGCACATTACCAGAAGCATGATCCTATATATATATATATATATATATATATAAAGCTTGTTTAATATGCATATATAATTTTGTCATGTAAATTCTTACCCAGATCTTTTCAATATAGGTTTTACTTGCAGGTAAACGTAAATAAATATTAGCATCACCTCTAGCAATAGAACAATATTTAGCTTGACTATCCATACGAACAGGATCACGTGTTATATTTAGTTCTTTTGCAATTTTGATAGCATCTTCATGACTTGAATGTCCCGCTTCAACAGATTCACAAAATATAGCTTCTTTAGTAGATGAAATATCAGCAAAATGAATAGGTGTTTCTTTTTCATTTGTAAATGAACGCTAAGAAGAAAAGACCGAAAAAAAAAAAATAAGTATTCAATCTTAGGTGTATCTATTTTACGGCATAATATACCTGAAATGCACCATATCCACGAACAGCAATAAATAATGACCCACGTTCACTTGATGGAGTTTTATGATCTACAGGTAAATTAGGACAGCCAATAACGCCAAGTTGAACAATACCATCTACGATTAAAGCCAAACAAATAGCATATTGTCCACCACGTAAGAAACCTTTAGTTCCATCAATAGGATCTAAAGCCCAATGACGACCTTGAGAACCACCAGCATAATTACCACGATCAATAGCTTCCAAAATCTATCGTACAAATAAATGAATATAAAAGCTCTCTTTCCTTTTATTTTTATTTTTATTTTTACAGGATATATTTACTTGTTGTTCAGAAAGTTTTTCATTCTCATTTAATACGCCGTTTGTTAAAGAAAAGACTTTTTCCCTCAAGATCTTACCAGCATCACCTTGTAAATCTTTAGAATCTTCTTCACCTACGATTGGATCATTAGGGAAATGCTTTGTAAGATAAGTATTGACAATAGCTTGAGCAGAAAAGTCAGCAACTGCACCATTTATATATAAATATATGAGTTATCTATTCATACTTGATACAATAGTCCAATTATTATCTTTATTTGCTTACCTGTTACAGGAGATTTATCGTTTTTTGTTAAGGTCTCATTAGCAACAAGATGTTGAAAGACAGATTGACAGACTTTACTGGCGGTTAAGACTGCTTGAATGGCAACACTACGTTCCTTGGAATAATCTAGAATCATATAAGTTGTATACTTTTTATTTATCGCATTTTATTTGTTACCAGACATGGCAGAGAATAAACGTCTTTGCTGTGAAAGAAGATAGATTGATATTTTGTTAGCAGATAGCATCATTTATAGAAGAGATGTGTATTAAATGATTGTTTAGACTCCGCTATTCGGGCCTTTCTATATTTTAGTATTTACTCTTTGAAATACGATTAAGAAGAATTTTATTTAAAAATTAAAAATGACCAATGAGCACATAGCATTTATATATGCTGTTTTGCCCTGGTCAGATCGCTATGGAAAAAAAGGAAAGAAAAACCCTTTTGGGATAAAAGGGAAAATGTTAAAGTATATGTATAAGTGATGATAATTAATTATCAGAAATTCGTTTTTGTATTGAAAGAAGATGATTGACACTCTTTGAAATACGATTAAAATATGAATTTTATTTATTTATATGTTTTTTTTTTATATTTTTTTTTTTTATGGCCAGGAGGGCACAGTGCATTTTTCATCTGCGATTTTGCCCGAGCCAGTTCAAGTAGTATATATAAGAAAGAAAAAACCTCTTAAGAGACAAGAGGGAAAATGAAAAAAGTATAAAAGTTGATAGTAAAAAAGGAAAAATTCAGCGATTGTGCAGGAGTATGAACACTGTTATTTGAGCAACCAATTCACGAGAGAAGCACCAGTATCAGTGGGAGGTTCAGGAGGGAGTTTTCCATGGAAGATATGATCCATCTCATGAAGTATTGTACAAATCGTTGGCCATCGAATCGTCCAAGGAGCAGCAAGGTGTGCGGTTGATGGTTTTTTAGTAGGCAAGAGATTCAGTAAGAAAGAGAGAGGATCTTCGATCGACGTCGGTAATAACAGCCGATGATGCATGTGGAGACAGATGATGGCATGGTGACGAGTAAAATGTTCGAAAGGGTGATATATACAGGGACGAGGTATACCACCAGGTAGCCATCCAAGACGCCAACGTATAACCTGACTGCGTTGGGTTTTGGACATCGGCAACCAAAGGAGAGGATCTAGAGTCAACGTTGGACGACAGGCGGCAAGCAGCTTAGTATTTGGGCCAGTGCAGAGTGTTTCATGATATTGTTGTAGAAAGTCGTGCTGTAGTCTCTTAAACTTGCTTTTGGTAAGATCATCCAAGTAGCGGGTGCATTCTCTCCATAAAGAGTTCTTGGTCAGTTTGTACCATTGTGAGTGGCTTGCAGACGTTTCCAAGTGGGGTAGTAATTTGGAGAGCAAAGTATCATCAGGTAATTTCATGGATCGTACTAGGTATTTTGTTTGGAGTATTATTGATCGGTTCATCATCGAACTCTTTGAAATACGATTAAATTCTGAGTTTTATTATTATTATTATTATTTTTTTTTTTTTTTTTTTTTAAATTTTTTGGCAATGAGCATGTAGCGACGAAATAAATGCGCAATATTGCCCGAGCCAGTTATAGAGGGGAAATAAGAATAAAAACCTTCCTAAAGGACAAGAAGGGAAAAAGGAAAACGAGAAGGAAAAAGAAAAGAGCAGTATTTTGGAATTAAGAGAAAATATAAGGGGGAAAAAGCGAAAAAGTGAGAAGAAACAATTTAAAAAATCAAATAAGACCAAAGTGACCAGGAAGACACACACTATTACTTGGATAACCAATTCAACAGCTTGAGACCAGGGTCGATAGGATCAGGAGGAAATTCATCATGGAAGTAGTAATCAAGTTCATGTAGAATTGTACAAAGAATAGGCCATAAAGTATACCAGCTCGTACAATCAGAAGGACGACGAGGTTTATGTAGTGGAAGCAAGTTGAGGAGGAACGAGATGGGATCTTCGACTGAAGTAGGCATGTAGAGACGATGATGTACATGTAAGCACTCAATAGCATGTTGCCGGCTCCAATTATGAGACGGATGAAAGATACATTCTTTAGGTTTACCACCCGGTAGCCAGCCAAGTCGCCAACGAAGCACTCGGCTACGTTCTGAGGTAGTCATTGGTAAGTAAAGGATGGGATCCAATTCAAGAGTGGGGCGTGAGGAAGACAATAGGAGTGAATTAGTATCTTGACGAAGATTTTGAAATTGATCATCTAGAAACTTAGCACGAAGAGTGTAGAATTGTTTTCGGTCGAGCGTTGAGATATTTGGTGAGCATAGGTGTGTCCACATTGTAGTTTGAGTCAATTTATACCAGTGGGAATGACTATTTGAGAGCTGAACATGAGGCAAAAGATGGGCAAGAAGAGTATCTGCTGGTAATTGGGAAGTTCGAAAGAGGTATTGCGCTTGGAGGACTGCAATACGGGTCTTCATGGATGGTAGGTTGACAAGGTGAAGCATGACTTTCGCCGAAGACCGTGAGTGACCACCAAAGATACGTCGAATACATGAATTTTGAAAGGTATCCAGTGCTTTGGTAAGTTTAGCAGAGAGAGGACTAATTGCAAGACCATAATCTAACTGAGAGCGAACCATTTGACTATAAAAACGACATGCAAGCAGAGGTGGAAGACCTTTGGAGTTGAGACCAATAGCAGCAAGTTGATTCATAGTGAGAGAGGCTTTATTGATATTATGTTGGATTAGAGCAGCATAATCAATTAGACCACCAGGTTTTAGAGGAACACCAAGATAAGAAAAGGAGGATTCTTTGGAAATAGCAGTACCATATAATTGATATGGTTGAGGATCATTGGTAGGAGCGACTATGACACATTTTAATGGGTTCCACCGATAACCTAAGGAGTAACTATGAACTTCGCATTGGTGTAGTAAAGAAGCGAGTTTCTCAGGGGAGGCAATAAGGACGACATCATCAGCATAGAGTAGACAATTAAGGGACGGTACAAATGTAGTAACTACATCAGTAGTGGAGGAGTCATTGAGTTGGTGTGGTAACCTCAAACGAGCTGGAAGTTGGTTGATATAGATTGAATATAGGAACGGAGAGAGAATAGACCCTTGTAAGACGCCAGTGACAGGAGAGAAACGATACGATATATGATTATCAAGAAGAACTTCAATTTGAACCTGATCAAAGAGATTTTTGAGAACTCCAAGCAAAGCCGGGCAGAGATGAGGTTGAAGCACTTCCCAAATATAGGAGCGATCAACAGTATCATACGCTGATTTGATATCTAAAAAAGCAAGAGTAGGGAAACAATTGTGGTTACGCCGAAGAATAGAGCAGATCTCGACAAGACAATGAACTTGATCAAGAGAGCTACGAGATTCACGAAATCCGCCTTGAGCAATATCAAGAGTAGGGGATTGATCTAATAGGCTAGGGTACAAACATTTTTCAAATAATTTACGAAAAATAGATGTCAAGCTAATTGGTCTAAAGTTCCCTGGGTCACTTTTGGAGCCTTTCTTGTGTATCGGTACTACCTGTGCAACTCGCCATGATAGTGGAGTATAGGACCATTGCCAGCAGGTGCGAAAGAGATGTAGAAGCTGGGGAACCAAAGTGTGAATAGGGTAATAACATTTCCGTTTGTATGTGATCAACACCAGGAGCTTTTTTACGAGGCAGTTGTTTTAGAGTCTCATGAATTTGTTCAGATGAGAAGGGACAAAGATTTAAATTAAAAGGAAGACCACTAGTTATAGGAGAAGATGAACCCAAATTAGATGGTGAAGTGAGGAGTTGCCCGGCATAGATACTTTGAAGATGGTCGGCCATAACGTCAGCCGGAGCACGGTTAATATCTGGATCTGGTGAGAAGGAAGGCTTTACCGATCTGTTTTTACGAATTCTGCTGAATCGCGCAATTGCTTTAGTATACTCGCCTTTAGACATCTTGTCGCAAAATTGTCTCCAAGTTTCTCTACGCCGTTGTTGAAATAGTCGTTGCAGTAAAGCACTAGTTTCTTGATGTTTCAACCAGTAAGTTAAGAAATTCAGTCCATTTGCTTTTCGCCATTTCTTGTAATAGAACTGTTTAAGCTCGAAAGCCGATGTCATTTCAGAGGTCCAGAACTGTTTTAAAAACACATCAGCAGTAGTATCCTTTTTTCCACAGATTTGATCCAACGATTCGTAGATAGTTTGACATAGTGAAGTTGAGAACTAGTCGATATAAGTACGGGTAGTATCTATATCTTGAAATGTTGTGGCTGAAGAGTCGACTATTCGCATATTTATAGCACTATCATTTGCATACTTAGCTTGGTGCCTTTCATAGTGATATAATTTTTTTCAGCTTTTTCAATCGCCAGTGTGGACGAGAAACCTCAATGGAAAGGCTATGAGATGAATGAACTTGAGGTAGATGAAAAGAGAAAGTCATAAAAGTGTGGTTAGAATTTAATAATAGATCGTCTCGAATATTAAGGTCAGGTGTCTCCAAATCAGTATTACTAAGGAAATAATCAATGATACTTATACCATAATAAGTATAACTAGTCAGTTGTTGTGATATTTCTTTTAAAATATCAAATAAAAAATATTAGAAAATAAAAAAAATAATATTAAAACAAAAGAGTCAACGAGACCGAACAACCGTTCTAAAGTCAATTATTTTATTTATGAATTAAATTGATGGGGGTATTTATAAGAATTGTTAGAGAAGTCTGAGGATAAGATGTGAATCAGAAAAGTGTTGGTTACGACCAAATAAGATATGTTATAGATAATGAAGTGTTAGTAGTTTTAATATTATTTGATGGAGTGGATCAAGAGAGTTTCAGAAGAATCTAGATAGAATTCCTCGAATAAATTTATGATCCGCATGTTTAATCAAGAAACATGACATTATAAGTCAGCTCATGACAGTTGTCCAAAAGCCAGCCGTTGGTTCCATAGAATCAAACCATGTGCTTCCATCCAATTGTAAAAGAGATGTCCGCTTGTGTTCCACCAGCTGTCACCAACCAATTCGCCAATACGAGAATTGAGGTCACCACATATAATAGTCTTGGTTGTGGAAGGGTAATCCATAGGTAATAGTGAGAGAATTTCTGATATTTGATCTGATTTTAAAGAAGGAGGAAGATATACAGTGACTCACAAAAGTGTGGCAATGTTTTATGATTTTTGTCTTTCCTTAATGCACAACATAAATGAATAAAGATACATAAATAAAAGTATCTTTAATGGAAAGTTGATAAAATTTACATTATTTTTATAGCTTCTTAGTCTCATTTACATGCATGAATGTTTATTTCAATAGCGATCATGTCATTTTACAAGATTTAGCCATTTTGCTGCATAATAAGTTTTCTTTCTTTATCTATTTTTTTTACAAAAACACCATTTTTTTTATTTTAAATTATATTCAATATTTTTATTGAATTAACAAGAAGGTTTACTTCCTATTTAATACCTTTTTTCTCTCAAATTCATTACTAATCTGAACAATATTTGCGTATCATTTTCATTAACACATAGATCATTACATACATTAGAATGAGACCAATTCCTTACGATAAAAAGATGGATATTTTAGCAAAAATTAATGCTAAGGAGTCTTATAGGGATATTTCTAAGGCAATGGGTGTGTCAATTAGGACAATTAGCAAAATTGCCAAATAAAATCAAGTTGAGATTAACGTAAAAGAAGGTAGACCAAAGACGATTATCCCGTTACTTGGAAGATTGATTGCGCGATCTTTTTATACTGGTCATTTTATCACTGCAGTGGATGCTGCCCGGAACTTACATGGTCAAGGGTATGATATTTCCACACAAACCATTCGCAGATTCCTAAAATCGTCCGACTTTGATTCGAAGATTAAGAAATCTGCATTACCATTGACAAATGAGCGTAGACGAAATCGTCTAAAATGGGCCAAAGCTCATAGAAACTGGACGGTTGAGGATTGGAAAAAGGTCGTCTTTAGTGACGAAACAAAAATCAATCGTTTGGGTTCTGATGGAAAGCAATGGACATGGGTTAAAAAGGGTGAACCTCTAAAAGACCGTAACGTCAACTTTAAGTACAAAGGTGGGGATGGAAGCTTAATGTTATGGAGTTGTTTCACACAACATGGTCTTGGTTTTATTGCCAAGATTGAGGGCGGGATGGACTCGTAATCATATTGTGAAATATTAAAAGGTGACTTTATGGAGACGCTCAAGGATCATGGCCTTTGTAAGAAAGATGTAATCCTTCAACAAGACAATGATTCAAAGCATACATCCAAATATACAAGAAATTGGTTCAAAAGAAATAAAATAAATGTCCTTGAATGGCCATTATACTCATCTGATCTAAATCCAATTGAAAACCTTTGGTTTTATTTGAAGTGCAAGCTTGCTGCCTATGATAGGCCACCAAAAAACATGGATGAGTTATGGGAGCGAGTTGCTGATGTTTGGTACCATAAAGTTACAGCCGAACTATGCTTAAAACACATAGAAAGTACACTAAGATGTGTTGAAGCAGTAATTAAAGCAAAAGGTGGTGCTATCAAGTACTAAACATAAAAGGTACGTTCTTCATTTCATTTTTCAATAAGCTATTGGCATTAAATTTTTATACGTATAACTTTTAATATTATTTTTTCAAATAAAACATTATATAATGAATATATGCTATAAGTATCATTAAAAAGAGGCAACTTCTGTCTTTCTGCTAGTATCTAGTATATACTACAGAGTACTTTACTTAATAAATAGACGATTTGTTATTGCGAATTTGCATAAATTACTTAAAGTTTCGAAACATTGCCACACTTTTGTGAGTCACTGTAAGCAGTGAATTAATAATTTAGGATTTATAATGATTGATAATGTAAACTTAGCCAATAATGGATTGGCATGATTGATATGATGAATTGGAGGTTTGAAGTCCAGATTAACAAGGAGAGCTAAACCAAGTTGACCACGATATCGATTATAGGAGTTCACCGGAATACCATAGGTATAGAATTGTTTCCAAGAGGGAATTGGATATTTGTTGGAAGATAGTAGCCATGTTTCAGTAATAAAGAGTAAAGATGACTTTTTAGCAATATTTAACACAGGATAAATATATTGTTTAGGGAGACCAGTAGCATTAAAAAGTGATATTCTCAATGGAAGACCACTCATTGGTTCAAATTAGTATGGGTGGAGTTCACATCATCTTCATCCATCGCACTCGCGTGAAATTTAGAAGATTCAGAAGTAGCAACGTCAAGCTCAAAGATGACCTCTTGTGGGCGACTGGAGTAGGGGTCAATAGTCAGTATGTCAGCAAGTTGGTCTTTGGTAATCCAGGTCTTATGGACAAAGAAACGCGCCACAGCATATTTAGCCGGACCACGAATATGAATGAGAGTTTTTTGGAGACGTTGATTATGAAGATCACGAGCAACCTGTTGACGTTGTTCAATTGATTCATTGGCATATTTGGGATCTTTGAGTACACTTCCATTACAGGGATCAAAAGTAGTATGGAGTTTGATGCTTCGTTTAGTTAACAGTTCTTGAAGTTCAGGAGCATAGTCATTATGGACGAGTACTACAACAATGTTACGGTCAGGGTAGTGTAGATCTAGGAGACGACCATTGTTGACTCCCAGTTTCTTGAAAGTAGTTCTTAACTTATCAAGGGGAGCACGTGCCTTGGTAGGTATATATAAGTATTGGAAACCTTGAGTAGCTGAAGGGGTTTGAAAGAAACGAGCAGCAGCAGCTTTGCGTTTCGCATGGTGTTGGACTAGATTCTTTTTGAGAGCTAATACTCTTTCTGGTTGGTGCCAGGGAGACGAGGAGAATTATGTTTCTGGAAGAGTAGGAAAGTCTTCCTCGTCAGTGCTAGGTTGAGCGGCGGCAGGAGGTAGTTGTGGTGGAGCTGATCTAGTGAGACGGAGTTCTTCAATAAGTTGTACAATTACTTTTTGTTGTTCTGCAAGTCGAGTGGTTAGTTGTGTGATTATTTTAAAAAGTGCTTGTACGTCTGGTATAGCATTATTGTCGAATTGGGTTTGGGTTACGAGAACGACAATGGTTGGGGTTGGAGTTGCTGTTGGGGGGGTACATTGTTAGATATATCTTCTACCATCCTTGAAGGAGCAGTAATGATATCAAGCATTTCGGGTGCAGGCATAATATGGGAGCATAAGGTACATTTGTAACAGGGTTGATAGTGGTGCGTTTTAGATGGAAAATCACCCTTATTGTGGTAGATGGTGACTTTTTTGCATTCAGGACATGGTATCGCTTTGCGATGTTCAAGGAAGCCTTTTGCAAGAGCTGCCAGTTCTTCTTCAGATAAAACTCAACTAGGAGGCTTATTATATTTATGTTGATTAGGCGGCATTTACCTAGTTATTGCGATGTTTTTCGAGGTGTTGAGGGTTTTGAATGTGTAGGTAGTGTTGTAAATGTCTTTTCAAGTTTAGTAATAGTGTTCTAATATGTCTCTATAATTTTTACACTTCAAATTCAGATGATGTTAGTTTTTTTTTTTTTTTTTTTTTTTTTTTTTTTTTTTTTTAGTATTAGACAAAAAAACAGTGCTTTTCAGATGCTTACCTGTAAAAATCTAAATCCCTAAAAGGGAAGCTGTGTTTACTACGGCGATTGATGAAAATAAAAAAAAATAAAAAAATTGATCAAGCTGATCTAGTGGGGAGGAACATGGAAGGACGATCGTAGCCATTCCAGATGTATGACGAAATGAGCGACATAATCTTAGCAGCATTATGATTCCTTTGCCACAATGTTCGACGGTTTTTGCAAATAAGAACACTGGAATCTTTCATATTTTCTACTTTTTTAAGCGAATCATCGTAGCATTTGTAGCCTATTTTTGATGTCTTGAACTTATCAATAGTTATCGCCAAAAGATCACCTTCTTTCTCCTTCCTCTTAATCGCCGTCCATAGAACACCAGTAGCACTGCATTTGTTTCCTTTAAGATTCACGCCATCTTTTCCAAACATTCCTGCCCCAAAAACTATTAGTAGGACCTTGGCGGCATCTTGACTAAACTTTGTGGGCCTCCGTTTTACTCTATATTATGACATATGTCAATTAACGTGAAAAAAAAAGTCTGTTGGCTTACTTGACCACAGTCATTCCTTGACCACATGAGCTATTTTTTTTCCTTTCTTCTTCTCTTTTTTTTTTCCTTTGCTTTCGGTCATATTTCTTGCCGCCGTTTATTATCATATTGACCATGATCTGCGCCGCTTTTTGCCTTTGTTGATATAAGTAAAACCGATCTTTTGCTCTTTGAAAGCCATAGAAATTGAACAAGACTTGTCTGTGGGGTAACATATACTCTACATACTTATCGTATACTTCAGATTGATTTGTCTTGGCCGAAGGCATTTCTGATTCAATAGACGTGATGCCTCCCACATTTTTCAGCCTTTCCATCTTTTTCTGATAGTTTGTGGATCCAGTCATAGTATAATATTCTTTCGTACTACATCCTCTTATTTGTTGGGCGTCCCCCAACCCAACAGCCGCAGTAAATACAGACTTCCTACCAGGATCGACAAAGGCAGGCCTAAAAGTACTCTCAACTTCATTATAAGTAAAATCTTGGAGCGTCAAGTCATGTAATACAACGATACTATCTTTGCGTCGTCTATTGAACACAAAGTCGATTGCAAACCCGTCTGACCTTACATAATTGTTGAACAAGATTGTATTCTCTCCATTTGGCATTAATTGTGATATACTATAGTTTATCAACAATTTACTATTAGTTTTTTTTTTTTTTTGGGGGGAGAGGGGCTCACCGCAAAGGGCTTGGTCACCCAACTTCGTTCAAGAAGCAATCCTCTAAACGCCCTTTTCCAGATCCAGAGCAAGCCTCACCAAGAAAAACAATCCGCCATATGCCACCCAATAAAGACTCTTTCTGAGAGATGGATATTAATATGGTAATCCATGATACATGTGAGCTCTTCATTTTCTTACTTTTTTTATTTATCTGAAAACTAACTGTTGTGTGTCTGAATTGATCTATCCATTCTTCCAAAAAAATATAAGCCAAATATCTAAAAATTAATTTTAATTCGTCCATACTAACATCGTCTGAATTTGAAGTAGAAATACTCTATTAAAAAAAGGAATAATTGACGGAGCTATAATCTATGCTGTATAAAGTTATTCTATGCAAAGTTTAATTAATTGTGAGGTATAGATAAAGTCTAATCTTTAATATTCAAAATTATAACCCTTTTATTAATACAATATTATATACATATGCACATGTATACAAATATACATGCACCCATAAGTACACTCATATATATAACCCATATATGCACCCAAATCGATACTTGTAAAAAATAAAAATAAAATAAAAATGTTTGCTTAGGTAATAAATAAGTTGAACAATAGGGGAAGAGGCAGTAATGCAATCCTACTCTCAACATTTTTTTTTAAAAATGTTTCAGTTTTATTTCTTTGGTATTTTACGTCGGACTAATGAATGTAATACTTTTTTTTATTAAAAAAAAAAGGTGGGGGGGGAAGCGAAAGAAAAGAGATGATACAGATAATGGACTTGTTGACCATTTAATTTTAATATAGAAAAGAGAATCAATCATTGTTATTTATTATAAAGATTTAATAAGAGAAAAGCGTAATTAAAGTATGATGGTGTTTAATTTTTTATTTATTTATTTTTTTATCTTTTTTATTTTTTATTTTTTTATTTTTTTTTTTTTGCTGATGTCAAAAATAATAGAGCCCTGGTATGAAATTAAGTGGAGAAGAAATGAAAATAAAATAAAATAAAAAAAAATTATTTATTTTTTCTTTTCTTTCTCTTCTTTTTTTTTATTTCTTTTCCTTTTCTTCTTCTCTCTCTCTTTTTTTTTTTATTTCTTTTTATTATAGAAAATATATTAGTAAAGTGTAAATATTGAAAATCCTTTGGTTAATATTGTACATACATTTCATTTTATATTACAATCATAACTTCTTCTTTGTTACTGTTAAATTATTTTACTCATCTCCGCAAAAAAAAGGTAAATATAATATTGTGTTTCGTTTCACTTCCCTTTTTTTTTTTTCTTCTTCTTCCTTTGACATTTATCTTCTATTTATTTTATATTAAAAAGAAAAAATGTCTTCTCAGCCAACAACACCTAATCCAACACATATTCAATCTTCAACTACGATTCATCATTCACCTTTATTTAAATCACCCAAGTTAGAAAATAATCCGATTTCATTGCCCCTGGAAAAGAATACAGTTACACAAAATAATTCTATTGTTACCAACTGTACTACTCATGACTCGGTTTCAAATCAACAAATATATCCCTCTTTTGCTCCAACAAAATACAATCAAAACATTATTTCTATGGACAGACGTTCTATGTAAAAAAAAAAAAATCATATACATTCATCATCATCATCGTAGTTGATATGTATACTTATATTTCCCTTTCCTTGATTTTGATAGAATTGATGTTCAGCTTCATACAAGAATAGATCGGGGATTCTTTTTAGCAGATAATGATTGGACATGTTATCGTCGCAATTATTTTCAAGTCAGTGGTACGTTCTCTCTGGATGGTGTTAGTATTCTTTATGAGGGACAAGAATTACCTTGTCTTGTTCGTCTTGATAATCATTTTGAAGAAGTTGAATGTTTTATGTTGGGTATTCATGCACGTCTTG